GCAAATCCCTATATGGCCTAAAACAGTCTCCTAGGGCTTGGTTTGGAAAGTTTAGCAAGGTTGTTCAACAATTTGGTATGACTCGGTGTGAATCGGATCATTCCGTCTTTTATCGACACTCGAGTGCTGGATGTGTTTACTTGATAGTATATGTTGATGATATTGTTCTTACAGGTAGTGACAACCATGGCATCTCTCGGTTGAAACAACATCTTTGTCACCATTTTCGGACCAAAGATCTTGGCAAACTTAGATATTTCTTGGGTATTGAGGTAGCACGAGTCCAATGATGGTATTGTTATATCTCGGAGGAAGTATGCCATAGATATTTTGGAAGAAAGCTGGGTTGATGAGTTCAAAGTCCGTTGATACACCCATGGATCCCAATACTAAACTTCTACCAAATCGGGGGAGCCTATATCTGATCCTGAGCAGTATAGAAGATTGGTTGGAAAATTGAATTATCTTACGGTTACTCGTCCCGACATTTTCTTTGCGATCGGTGTGGTAAGTCAATTTCTTAATTCACCATGTGAAGATCATTGGAATGCAATCATTCGTATCTTGAAGTATATTAAAGGATCTCCTAGAAAAGGATTGTTATATGCTTCTAATAACCATACAAGAGTTGTTTGCTACTCGGATGCTGATTGGGTAGGATCTCCTTCGGATAGAAGATCTACATCCTGGATATTGTGTCTCCATTGGTGGTAACTTGATTTCATGGAAAAGTAAGAAACAAAGTGTTGTGGCAAGATCCAAGGTGCGAAGCAGAATATAGAGCTATGGCCTCGACTTCCCGTGAACTTGTTTGGCTCAAGCAATTGCTTAGAGAGTTACAATTTGGAGATGTCACTCAAATGACACTTGTGTGTGACAATCAGTGCGCTCTTCATATTAGTTCTAATCCTGTCTTTCATGAGAGGACCAAACACATTGAGATTGATCTGTCATTTTATTCGAGAAAAGATTATGTCTGGAGATATCAAGATTGAGTTTGTTAACTCAAGTGATCAGTTAGCGAGATATTTTTACTAAATCTTTATGGGGTCCTAGAATTGATTATATTTGTAACAAGCTTGGCACATACGATTTGTATGCTCCAGCTTGAGGGGGAGTGTTAGATATTGTTTATATATTATTTGATATTGTTAAGATATTGTTAGATATTGGTAACCACAATATCAAACAATATCTTCTGTTTATTCTGTTACTTTCAGTTACTCTTTTACTTGTATTTCTCTACTATAAATAGATCACCCTATGTGTGATTTATACACAAGGGAAATTAATTCCAAACTATATTTTCTTTATATTCAACATGGTATATTTAAACCATACCAAATGATATGAGGTAGGCGATGTGGGACTTTCAACATAACTGCACCAACATGTGTAAAGGGACGAAGATGATAAAGACCATGAGACTCACATCCTGTGCCAATCACCTGTTTCGAACTCCGGTCCTGTAAACACACAGAATTGTTGGTAAAAGAAACAACACAATCAAGAGAACGAGTTAGACGACTGATGAATAACAGGTTAAAAGGAGACCCAGGGACATAAAGAACATTATCAATGGTTAAAGAAGGGAAAAGTTTAACAGTTCCAACACCATGAGATGATACTCTAGAGCCATCAGCTAGTGTAACAAAAGGTAAAGGATCAGGAGAGGATAAAGAGGAGAACAAATATTTGTTACCAGTAATATGATCAGTGGCTCCTGAATCAAAAACCCAAGGACCAGAAGAAGATTGGGTCGACCAACAAAAGATGTACCCGTGTGTGCGACAGCATACGATAGAACTAGAAGATTGTTGATCCTTATACCATTTGAGAAATTTGTTGAACATAGCAGGTGTGTCTGATGAAATAGAAGAAGGAGGATCCTTAGCAGATAAAGGTGGGAAAAAATCAGTCTGAGCAACTGCAGTAGATCGAGTAGGACGACCATGTAATGCATAACACTTGTCAATCTTGTGACCTAGTTTGCCACAATGTTCACACTCATGTAATGCATAACACTGGTCAATCTTGTGACCTAGCTTGCCACAATGTTCACACTTAGGACGTCCTTTTCCCTGTTTGCGAGGGCGAGTTCGATCATCACGGTGAGATACCAATGCAGAAGAATCATTAACAGAAGCAGGTGTGTCAAGGTTGAGTTTTGCTTGGTATACGCAAAAGAGTGGAGCAGTGTCGATGTCAAGGTGGGGACAACCGGAGAACCCAAAATCTCGATCACGAATATGTGAATATTGATCAGCAAGTCCGTGTAATGCCCCTAGCATGAAGAACTTTGATCGTTGTCCTATCTCGGTGGCAGGGTCGGGGGAAGGAGGCAATAACTCATTGAACTCATGAAAAAGAGCATGAATTTTGCCCATATAATCAGTCATAGAATCTTGATGTTTAGAGGAAATAACATCTACAAATTTAGAACAGACATCATAGAGACGTTGAGTATCATTGGTGTATAATAACTTGGCATGTTCCCAGATTTTTGCACATGTTTCGTAGGAACGAAAAATTTGTTTTAACGAAGGATCAAGGGTACCCTTGAGAACCACGCATAATTGAGCATCAATGGTGTCCCAACGGTCTTCCTCACCAGGAGTGAGAGTAGGTGCTTTCGGGGCAAGATGATCAAGATACTTCTGACTCTTAAGCCATAATCTGACGTCTGATGACCATGTGGCATAATTAGGGCCAGTTAACTTGTCAATGGATAAGTGCACATTAACATAGTTAGTGTAGATGGAAGGATCAGATGCAGTACTGACAGAATTGGAAGTACTAAAAGGAGCGGAAGAACTCATAAAGGGCGAAGGCGATAGTGACAGCGGCATGAACCAGTACACCAGGTAAGTTCCCAGGAAAGAGAGGTGGGTCACTAATGGACACGCTTAAATACCAAGTCTTTCCTTGTCAGAAATTTCCTAGACATGCACTTTCACACTACCAAATAACCGACAACGATAGCGGCGGTGGTGGCGACTTCAATAGTGGTCTAAGGCGGAAAAAAAATTCAAAATAACCTTAAGCTTTAGATACCATGTTGAATATAGAAGAAATAGAAGAAATAAGTGCTCTTCATAATAGTGAAACTTGGGAATTGGTCCCGTTACCGTCTGGGAAATCTGTTGTTGGTTGCAGGTGGGTGTTTGCTATCAAAGTTGGACCTGATGGTACTATTGATCGCCTCAAAGCTCGTCTTGTGGCCAAAGGTTATACTCAAATTTTTGGGTTGGATTATGGAGATACCTTTTCCCCTGTGGCAAAGATGGCTTCTGTTCGTTTATTTATCGCCATGGCTGCTCTTCAACAATGGCCTCTTTATCAACTGGATGTTAAAAATGCTTTCCTCAATGGTGATTTGCAAGAAGAAATATATATGGAGCAACCTCCTGGGTTTGTTGCTCGGGAGAGTCTTCCGGGATGGTATGTCGTCTTCGCAAATCCCTATATGGCCTAAAACAGTCTCCTAGGGCTTGGTTTGGAAAGTTTAGCAAGGTTGTTCAACAATTTGGTATGACTCGGTGTGAATCGGATCATTCTGTCTTTTATCGACACTCGAGTGCTTGGATGTGTTTACTTGATAGTATATGTTGATGATATTGTTCTTACAGGTAGTGACAACCATGGCATCTCTCGGTTGAAACAACATCTTTGTCACCATTTTCGGACCAAAGATCTTGGCAAACTTAGATATTTCTTGGGTATTGAGGTAGCACAGTCCAATGATGGTATTGTTATATCTCGGAGGAAGTATGCCATAGATATTTTGGAAGAAAGCTGGGTTGATGAGTTCAAAGTCTGTTGATACACCCATGGATCCCAATACTAAACTTCTACCAAATCGGGGGAGCCTATATCTGATCTCGAGCAAGTATAGAAGATTGGTTGGAAAATTGAATTATCTTACGAGTTACTCGTCCCGACATTTCCTTTGTAGTCAGTGTGGTAAGTCAATTTCTTAATTCACCATGTGAAGATCATTGGAATGCAATCATTCGTATCTTGAAGTATATTAAAGGATCTCCTGGAAAAGGATTGTTATATGCTTCTAATAACCATACAAGAGTTGTTTGCTACTCGGATGCTCGATTGGGCGGGATCTCCTTCGGATAGAAGATCTACATCCGGATATTGTGTCTCCATTGGTGGTAACTTGATTTCATGGAAAAGTAAGAAACAAAATGTTGTGGCAAGATCCAGTGCAGAAACGGAATATAGAGCTATGGCCTCGACTTCCTGTGAACTTGTTTGGCTCAAGCAATTGCTTAGAGAGTTACAATTTGGAGATGTCACTCAAATGACACTTGTGTGTGACAATCAGTCGCTCTTCATATTAGTTCTAATCCTGTCTTTCATGAGAGGACCAAACACATTGAGATTGATCTGTCATTTTATTCGAGAAAAGATTATGTCCGGAGATATCAAGACCGAGTTTGTTAACTCAAGTGATCAGTTAGCGAGATATTTTTACTAAATCTTTACGGGGTCCTAGAATTGATTATATTTGTAACAAGCTTGGCACATACGATTTGTATGCTCCAGACTTGAGGAGGAGTGTTAGATATTGTTTATATATTATTTGATATTGTTAAGATATTGTTAGATATTGGTAACCACAATATCAAACAATATCTTCTGTTTATTCTGTTACTTTCAGTTACTCTTTTAGTTGTATTTCTCTACTATAAATAGACCACCCTATGTGTGATTTATACACAAGGGAAATTAATTCCAAACTATATTTTCTTTATATTCAACAGTTATAAATATAGTATTCTGCATTAAATAAAGAGATTAACCAAAATCTACAAGAATCGTTGAACGGGCAAAATCTCAGCTCCTTCAACTTGTAGGAGCCTCCAAATTCCCAGCTAGTTTGAGACGGGAAGGCAAAGGGTGGGGGTCATCACAGGTCCAGTATAACCAAAGTTACCAGACCATGAAATGGTAATCATCATCATCATCAGGGCATAAAGGAACACTCAATCTCCTTTGGCAATAACAACAAAAACATCACCAAGGGACCATTTTCTTGGCTCTGACTTTTCTGAAGGGTTGATAATAGCTCGATCTTGGTTAGCTAGGCGATAGCCGATAACAATCTCCTTTCTTGTTCGACCCCTAGTCATTATATCGTAAAAACACAGCTCTTCCTGGTCAAATAAATAGAACTCTGCTGGTTTAATACACATCTCGTTCCCCTACATAAGTCAACAAAAAGTCCAACATATAAGTAAATTTCATCCTCTAATCCAAAACCATAGAAAATTTTTCTTTTTAGAAAAAATTGCTCAACTAAAAGTTTAGAAATTAAATTAAATGATTCAAATGTAATATGACGAGAAATTGAAAATCAACTGAAATCTATATCGTGAGAGACAGTAAGTGTAAGTTCGAATGAGGGATACCTCTTCTGCAAATAACTCCTCAAGAACTCGGTTGATTTGCTTGTCTTCAGCCACCATTGCTAGTGCCATGCTAACCAGCTCATTAGATAACACATAATCACTGATTCTGGACACAGACACTAGATTTCTAGTCCTAGAATCCAAAATTTCACTAATTATAATTGATTTATCAGAAGCTTGCTGCATTTCACGGATCCAAGAGTTGTGTGAGAACCCAGATAACCTCAGAGAAGTTGACTTTGTGTCTTTGTATGGTAGGCGTCGTGACTACAATAAGGGGAGGGGAACTGTTAGAAATTTCGTTTATAAAACGAGACAGTATTCAGTATGTGAACCACACAATCCTTAATTTAAATTATGCAACAATACTAGATACCTGTATATCACGAATGAGTAGAAGGGTAGCTAGAGACCTAGAGTCAGAGTGAGCAACAGAGTCTTCCACTGACTCATCTGCAAGAATAAGGATCTGTCTTCTTAGAGTTAGTATACAGTTGAAGAAAATTTTAATTTACCTTGCTTGACTGCCTTTGATGTAGAGATATTTTATTACACTTGATCCTATTTCAACACTTCGCTCATAATTTTACTCGGACACAATGTTGAAAATTGAGCAAGGTAGTGGATGCTATAAATGAAACAAGGAAAATTCCGAGCGATACACATTCTAAAGCTTTTATAGAGTTTTATAGAAAGATCCGAAGACCAAAAATGGAAAATGTAATATATATATATATATAGTTGCCATATTTGGCAATTTGATTTTTAACAGAGAACTTCACCTAGTGACATAAGGCTTTTGTTGTTGCTCATGATTATGTTTTGAGAACATGGATATTTTATACCATCTACCAGCCATAATCAAATTACTTTTTCTAGTTTTGAAAGGGAAGCAGGGTATTGCTAAGATTACAAATGAGATAGAAGCATAATCAGTAGTTATCTGAAATTCTTATTGAATCAATTTGCATAATCTGATAATCTACTTATGTCCAGATTTACCTTCTGGTTATTTATGACATAGGCCTCTTAAAAGGTGCATAGAAGACGGAGAGATAAAGATTCAAAACTTACAGAATCAAAAGTCTCCAGTGGTAGACCCTCCAGGTGCCGCCTAATTACAGCATTACCCTCCCTGTGGACAAGTTTTATGTTCTCTAGCTCAGAAACATCAAGTCCACCATCAACTAGCTTCTTCTCTCTTTCCTTTTCAGGAACCTCGTTGAACATCCAAAGCTCTGAACCAGGGGCCAAGAGTGCCTCTAAAACCTATCAAGTGACAATGATTAAGGAAGTATTTGAGGATTATGAAGCTAGACTGATAGAGTCAAGTTGCATCTTTGTAGGTGATGGATCTATTATATTACAGATGTGATTATTTACCATACCATAGCACCCACACGGATGAAGAGCATAATTCAAGGAGTCAGTCAGGGCTACGCAAGTAATACATAATGTAGTTTCTTCATAATTAAATATCGAAATTTTTAGTTTTCTTTAACTTGTATTTGTGGTTTCCCTACTCCCAATTCGAACTGCCATCACTATCTTGACCTCCATTGCAGTCAGAGCGTCCTTAAGCTTTCATAAAACAAGTTTTTGGATATTTTTAATCTGTGAAATAGTTCTATGAAACGATTGTTTCTTTAATACAAAAATCAAACAGGTCCCTAGATTCTGGATATTGACTCAATAAACCTGTTCACATAATTAAGACAAAAACTTAGTTGGGAAAGATGGCTAACTATTATATCAGCAGCTAGCAGGGATTTGAAACCCACAGGTCCTTGTGGCCAAGAAATTGCCACAATAGTACCATAACCAAAGGGTGTGGCCCTGTGGAACCTGATGATCCTAGCAAAAAGAATATTAGCTATTGTTGTTCATGTTAGGAGTATAGAAAGCTATTAAATAAGAGAATTAGTCCTTTCTAAACATCAATAGGATAGCGCATAATAGCAGTGTCACTGTCAAAAAAGGTAGGGATATGCAAGTAAGGTCATAATATAGTGTACCCAATTAAGAGGATTACCATGATCATATCATCAATATCACGTCGCCAGCCACAAAATAATATCTTCTCTGGATATTTAGGTGGATCTCGTATCCTTGGGCAATGTCCCTTACATACCTGTATAAGTATATAACATTAAAAACAGGTAGTATATGACGAGTAATGTAATCAGAATCACGAGATTATTCCACGATTTTGCAGTACAGAACCGTGTTGGATCACATGCATGTTTGTGAAATAGCAGAATCAGTGAGATCAATGTGCTAGCTTACAAAAAAGGTGGGACCGTGCGAGTTGAGCAAGCACAGAATTGGTTATGTTTTTGTCCATATTAAAAATGGGTTAAAACAGGAGCCCAATGGTCAAAATCTAAAAGAAAACGGAAATGACCCTTGCACGCATGAAACAGTTCCCATATTTTCATTGATTGCTCTCCCTCCTATTTTATAATGAAATCAAGTTTCATTAAGTTTGTAAAGAGTAACACTGATTGATTTTATTTAATAATTTATGTAATTCCATATATATATATATATATGTGTGTGTGTGTGTGTGTGTGTGTGTGTGTTTTTCTAAGGGAGTTACCTTCTCATCCTCACCATTTATTTTGTTTTAACTTAATGATTAAGATAAATTATCTTAGACCATTATATTTAAAAAAAAAAAAAAACAAATAAATGGTAACGATGAGAAGTAACTCCATGACACTTATTTTTGGAGTAAGTGGATCTCTCCTTGTTTGGTGTTACTATCCCATAATTTACTATCTTCGGGTCCTTACAATCCCAACCATAATCTTGAATTTGAATACCTTGATCACTAAGTCACCTACTCATACTATGATTAATTAAATAAAGCCAAGACAGTGTGCAAGATACACAAGAGTCTAAGCACCAAATCAGCATATTTTCCAATAAGGCAAGCATATACGGACCCAGTTCAGTAAGAGAAGTTAAAACGGAAAGATAACCTCTGGAAGAGGACCTGGAGCATAAGTGTCATCATCCTCAGCTATGACAAGGACTTCATCCCCATCTCTAAGAACATAACTATCATCTGGATTGATGATAATCTTTCCCCCATCAGCAGCAACCTTAACTCCACAAGGTATTGCATCAGGAAATGAAATTAATACATCTTTGAAAAAGAGACCATCCAATTCAGGCCACCTTTTGATGTAAAACTCAGCATTCTCAAATCCCAAAATATCCTCCCATATCTGGCCAAGAGAAGGAAGCAAGTGAACAGATGCTGAGTCACACTGTACATGGAAACCAAATGCAGCAGAAAAGTGATAAATTCCATAAAGTTAGGTACATTATTAAGGACAGGAGAAATAGTAATCAGTTTCTGTGTCTAGGTAACAGGCTTGGTATTACAAGTGAGAATAGGTCATGCAGAAATTCATCTAGTAAGTGTCAGGATTAATGAGGCATTCTGTATTTGTGACTTAGTAAGCACATTCTAGCCATTGCAAACACTAAATACATGAACAAAAGGGGAGCAACACAACATGAGGGTGGTGGCAAAAAGGTAGTTCACAAGAATGAGAGTTATTTGACTAACCTGTGCAAGGCCAGGCTGTAGAGCACACTGAATCATCAATCGCCCAATTACATCATGTGCCACAACTGTTTCAATGAGTTCTCCGCCAACAAGTTTCACTAGAGGTTCATTGTCAAGGTCACTCATCTCCACGACAACATGACCCCCTAAGCCCTCCCTTACACCTGTGAGGCTAAGAACAACTCTCAAAGCACGTGCATCACTCTGGAGATAGAGATTGGATAAAAAAAATATTGACTGTTAAGAAGTTCCTCAGTAAGAGTTAGTCAACATAACAAAGGAGCCATGAGTTATGCAAATAACCTGATCTGCATTTTCATCTGAAGCTAATACAATGATTGCACGTGCCTTAGAAACTGAAACCTGGGAATAAATAATAATTAAATTCGAGAGAAAATTTAAGGAAGAAGGAAGATATAGGTAAACAACTCAAAACCCATTTCACACATTATATGATTCACATAGATTATACAAAAAGGTATCATTTCCCCTGAAAGTAGAACAAAGAGTCAAAGATACCCCCATCAAACCTTCTTTAGGTCAGCCAGTATAAGAGGACTGCCACTTCTACAAATTACGGACGTTCCCATAAAATCAAATTCCAGCTTTGCTATATCCATTTCCATTTCCTCCTTCTCTTTCTCTGCAAGCACCACAATAACACCACCACCAACACTCTTATTTGCTATTGCTAGCTGCTTCAAAAGGGAACCCTGCAATCAAGCATCAACTTCTATTTGCTTCTTATGAACAAAAATAACTGATGCAATCAGATGCACCTAACTCATATAGATTACCCATATCAGATAAACAAATCCCAACATAATTTTCCAAGTAAAATATCAAAAACTAAAAATAGTTTGTGAAGAATATTACTTTATTATCTTTTATTTAAACTAGGTATTAAGAGATTTTATTATCTTTTAAAAAGGAAGGTAAAAACATATTAGGTTATTATTTTGATTTAAACATTTATGATTGAGATATTATTGATATTTTGTAATATTTTTACTCTATATATACATAGAATACATGAATAAACGGATGGATATTTTTAGGGTTTTGTGTCTGTATATTTCTAATATATCATATGGGTATTATGAGTTCACCCCTCTACATTCATTACACTTGAGATTGGTTAGAATAACACTTACTTTTGAAAGCAGTCCCAATCTATCACTTTCTAATAGCTCTGTTGCAGTGTGCTCCATAGTTTGTGTGACCCCAACAGATCTCATGTCCGGACCTAGAGATTTTCGAATGTACTCCAGAATAGTTTCATTTGTAACCTTCTTTCCATCATTGTCAGTGACATTAAAAACATTCATGAATCATCCTCATCTGAGGATATATAAGCTTTTGTTATAGTGAGGTTTAGATCAGTAAGAATTTGTATAACTTCAATAAGTATCCCATGCTTGTTTGCATTATCAATCCGTATAACAGTGACATTCACGCATGATTCATTATCAATTACAACTCTGGGTGGATTTATTCTTCTAAATAGTTATTTATCGTCATTGTAGCGAGAGAAGTTCATGTTAACCCCTGAAATGAAAGTTTCTCCTTTTATTTCTCTTTCTTTTCTCAATTCTAAAATTCCCATTCTCAGTGGCCTAAAAAACCCAACGTGAGCACTATAGAAAACACCACCTACCTTGACTCTTTTCGTCGCTCACGAAACACCCTCGCTTAAATGCGCCTCCTTTTGTTTTTGCAAACCACTGAGAATGGGTGAGGAAGGAAGAGAGATAAAGGAGAAACTTTCATTTCAAGGGTCAACATGAACTTCTATGGCTACATGGACAATGCATATGAAAAACTATTCAGAAGAATGAATCCGCCTTGTAATTGATAATAAATCATGCGAGAATGTCACCATTATACTGATTGATAGTGCAGACAAATGAGATACTTCTTGAAATTATACAAATTCTCACTGATTTAAACCTCATTATAACAAAAACTTATATATCAGATGGAAGATGAGTCATGAATATTTTTAATGTCACTGACAATGATGGAAAGAAGATTATAGATGAAGCTATTCTGAAATACATTCGAAAGTCTCTGGGTCCGGAGTCTTGCTTTATGTCTTCCATGAGATCTGTTGGGGTCACACAAATTATGGAGCACATTACAATAGAACTATTGGGAAGTGATAGGCCGGAGTTGCTTTCAGAAGTGAGTATCGTTCTAACCAATCTCAAGTGTAACATTGTAAATGCAGAGGTGTGGACTCATAATACCCACATGATATATCAGAAATACACATACATAAAACCTTAAAAATTCCCATCAGAACTGACAAGGAGATTACCAATTTGTCACTCCACCCAAGAATGAGAATGTGGTTTTTTTCAATCACTTCACTCTTCCCTTTCCTGAGAGAATCTACCTTTTCAGATATAGCATCTGAAACAAGCCCAAGCATCATAGCAAATATCAGCATACCACCTGAACTAATTGACACAGAGACAATCCTTTGCCCGGTTCCTTCTGTTTCGGCATGATTTCCTGAGTCAGCGACATAAGTCCAAGAATGCCAAAGTGCTTCGGCAAAGCTACCACCAGTCACCGCGTACAATGCTAAACCCCCAAATCCTATAAGAAACAAAGTTGCAAAGAGAAGGGCAAGTAGCTTTGCATAAGGATATATGGAGAAAAATACATCTACCATATAAGCAACTCTCTTCTTCAATGGTACATCCTCCTTGTTATCGTTTGTTCTCCTCAAGAAATTTATTATTTGAGGAAGGTAATCAAGATATTTGTACAACAAAAAAGGCAAAATAAGGGTTACCACCACAATATACAAAGCAACTGTTCTACTGTCAGTGTTCAGGATATAAGAAAATGAACCATCGTCTTTTTCGAAAGATGTCTTTCTATTGCCAGGACAAAAATCAATTTCGCAGCACATGTGAAGTTTCTCATCCTGCAACCAAAGACATTAATAAAGAATCTACCCAAAATAAACAAGAAGTTAACTACCATATTAAATTTCTTGAATTACAAGCTTACCTCCAATCTTCTGAGCCTATATTGTAGATAAGCGGAATGAGGTACAAAAACAATAGAAGTAATAACGAGCTGCCACGAGAAAGGAAAGGTTCAAATGACTCAGAATGAAGTGTTCAAAGAAATTATCTCATTTCATAGAAGAGCAAACGAAAGAGAAGTTAATGGTCCATAACTTTCTGCCATGCAAGCTCAATACAGGGGACAAACACAATAATTTGCTCAAAACACTATGTGGGAAAATGTAAAGTAAACTACTTGTCATCATCCAATGTTGAAAATCTCTAGAAGCATCAATAGTTCACATGGAAGAACACCTAGGGCTGTAGAAAGGTATCTTACTTAACTACGAAGCAGTAAGTAATGATGGTAGCTCACTATTTTAGACACGAAACCCCAATACGAACCATGACCCACACAATTGTCGATACCCTTTTGCAGAACATAACAAAACTAGTTTAGGTGAGAGAATCTAATCGCAAAAGTAAAAAAGGAAATAATACACGAAGCCAACTAAACTAACTAACTAACCAGATACAAGATCGGAGAGAGCCTGGGATGTTGAGGTCTGGTCAGTTGGGAAGGGGGTGGCGAAGAGGAAGAGGAAGGAGGAGGAGGAGGAGGTGGCGGTGGTGGAACAAGTAAGGGTTTAGCAAGGCTGAGGTTGTGGGTGTTGGAAGGTTTGGAAGGTGGCTTTTTTTTCTTGGTGGTGGTGCCAAGGAAAGAAGGGTAGTTCCATTGCTCGTCGGAATCAGAGACAGACACAGAGAAATGGCGGGTATTAGTAGTTGCAGAGGCAGAGGGTGAGTGCCTTGGATTGGCAATAGTCTTGCTCCGCTTCAAGGGTGGCTTCCGGTTACTGAGATTGGAAGGTTCCTCATTGCTCTTTCGCATTCTTCGTCTTTTTCACTCACTTGGGTTTAGTAGCGACAGAGATATTCTTATTCCCTTTGTGGGGCTCTCTGATGCTGACCACTACCGAGATGGGTTGCTTTTGGTGGGATCTATGAAGAAAGAGAATGTGTTGTGTTGTGTTGTGGTGTGTGGAATTTCTAGTGTTGAAAAGCTGAACACACTCTCTCTCTCTCTCTCTCTCTCTGCGCTTCAGAGTGCGCTCTGTGTGAAGTGAGTTCCCTTAACGTGGATTCAGATCCTCACCCTTTCTTCGAATAAACTTTTCTTCACACTTATTTCACTTTTTTTCTCTTGCTACTTTTTCTCCTCCTTTCTTTCTCAATTATTACTGTCAACTTGATTCATTAATGTGTTCAACACCCACTTCCTCTTTCTAAGCAGTAAATGAATAAGTTGAAAACTTTAGGGTTAGAATAAACAACTACGTAATTTATCTTTTTAGTAGAGAAAAAATTAAATAAATTAACCACACATTCTTTCAAATTGTATTTAAAGGTATATTTTTTCCTTCATTTCAAAACTTTGAGAAAGACCTAATTTTTCCCTCTTCTAAAAGTGTTTGTAAAAAAAAAATCGTAAAACCATATGTTATTTTATATATAAAATTCTAAAGTTCTAAATTAAGAGTATTTTTAATTGGATTTTTTTGAATAAAAACATATTATTTTAACATAAATCTCAAGTATAAAACTATTTAAAATAAATAAAATAAAATTTTTAAATCATCTTCCATTATTATAAATAAATAAAAGATGATGTTTTTTAACAACTCATTCTATATAAGTTCTCGTCAAATAAAATATTATGGTAATTTTAAATTTTTATTTTGGTTTGGATTTTATATTTAAATATAAATTTAAAAAATATTTATTTTTAAGAAGTATTTATTTTCTTTTCCTATCTCATATATAAAAAATATTTTTAAATATTTTACGTTTTTTACATTTTCTTTTATCTATTCTTATTATCTTTTCCAAACTTTTTATGAATTAGTTTTTTATATTATTTTTTTCTCATCTTTGCTGATTTATGTTTCTTTTATCTTTTTAATTATTTTTTTTATTTTTTAACTAATTTAACAAACATAAAAAATATTTTTTTCTATTTTTTTCTAGATATTTTATATTAATTTTATAATAACTAATATTATTTTATTTTTATTAAATTTTATTATGTTGTATTTTATTATTTTATATTATATATTAAATTTTATCTTAATAAAATAATTATATATTGAAAGATTAAAAATAATTAGTAGGTCAAATTTTTATTATTTTATACTAATTAATTAAAAATAAACTTATTAAATAATTTTTATAAATTATATATTTTATATTTATTAGTATTTTAAAATAATAACTTCAAAAATAATTACTTATAATTAAATATTCAAATAAAATATTATAATAATAATATAAATATTTTATATTTATATAAAAAATTTAATTAAATATTTCTTTTACCAATATATTTTAATATAAATTAATGTATATAATTGATTAATAATAATAATTAAAAATTATAATCTACATATATTTATTTATGTAAAAAAATATACAATTATTTTATTATAACTATAACCATTTTTAGACATAATGTAGAATAGAGATGGGAAGAAGGTTATTCCATTCCCAATCCTACTTAATTCTAAAATTGTTTATTTTCAGTAGATTATATTTTTCCTTGGGTTTACCATAAATTAAAAACATCACCACTCACAAATTAATAAAAAGTGGCAAGTTTGTCATCCAAATTTAATGTATATAATAGAGTTATTAGCAATTGTTTTTTTTTTTCGATTCAATTTGAGTTTGTGTATATGAAAGTCTATGTTAAAAAATAAAATCAAACTCAACCATTCCCTATTGAGACATTTTAATTTTAGCCATTTTGGGTGACAAAGTTTATAGAAAAAAATGGAACATGGAAAGTGTTTTCTAGTAATAAGGGAAAAAAATCCAAACAAGTTTGCACCATGTATTCGGATTAAAAAATGTATAATATTTAAATAATTTAAGTATATTAATTTTGATTTTTTTAAATATTTTGATTTAGATAAGATAAACCAAAGGGATCGAATATTTTGTTATAAAATAACATTTAATTTTAAATAATTTTATTATTTTCAATCAATGATATTTTTTTATCAATATTAGTTAAAGTACCTTACGAAAGTATATATTTTTTTAAAATAATTTGATCAAATTTGGAAATTTTTAATAATTAAACATAGTTTAGAATAAAATAATTGAAATCTTTTTAAAATTATATAATAAAATATTTTAATGAACGAAATAAATAATATATGTTATGTATAAGAATGACTACGTCTCGATTCAATTATATAAATTAATTTCATTTGAGATATTACCCGTTTTTAATAAAATATTTATTTTAATAACATTGTAAAATTTCATATGTCATTTTAGCTAAAATTTATTCTATATATAAGAAATATTATTTATTATAAATTATTGTTATATATAAAAAAAACCTTAGTTTTTGCATTTCAAACCATTATAGAAGTAATAAAAGAAATAATTTTTTTAAAATATAATGTTTGTAATTTTTTAAATATATTTAAATGAATTATTATGTATAAAATAATATTTTAACACAAATAATAATAATAATATATAACATATTATTATTATAATTTGAAATAAACGGGTTTATTAGTATTACTTATTTATCTTGGAACTGAAACCTTTTACGTAGTGGAATATGGACCTGTTAATGTTATCTTTTATGGTACGAGTATGAGCGTAGGAAGCAAACTACAAATACCGTAGTAGTGTCTTTCCTCTCCTTCTCCTATTTCTAGGGTTCATTCGTCTCTATGCAAACCTAAAACGCATTCAATTCTGCACCTGATCTCCATCTGCATTACCTACCCTCTCATCTTATCTGCGCCATCATTTTCCAGTAACCATCTCATCTACACTCACCTCATAAATCCAACACTGTTTTATGCACCATTTCATTCATCACAATCACAATTTTCTCTCTCTGCTATTCTTCGATTACAACACCCTGCCAACCTACCTTCACTGACATTGTTTGTTGATCATGGACCGCGCCCCGGAATTTCAGAAATGTATCCTCTTGTTTATTCGGATAACAGTTTTTTCATCTGCATAGCAGTTTGTCAACATGCTGTAAAACTTATGTTTTGCGACGTTTTTTATTTTTATCTCTAACTTGTATATACATTACAGGCTGCGAATTCCAATTTGGATTTGCTCTACTGGCTACTTATTGCTTAGTACCCAGGGATTTTTCTTTTTCTTGCAAAAACGTGTCTATTTTTTTTTTTTTATTTCTTAATCAATGTTAATGAGTCATGGAAGTCTTTAAGAAGACAAGAAATATCGATTACCAAAATTTAGTTGCCTGTATAAATGCCAAATTTCTACCTTCTTTTGTTGATCAGCAAACATAGAACTCTAAATTCACAAAAATGACAATAATCTGTTTGTTGATACTAATAAAATAGAGAAATAGTATTAATACTGTCAGAATCCTAGTACTTTTGATATTATTAATCAAAACTCCTATTCACTAGCTTCGGTTTTGCTTTCATTCTGTTCTGTATAAAGCTTCTAGGTCATACTTTGATAGTACTGAAAGGTTGCTTGAACGTAACAATCTGAAACAAATCCTATGACGTGGTTACATATTAGGTTTCTGGTTGATTTTATTTGGCTTCTCTCTTATTGGACATGTTTCAGATATTTGTGTTCTGTATTTGGCTTGCTTAACCATATGATATAGGTCAATCCGTCCCTGAAGGAACTGCAGATCATAATCAGCAGCAGAACAATGAAGATGTGGTATGCCCACTTTCTTAGTTTCCTATATATGAATGTGTGTTTCACTCTGGTTTTCTTTCTAAATTTTATCTTTGATTCTCTTCAATATACAAGTACTGCAAATCGTTGTTATTGAAATGTCACTGTAAACGCATTGGGACTGCAAAACACATTGTTTGTTTGGCCTGATAACTCTTCTTCTGCAACTGTAAATTGCATTAGTAAATACTCATGGGAATTAATGAGACCGAACTCCCCCTCTTTATAAGTTCAAATTGACACTAAACAAAGGTCTTAAGAGTGTATGAATGCAGAAGAATTATAATAAAGATTTTTAATGTAAGAAAAATTGTGGAACTTAGTTTAGGAAAAACTATCTTCACGGTTGAAGGTAGGATTACATTGTTTCTTACTTGAAACAAGAGGATCTTTCAATTATTTCTCTTAAACATGAATTTACATTACAAAGTTTCTCTTCCTAGGTAAAACCTATTGTTTAAGGTTGTTGAGTATTTATTAGATTAGTTGTATCTAACTATTGACCTAGTTCCTAGAATGTATCTGTTTATCTTCTCTAGGTTTAATCATTTCTTCCTATTCATTGTATCTCAGAATCTGTATCTTTATCTCCTATAAACAAGAGAACACAAGAGAAAAGGATATGCTCTCAAAACATCTTTTTATTTTCCTATTATCTATTTCAAGTTGGTATCAGAGCGGGTTCGTCCCACTTTGCCTGTCTCTCCTTTTTCTCCATCGTCCACCGTCGTCCGCCACCGGCTTCCCCCTGACATTGTTTCACTTATTGTAATTGGGTTTGGATCGCCTCAAGGAGCGCGACCCAACCTCGGTGGTCGCTTCAGCCATCTCTGTTAGATGCGCCGCCTTCGTTCGCTGCTTCCTCCGCACGTGTGGTTCACGCGTCGCCTTCTTGGTGGCCGTTTTGCTCCAGACCATTATCATCTGGCTCGCCTCATTGTCCTGAAGCCGGATCTATCCTTTGTTCTATGTTCCAAAAGTTTGGTAACCCTTTCGTATACACTGTCACAGAACGCTAGTTGGTCTGTGTTCAAGCAAAGCGACATTGTTTCTTGGTACTCTCTCATTGCTCCCGGTCTTCTCTCTCCAAACATCCTGCTGGATATTTTTTTTTTTCTTAAGAGTCCTTTCTTGTTTCTTGAATAAAAATGTCAGGACCAGCAACATCTGTATCTTTTTCTGGCACTCTTATTATAACAACAAAAAAATTAAATGGAAAAAATTATTTGTCTTGGGCCTCCTCTGTTGAACTCTGGTTTATAGGATAAGGGGTTCATGATCATCTAGAAGACGACGAAAGTACAAAACCAGCAAATCAGGCTCCTTAATGGAAGAAACTTGATTATCAACTTTGTGCTCTAATATGACAATCAGTTGAACCAAATATTTTGAGCACTCTCCGATCCTTCAAGACATGTAATTCCTTCTGGAAAAGGCCCAAAATATCTTTGCTAATAATATTCAACGACTCTATGATTCTGCTAATAGACTAGTCTCCCTTAAGTAAGAGGATAATAATATAATGTCCTTTGCTGCTGAAGCTCAATCAGCAGTTGAAGAATTAAAAATGTTTCTTGAGGCAGATTCATTAGAGGAGAAAAAGACGAAACTGGATAAATTCTATATGGTTATGATTCTTAGGGTTATGAATCCATAATTTAATCATGTTAGAGGTCAAATTTTAACTGGACAAGATGTTCCTTCTATAGAGAGTTTGATCACAAGGCTACTTCGTGTTCCATCCATCAAAGGTAAAAATAGTTAAGAACTTGCTGAATCTTCCGTCATGATTTCTGCTCGGGGAAGAGGTAATCATGACAATAGAGGACGTGGTGGTAAAGGATGCCCTCATGACACTCATTGCAAAAGAATGAGTCATACTAAGGAAAATTGCTTTGCTCTGCATAGTTATCTTGATTAGACAACCAATACTTTAAGATCTGAAGTTGTTGAGCGCAAGTTCTCTCATGAAGAGTATCAAGAATATTTAAGAATGAAATCAACCAGTCTGGTTCAAGCATCTACAACTCCAAATTCGTCAACTGCTTATGTGGAAAGTCAAAATCCGTGGATTATTGACTCAGGTGCTTCTGACCACATGTCTGGTAATACCTCTTTGTTCTTCTCTCTATCATTTCTTAAAACCTCTCATCTCATATCTTTAGCCAATGGATTTAAAGTAGCCTCTAAAGGGATTGGTCAAGTATCCATCTCTCCTTCATTAAACTTACAAAATGTTCTTTGTGTTCCTTCTTTTCCATTCAGTCTTGTTTCCGTAAGCCAATTAACCAAATCATTAAATTGTTCAGTAACCTTTAATGCCAATTATTTTGTTATATAGGAACGTGATACGGGTCGACTGATTGGAGAAAGACATGAATCTGGAGGCTTATACTACCTTGAGACTAATTCATCTGGATCTTGTGTTGCATTCTTATCGCCAAAACTTTTACATGAGCGATTAGAGCATCCTCATTTGGCAAAACTGAAAAAAATGGTTCCTGAACTTTAGAACCTTCAAACTTTTGAATGTGAATCATGTCAACTAGGGAAATATACTAGGTCATCTTTTCTAAATCATTCTGAATCTAGATGTGATTTTGCTTTTAGTATTGTTCATTCAGATATTTGGGGACCTAGTCGTGTTTTATATTTTGGCTTTAGATATTTTGTTGCTTTTATTCATGGGTTTTCTAGATGTACTTGGGTTTATCTAATGAAAGATTGCTCAAAATTATTGCCTATCTTAAAGTCTTTCCTTAATAAAATTAAAACTCAATTTGGAAAAGTAATCAAAGTTTTACGAAGTGATAATGCCAAAGAATACTTTTCTAATAATTTCTCTGACGTCCTAAGTTCTCAAGGCATTTTACACCAGTCTACTTATCCTCACACACCACAGCAAAATGGTATAGTAGAACGGAAAAATAGACATTTGGTTGAAACTGTTCGTATCTTATTGCTTGGTGCCAATATGTCTATTCATCATTGGGGAGATGCTATTCTAACTATGCTTTCTCATTAATAGAATGTCATCTTCTCACAATAAAGTTCCATATTCTATTCTATTCCCAAAGGAACCACTCTTTCATGTTTCTTCTCGGGTATTTGGATGTATTTGTTTTGTTCATGATATGTCTCCAGGCTTAGATAAACTCTCAGTTAGAGTTATCAAATGTGTCTTCTTGGGATATTCTCGTCTTTAAAAAGGATATCGGTGTTATTCTCTTGAAACCAAGAGGTACTACATGTCTCTGCTAATGTCATTTTTTTTAATCATCCGCCTTCTTCCCTTCTTCTGTGCAGGATATTGATTCTATCCAACATGTTTTTCCTATCCCCTTAGTTGAGTCATTTGTACCTCCTTTTTCTGACACCCCAAAGATAAGCAATCCCATTCCCCAAGATGAGCCGCCCATAACAGGTCCTTCTTAATCATCTTCTAATAGCACGACTCCTGATAACAATGACTCCAGTTTGCCCATTGTCATTCGCAAAGGTACTCGTTCTACTCGTAATCATCATCCCCTTTACAACTTTCTTAGCTATCATAGATTGTCTCATTCCTATTTTTCTTTTATTTCTTCTGTATCCTCTATTACGATCCCAAAAAATGTGGCAGAAACACTTGATCATCTTGGATGACGACAAACCATGATTTCTGAAATGCAGACTCTTGATCACAGCAAAACATGGGAGTTGGTTCCTCTCCCTTCGGGGAATAAAACAGTTGGTTGTTGTTGGATCTATACTATTAAAGTTAGGCCTAATGGTCAAGTTGATCGTCTCAAAGTCAGGTTAGTGGCTAAAGGGTACACTCAGATATATGGACTTGATTATTGTGACACTTTTTCTACTGTAGCCAAAATGACCACTGTCCGCCTGTTCCTTGCCATGGCAGCCATTCGTCATTGGCCTCTTCATCAATTAGATATTAAAAATACTTTTTTGCACGGTGACTTAGAAGAAGTTTACATGGAGCAACCTCCTGGATTTGTTGCTCAGAGGAAGTCTGATTTGGTTTGTAAATTATATCGATCTCTCTATAGCCTAAAATAGTCTCCACGTGCTTGGTTTGGAAAATTCAGCTCTATTGTTCAAGCTTTTGGATTAAAACGAAGCGAAGCAGATCATTCAGTGTTTTATTGTCACACTGCCCCTGACAAACATGTTTATTTAATTGTGTACGTTGATGATATTGTCATCACAGGGAATGATGCTGCTAGAATATTTCAGCTAAAAGAACATTTGTGTAGTCATTTTCAGACCAAGGATCTTGGAAATCTAAACTATTTCTTAGGTCTTGAAGTGGTTCAATCAAGAGGAGATGTTGTCATTTCTCAAAGGAAATATGCTCTAGATATTCTAAAAGAGGTTGGGAAACTTATCTATCTAACTATTACTAGACTTGATTTGTCGTTTGCAGTTGGTGTTGTCAGCCAATTTATGCAAGCCCCTTGTGTTGATTATTAGAATGCTATCATTTGAATCCTAAGATACATTAAAAGAGCTCCAGAACAAGGTTTGTTATATGAAGATAAGAGAAATACCCAAATTTTTGGGTACTGTGATGCTGACTGGGCTGGATCTCCTATGGACAGGCGATCCACTACAGGCTACTGTGTTTTCCTTGGAGGTAATATCATTTCATGGAAAAGCAAAAAGTAGAACATTGTTGTCCGATCCTCTGCTGAAGCTGAATATAGGGCAATGAGGTCTCTCACTTGTGAACTTGTATGGGTAAAACAGTTCTTGCAAGAACTGAACTTCTGTGAGATTCAACCTATGAAGATGTATTGTGATAATCAAGCTGCTCTCCACATTGCTTCCAACCCAATATTTTACGAGAGCACTAAGCATATTGAGATCAACTGTCACCTTGTTCGGGAGAAGTTGTTGTCTAAAGAAATTTGTACTGAGTTTGTTGGTTTCAATGATCAACTTGAAGACGGACACATTAACAAAATCTTTGAGAAGGCCTCGAATGGAATTCATTTGTTCCAAACTTGGTACATATAATTTGTATGCTCCAGCTTGAGGGGGTGTATTGAGTATTTATTAGATTAGTTGTATCTAACTATTGACCTAGTTCATATAATGTATCTGTTTATCTTCTCTATGTTTAATCATTTCTCCCTATTCATTGTATCTCAGAATCTGTATCTTTATCTCCTATAAATAAGAGAACACAAAAGAAAAAGATATGCTCTTAAAACATCTTTTTATTTTCCTATTATCTATTTCAAGTAAGGTATTGCACTTTTTCTCGTTTCATGGAGATGAATCTTCCTAAGAAGCATCCACATCTCTGTAGAAAAGCATGTTGTCGAACTTGCCTAACACCCTTCAACCATCTCACAACTAAAAAATACTTTTTCTTTTTAAGCTCAGGCATTTTTCATGACACATTTTGGATACCTATTTTTGACTAAACACTTTCTAGACTCTAAATATTATGTCTGTGTGTGGGATTTGGTGCTTCATACCTAACTTGTAAGAATTTTTATATTTTCGAGAATTACTAGTGTTTCTCTTTACTATGCCATTTTTCCTTGGCTTTCACACTCTAACTCTTGACTCTTATATTTGTAAAAATGAGTGTCAAATTACTACTTGATCTTTCTAGAACTTTATGCCTTTGCCTTTCTAGGAGACGGTCACCCATCATTGGTTTTGGCACAAAATTTTCAGTCCTACGAGTAGTTACCCTTATAGAGTCTCTTGAATGTGATAAAATGTGGTTCTCATTAAATATGGAGAAATTATGACATTTACTTGATTGGCTGTCAGCCTGTTGCATCATGCTGAACATATAAATCATTCTTTGGATTTAATAATACATATATGAATGCTACTTGGGAATTCTTTAGTATTCGCAATAATTAGCAGTTCTTGTAGTTTTGTTCTTACCATGATCTCTCTCATGATGTTATCATATTCACTATATTTTTTACATATGTTTCTGCAGGTTTCTAGAAAAGATTGTATCTCATTGGATTCAACAACATCATTTGTGACCTCCTCTGGAGATGATACTGGTGTCACAGGTGAGGGAGATCAAGAGTGAGATGAAGATCTTGTGTTTGTCCTACACCTAATTGCTATTATTCTTGAGGAAAGATGATAATGAAATTGATGTATCTGTCTTAGAAATTGCTCTACATTTATAATTAACTAGGCAAAATAATTCTGAATACTAACTGCGATTATGATCACATCTGCAGATAATGACGTTTCACTGGTTTAAATCAAGTCTTCATTTGATCTTTTTAACATTTGATTTTTAACCTATCCAAAAACACCTGGATATTGATTGTATGGACCATTAAATTAAAATGAAGATTTTCTTTTAATATTTCCTTCAAAATTAAATATACTAATCTATGGAAGTTACACAAGAAGTTGATCTGATACTGTTTCTAAGCAGTGCTTTAATATGTACTGATTTATAATATACACATTAAAATAAACATTTCTTCATTGGATATTTTTGGTAGCAGATATTTTATGAGATAACTTGGAATCCTGTGAACACTTGTTGTGTAATAAAACCTTTTGGTATTATATTGAACCTTTAGCTATCAGGGTTGTTGTGGGTCTCGATGGACATTGTGTTGATCATCAATCTTATCTTTCATAGACTGAATATTTTCAACAACCAGGTGTGAATGAGTCAGAAGCTCTGCCTTGTTATGCATCAGTCCCCACATCTATTGGTGTGCATAGGAAAACTGTCAAGGGTTCTGTAGTTGGAAAAAATTATCCAAAATTGCATGGTTCAATGAAGCCGAATAATTTCAAGTCTGCACATAGAAGTGATAGTTTAACCAGCAAGACATCGGAGACTGTGGCTAATACAGAAAAAGATATCAAAATTTTAAACAAGGTAATCTGTTCGAAGATGATGATGTTTCAGATTTATGATATCATAAGGTTTCACTGCTTCTAGTTTGTTCATTCATTTTGTGGGATGTGTTGTTGCTTTGATGATGAATACTTGAAAAGTTATTATTGTCCTTGATTCATTAACACCAGTTTCAATTTTTTGGATACTTTGTTACCGAAAATTTTCCCCTCAGCCTTGTTTGTCATCTCTTGTGTCTGTTGTTTTTCTTTTATTAATATACTATACAAATAAGGAGTAGACAAAAACTCCACACACACTGCTGTATATTTTCACTACAACTGCTTGATCATGTGAATGTTTATTTTGCAGGCTCCTCATTTGCATTCTAATTTTACAGCAGCGACTGCTCCAACTACATATCAGCACGCTGGAAAATTTTCATCATTAGCCACCCCAAGATGCCATGTGTTCCCCCCCACAAACTACAGGCCAAATACCTCTACTAACTTCAGCCCAAACACCTCTGCGAACTACAGATCAAATGGGAGAGTATCTAGTGTGGATGATCGACATTTCTTGAATGACAAATTTATGAGTGGAGAATCTGAAATGTCAAAGGAAATGACTCGTGGACCTCGGGGACATTACAACTATTTTCTTATACAACCGTCAATTGTTGATGAGCTTGCGACCACATTGTCTAGAGACCAATATAACCTGTCAGATTTTCAAACTGAATATGAAACGGCTAAATTTTATGTGATTAAATCTTTTAATGAAGACGACGTTCATAAGAGTGTTAAATATAATGTTTGGACAAGTACTCCAAACGGAAATAAGAAGTTGAACGCAGCATTCCTTGATACAGAAGCTAAATTGAGACAGACTGGCACGAAGTGTCCAGTTTTCCTCTTCTTTTCAGTGAGTTCAAATCTTTGTTCGCAAGTGGTCTCTTTTTTTTTTCTTCTTCTTTAGAAGTATAACAAATCAGGATTTGTTTTCTTTGAAATTTTAGATATTGACATATTGGTAGAGGTATCTATTCTTGTATTTTATTTTCTATTGGTTCTCTTTATTTAAAAGCTCATTTGAAGAACATGGACGTCAGTTCGTGTTTTCCTTTTATATGTATGTCTAATATGTGAAAACAAATGTTTCTGGATTAAAACGTCAAAAACATTTATTCTCTTCCAAATTTTATCTGGAATATCTTTGATTTAAGTTTTGTTGTAATTCACAACTATATATCAGCTACTAAAGTTTTGAATTAGGAATTCGTGTCCATGAGTCATTATTTCTGAATATGATCCAACATGTATTTTGTTGTCAAATCAGGTTAATGCTAGCAGACAGTTTGTTGGAGTGGCTGAGATGGTTGGGCCGGTGGACTTCAAAAATGACATGAACTTTTGGAAACTTGACAAGTATAATGGTTTCTTCCCAATTAAGTGGCACATAATAAAAGATGTTCCCAACAGCAAGTTTGTGCATATCATCCTTCCCAGCAATGAGAACAAGCCTGTAACTTTCACTAGGGACACACAAGAGGTAATTCTTAACTCGAAGAGTAAAGTTGAGAAGTCTTCACTTCTTTTTATCTTTTCAGTCTAAGTCTAATTTTGTTCTCAGGAGTGTTTATTTTATTTTATTTTATTTTAAATCTTTAGATTAAAAGAATATAACAGATAAAGATAAGAAGTAACCTGTCAAAATTGCTCTTTATTTTTATATATCACATTCACATTGGTCATAAATATTGTTTTAGTTGTTGACTCCATGTTTTGTTAGAAGTGGTCTATGATTAAATTTGTAATGATCTTGGTTTGCAGATTGGACTGAAGGAGGGTTTGCAGATGCTGAATATTTTTAAAAATTATTCGTCTGAGACATCTCTTTTGGATGATTTTGACTTCTATGAGAAGCGAGAAAAGTTATTTCGTTCTCAGAAGAGTACGGAGCATGCAAGGCCAGAGCGGGGAGTATATGGCAATGCTAATAATTATTATCAAGTGAGTTTCATTTCCATTGCTTGCCTCTACAATGCTTTTTACTTATTTCTGCAATTGGAGCATAGAAGATGTCTGATTTGCCACAAGACACCCAACTGGAATATTGTAATGCTACGATGTTTTGTTAGTCATTAGATCCTCCCTTGCATGATGTAAAATATTTTTTCTTTTTTTATGCCCTTGTTGACTTTTACGTTTTTAATCGTTAGTCTTTTAATTTTCCGCAGAACACTTTCAAAGCAAGAGAGAAGAAAACAGAGATGCAATCGAGTGGAACCAAGCAAGGGACTTTGGTCAAACTAACAAAAAATCTTTCTCTCAACTCCTCTGGAAAACAACGCTTCAGATAGCAAGATTGCTGGATGGCGAGACGAGAAAAATAGCCCGATGATATTTATATCTACCCTTAGGCATTATAGAGTGGCAGACATGCAGTTTGGTTTAGATACGATTCCTCTTTTCTTAGTATTATATGATAATGATTTGTGTGATATGCTTTGACGAGACGAACATGACCACATTTTATGTTACTTTATGTTTGCCATTCACAAACTACATTTAAAATGAGGAGGTATTTGATAGTAGCTTTTCGACTGTGATTACTATTTTTGGATCTTACTGTATACTAAGTGTTAGTTAAGAAATTGAAAGCTAAATGCTTTTATAAAAAATGTTGCCAATGTACCGTATTACGATTTCTAATAAAATAATATTTATTAACTCTTTAAGTAAATTTTAATTGGAAAACTACACCTTACAAACCTAAAATAAGTACACTTAAGCTTTATTAACCTAAATATTGCACTTGATTTGTTCAGAAAAAAAAATTCTAAAACTCAAGCTTAATTTGTTTTACTCACTTATACTTTGGCTATTTTGTTATTTTATAACAAATGTCATATTAAAAATTGAGATTAAAGTAAGAAAAATAGTGAAAAACATTTAATTGTTTTAAATTACTATTGCTATTATTATCACAATTTATTGTATATATATTACTTTTGTATGAAATTAACATTTGCATGATTATATGTATATATTTTCAAATTTATAAAACTTGATGTTATATATTTATTTATTAAAATAAATAAATTTAATTATTTATTTAATGATTAAATTGAATAAGTCCTTTAAGCAACATATTATCTTCATCCCATCTTATTTAATATTTAAGTGTTCTAGATAAGAATTACGAAACGGTAACATTTCAGATCACATTAAAATTTTTATATAATGTTTTTTATACTATTTTTATCTTTTATATTAATTATATCTCTCTTCTACAAGTCAATAATAATATAGTTAAGGGAATAATAGAAAATTATTTTATATTTGATAAATATATTCCAAGACGATATTTAAAGCAGTTATCAGAACATGAAACAACAGCGAGTTCACCTATTTTATTTGGTGTGGTGCGAAGTGGAAGCATTGGATAAAAAAAAAAAATAGGGAGAATCCAAAACTTCTTGAGCTGAGAGGTTTAGTTGATTTTGAATTCAATGACACAGAATGTGAAGCATTCGGTGGATTTGGAGTGCAGTGAGAGTAATAGGCCGTCCAAGATATCAAAAATCGGTCATCCTAATCACATTGACGACGAAGAAGAAGAAGAAGAAAAAGGGATGAGTCAAAACCCTAGGAATGGGATTCAACGATATTTGATTGCAATCGAGTATATCGGGACCCGCTTCTCCGGTTCTCAAAAGCAGCTCAGTTGCCGTACCGTCGTCGGTGCTCTTGAGGTAACATAAATTACATCATCTCGCCATTTTCATCCATAATTACAATTAAATCAAATGTGTTATTTGTATTGTAGGAAGCTTTTTGTAAATTTGTTGGTCAACAAGTTTCTGTCTCTTGTTCAAGTCGAACTGTGAGTATCACTCTCATGTCACTCATCATTCACTAACAATTTACAAATACAATATCATATATCAATTAACCGTGTGATGAAAGTGCAGGATGCTGGTGTTCATGCATTGTCAAATGTTTGTCATGTGGATATTCAACGAATAAGCAAAAGGAAGCCTGGTGAAGTGGTCCGTTACTTACATAACCTCAACTTAACTTTATACTGATCAGTATATATTTGCTCATCTAGTATTACATAAATGTAGTTACCACCTCATGAACCTGCTGTGGTTGGAAGGGCTGTGAACCATTTCTTACAGGTACGTTCTTCTGTGTGTGATATACTAAATTGTAGATCATTTAAACATGAATAATATATGTTTTAGGTCTCTGAATTGGTCAAATTTAGTTTTAGTTCTTACATTTTGGTCCTTTTATTTTTAGAAAATGTGGTGGATTTTATCCCTGGCCAAAATAAAAATAAATTATAGGGACAACAATCAAATCCGCCACATTTCAAAAATATTAGAACCAAAACTACAATTTTTTGAACGAGGAACTATAATATAACCAAATCACAATGGTCTTAAAAACATTTTACCCTTTAAATATGTTTGATCTTCTTACATGACATGGGAGAAAAAAAAAACTATGAAGATGGCTGCAAAGAGTGCGTGTTTGCAAATTTTAGTAATTGGCTTGGATAAAGCAGATAAAAATGCTTACTTTCCATCATCTTATGCTTTAATGTCAATCATATTCTGAACTGTCTGCATGATGCATTATGATGAGGCAAAAACTTGCACCATAGGTCCACAGCTAATGCCTAAGTTTTTTTTTTTTTTTTTTTTTTTTTTTTTTTCTGTTCAATGTGGAATTTGTTACTGTTCTTGCATACTCAGTAGATTTCCTGTTTGTGACAACTTTTCATTTATGCAGATTCTAAATATTTATAATTATCGAATTTTTGGCTTTTGAAATTATTGCAGGAATATTGATGAATTATTGAATATATTCTTACACAAATTTGTGGACCAAATTTTATTACCAACTTCATGCTTTGCTTTGACACAAATTTGGAGTTGAAGTTTTGATTACCGAAATTGTTTCTCAAAATTTGCTTATTAGATGATGTCACTTGAGTATCGTGTCTGTGCTCAAAAGTTCCTAACAGATTTGTTGACAATTTCATTAATTTTAGAAGCATGACAGTGACGTAACAGTTATTGATGTTCGATATGTTCCATCTGATTTTCATGCCAGATTCAAAGCACAAGAGCGCACGTGAGTACTCTCGAGAATCTATATTTTCATGCATTGATTATCAGTTCCCGTAATGTATATAGCACCAGTGGCTTTTGTATATTCTATTGAATATAAGATTTGCATTCTTAGCATTTATTTATTGGATTATGAATGGAGGACTGCTTGATCTTATGAAATTGTACTTTATACCGGGTAATAGTCACAGTGAAGAACCTTGCAATTCATCTTATATTTCTGATATTATTATCTACTTTTCTGTGCATTTCCATAGAATTCTTTGTTTTGTTTATGATCATTTGAAGTAATTGCTAATTATTTGGAACTACCATTTAGATACTTCTATCGTTTGCTGTCTGGCCCAGAGCCTTTGACAACCTTTGAGAAAGATCGAGCATGGCATGTAACTGAGGAGCTTAATCTTCCAGCTATGCAAGTTAGTTGACAGCTCCTTATACTTATTAGATTGTCAATCTTCCATCTGTGCAAGTTATTGATGATATCCATGCAGGAAGCATGCAGGGTTCTTGTTGGATGCCATGATTTTAGCTCCTTCAGGGCAGCTGGTTGTCAGGTTGTATTTTTTTTTTTCTAATATTTAAACAAATAATTCATAAAATTCTAATTAATAATTTGTTTAACCTAAAGTGGAGCTTGTTTTTAAACCAACTCTCTTCTATATTCATCTGATTTTGAGGAATGATAAGACTGCACAGTAACGGTAATATATTTGTCAAGCATCACAGTGATCAAATGGCAGTCATAATTAAATTTTCATTTAAAGGATTTATTTTAGTTTAATGCTTTGTATGGATTCTTCCTAAAGTGTTTTTTGGCATGTCTTGTTTTGAAGTTCTACAACATGTCTTGCATATTTTCTTTGTATTATCAACAAAATATAATCGTAATTGAAAGTCAATATTTTCCTCTTACAGGCAAAATCACCGATTAGAACTTTGGATGAACTCAGTGTCTGCGAGGTAATTGAAAGTCTATATTTTCCATCTGTTATGGATAGAGAACGACATAATAAAGTCAGTGGTGATCTTCGTAGCTACCCCAGCAACTGTGAAACTGACATGCCTCCTAGTTCAAGTCCAAACATTGATAAAGTAACCACATCGAGTCAAGATGTAGGATTTGGCAAAAGAAGACGTCATCGTTGCCTGGTGGTAACAGCACGAGCACGTTCCTTTCTTTACCATCAGGTTGGGTATTATAACTTTGAATTGAGTCCACTAAGAAGTTCCATGTGTTTTTGTTAGGATTTAATCCTGCATTTTCGATCCAATCTGTTCTGAACACAGGTGTTAATTAATTTCAGGTTAGATTACTTGTCGGTGTTCTCAAGGCTGTTGGCACTGGAAACTTAACAATTCCGGACGGTACTCATGCATTCATATCCATTCCAGTGTGATAATATATTTTTACACATACATGATATTGTTTGGGCTTAAAAATGATCTCACATGAGAGCACTTTGCAGTTGAAAGAATTTTGAATGCCAAGAGTGTTACTTCCACAAGTCCCATGGCCCCGGCGTGTGGTCTCTACCTGGGAGAGGTGAAATATGATCTACCTACAACTTCCTAGACATTTCAGTGGACCTCAATTTGTTATCTCTAGATGTGTTATTTATGCATTAAGGATTTTTATTTCATTCAAATTGTCACATGTATCTAATTTTAGTTGGACTCTTATCGTTACTTAACTTTATATCTTTAAAATTAGATGAAACTTAAAAAAGGAAATCTTTCTCAAGCTCTATCATTTTGTCTTGCACTGAACCATGTTTTCTTTAAACATTCAAGCCATTCGTCAGGCTACCCTTTCCAAATTAGAAGAAATTAATCATTTAAAGTGTTATATATTAATCCCATTAACTAAAGAACAAGGACAAAATTATATTTTTACAAATTTTTGAGCTCCATATCTAAAATTATTAAAATTACTATTATAGAGAACTCAAGGTAGTGAATTGGACGAAGAAAATCAGAATTTTGAAATTATAGTTTTTACTATTTTCGGAAATTAGTTATGAATATTTAGAAATAAAGTTACTGATACTTAAATAAAAGTAAGAGTGTTACATTTCAGCTCTCCTTTTGAAAATTTTATTCCCGAAACTTGTTCACTATAGGAAAAATTGGGGTAATAGGCCTTCGTCTTATTCTCAAATATCCTTGTAGTATCCATCATCTCGACTCCAAATGACTTAAACAAAAAAATAAAAATAAAAAAAAATAGTACTGCAATCTTTTATTGTCACCGAAAAAACATTACTGGTAATATTTTCTCTTATTTGTACTATTTAGGATCAATTATGTGCAAAGGATTAGAAAGATGTTTACAAAGTTGAGACAGATGAAAAACATAATTGAGATTGGGTAATATGTTGGAGAGAGTATGTTTGAAATTCTTCATCACCAATACGATATAACTTAATTTTCACTTTCTAATAATAATGTCTTAAGTAAATAGACGAGAATGTCTCTGAAATCTCATCTTCTATGGAAGATAAATTCAAAATTACGACAACTATAATTCTAATCTAAAATTTTTAAATTTAACCATGAAATTCTTGCCAGTTAAGCCTTAAACGTAACTCCAGATGTAAACCGCGTGAGATGGAAATTGCCTCCTAAGTAATATGGTTGCGCGGATCTAAAAAGTGAAATGAAATCGACGGAAACAAAGAACAGAAAGCAAAATTACAAAATCTGCTATTGCTATCAAATAAATTGTGACTATAATACATCATGTAGTGAAGGGATGTCCACTAAGATCAAGATAAGAAGCTACTCCATGAAAGTCCTAATAGCAGCGTGAATTGAACTAGTACGAGCAGAATTTCTCTTCTGTATTAGTGAGTGTGGTCCACTCCAAACAGACTGGCTATTTTGGGGGAAAAGAATTCCACATAAGGTTGAAAGCCTGGGGTTTTCACTGTATAAAATCTCAAGGACCTTACTTTTCTGCTGTTTATCTTGTGACGCCTACAAACAGATTGAACTATTAAGTACACTTATTAATTGCAAATAATGACAAGTTAATGAACTTCATTCTAGCATGTGATTTCTTTTGCATGGCTGATTAAGCAAATACTGTATTTTACTAGATCAAACACTGAGTAAAATACCTTTTGCTTCTTCTGTTGCTGGACCCCCGTAGCTTGCCCTTCTGGTTGCTTTGTTCCATATTCATCGTGATAAACAGTTGCATCACCAACATTTGATTTCGCTGCCAAGGTTCCACCATGTTTCATATTCTCATCTATCTGTCTCTTCTGACTGTTCATTTCAATCTCTTCCTCATCTTCTTCCTCTCCATTCTCCTCCTCATCCTCATCCTCATCCCCTTCTTCTAGACCATGGTCATCATTATCATCATCATTATCAACATCAATGCTCCCATGCTTTCTCTCAGAAGGGCTACACTGCTTCTCACTAATCTCCATCTTTGTTACCTCTCCTCTGTCTTCATCAACATCTCCATCAGTGCCCATAGATTCATCTATATTTGATGATGAATCCTCGCCACCAGGACTATCTACCTGTATCGATTCCTTAAAAACAAGGCAGTACAAATTATTTCAGTCATTGTCCATTTAGTTTACAAGCTAGTCAATTTTTGGATTTCGAAAAGTAGATACTTAGATTTCTTCAACACTCGTACTATGGCCCTCATTTTATGTCTGGGATTCAGATGCCAAAGGTAATATTGGAAATCAAACTTGAGAATATCATTTTCATGCCACTTAAAAAAATTGATTTATGATAGCTGGCATAATAAATTACACCAAGGCAGAGAGATATAAAGCCAGTATGACTATAATTTTTTCTATCATTATTCTTAATGAGTCGCAGCGTAATAACCATAAAGAAAACATCAAATCAGAAAAAACATGTAAGTAAATCTGTTGCGGCCCTATCATTTTAGTTAAGAACTTTACCAGTGAAACATGATACTATACCCTAAAACTGCCGCTAAAAATTGCCCGGCATCTATCCAAAAGAAAAAGCATAGGCAACAAGCCATTAGCATACCTCGTGTTTAAACTCTTTAGCATGCTTATCACCTCCAGATCCATAGCTGCCTCTAGCCATTCGAGCATTTTCCTCCCGTTCCTTCCTACGTCGCTTTAGAACACAAATAGCACATAAACAATCATGCTTATGGTGTCTCCTGCAAATAAGATAAAGTGTAAACATGCAAAAAATTTCAATGAACCATTATCCATCAACAACTCTCACCATTGATACAATGGAAACTGAAAGGATGGGAGCATGGAATCCTATGTCCTAAACTCCTCCTTATCCAAATCTGTTTTAGAACTATTACATTTACAAATAAACCAAAAGATATATTTTACAGAACTTATCTGAAGGAAATACAATTCCCAAAGTAAATAAAAATTTCTCTTCTCTATCTGACTTGAGATTTACAACGCACTACTTGACAGTCTCAAATCTCAGGGAAAGAGGTATTAATCTACAATTAAAATCTACTGTAAACTTATATTGTTCACTTAATACAATGAAGGTTATCATCAAGTGATTTCATTTAGTTAATGTGATAGCATAAAATAAATAAAGTTATTTTGCAGTTTGGGAATACACACCCATGTCGCTTTTTTGTCTTCTGCTTCAATTGACTACTTTTTCCTACTTTTCCATCACCAGACAGTGCAATATCTTCTGTTGAAATCCTCTCTATACCTGATCCATAATGAAAACATATGGTCATGTTGCTATCAGAATGTCACCGTAAAGTATGTTACATGAAATGAAAACCATCTGTTTTAAGAAGATTATGCATGCAATGTAATGTTCTTCATTAATGGGACAGGGTTAAGAAATGTTAGGATAAGAGAGTTGGTTGCTGCGATGTTGGGATATCCTGCCCAATGATGGGTGGAACAGTCTGGGTTGAGATGGCATGTATTTGAATAAAAGTAACATAATTTTGTTTGAATATTTTTCAATGTAATGGAGGAGAGTTTTCCACTCCATTGTATGGGAAGTAATTGGAATGGTTACTGGATTAAGAAACAATACCCCATACCCCTGAAAGTTGGGGGTAGTAAAAAAGAAGCATTGGATGGAATATATTTCATTCATCCTATGTTATAAACAACACAAAGGGTCTAGCTAGATATTACAACAAAAGGCAAGGTGAAATAGAACTAATTGTCATTCTAAAACTTTGTAAGTTTTGGAGCTAGATTACCTAGAGTGAAATCTCAGAGAGGCAAATTGCTTAACTAAAATTTCTCAGTTTAAAAATTATAATATCTATCATTTATAGCTTCCCTCTCTCCTCCTCACCCAGAAAAAAAACAAAATATAAAAGAACAGGGACACAGACAAAAACAGAGGCAGTGAGAAAAAACTACACATAAACTAAGCCTACTCAAGCAGAAGATTCCTCTGACAAATATTGTATAACAAAAATATTTAAAATGAATGAACAGACACATATTTTCAGACATCATTCATTCAAAACAGATTCTGGGAAGGCAGAGCCAAGAGTTACATGCTGAATGCTTTATATCTTTCATCCTTGCAAAGTAAAAGAGAAAGATGGTATTTTTAATATATATACATACACATGGATGTCTCACCCTTGGTCCCTTTTGATTGTTCACAGTATAGTCCAGCTGCAGTCCAATACTTCATAAAATTCTTCTTTACTCGCCTCATAAGATCCAAGATATAGTCACCCTTATTGTTATACTTGTAACAGTTGTCCCAAATGTATTGAACATCCTTATATACATCCTCTGAATTCGTATACTTTTCATTTTTTTCAAGATTGCTGCATATAGTTCCAAAATCCATTGGTGTGTCTATGATATCAAAGTAGTCCTGGTTCCGGATAGTAGTACGACATTAGACACATGTGATCATTTCAAAAAATTGGTTCCAAGTTTTACTATCAATAACGTTATTCACTATGGCTGAACATATATCATAGATCCTTATAGGATATAACCTCCATGTCTACCAAGAGAGAAAGATAGCTAGTGCATGTTAAACAATAACAAATATCCACCACCCAGTATCTTGTAGAATGTACTACTTCAATTGCTATCAATTTTTAATAGTGTTCCTTCATAGTATTAGTATGTGAAGAGAAACTTTATTACACAATAACTTCTGGAAGTATGCAGGACTTAGAAGATTGCTTCATTGAAATAAAAAAGAAATTTAACAAAACAAAAAACTAAAAAAGGTGCAATATTTAGGTTTAGTGGCGGAAATTAAGAAGAGAAATATCTGACATCTCAAGGGATTCAGAACCAACCATAAAATAAGGGTCATCCAATTTTTACTTAAGAAAATAAGCTATGGAAAAAAATTACTTACAGGAATTCCAAGAGCTTCGGGATTGACAGGAACATTGAAGGGTTCAGCTGCATCCATTTTCATTACCTTCCTTATAATCTGTGCAGAACAAACCTATTGCATTATTATAATTGATAATGTAATGCTTGGAGACAGCAAACCAAAAACAAAAAGGGCAACTAATATTAAAGCTCCAACACACCACTAAAGAAGCATCCAATTCCTGCTTATTATATTGTGCACTCTGTTGAGTGGCCTTTCTTTCTTTTGGGTGGATGATCTCGGTGGAAGCTGACAATGGTTTGCTTGTGGGCTCAGCATTTGATCCCAAAACCTTTGAAGACTTAATTTTTATGCTACCGGCTCTCTTTGACAGAGTACCCAATTTCATATCAGGCAACGAATTTGCACTATCCTCCATTCTCTCGGCACTCACACCTTGTCTTTCAAGGCCATGATGCTGGCTACTCTTATCCGTATCGCTCTGTGTGGGAGCATCAGATGAGGTGGGTTGGGAGTCCAACATTTTAGGTGTCCTGAGCTTCACCTTAACACGCCCAACTGATTTCCCAATAGCCTTATCAATGGAACCATCAGGATTTATGTTAGCAAGATTGTAATGTTGATCCGTCCCAGTTGAAGAAGGTGTGTCAACTTCCATTCCAGAGTTATCTTTATCATTACCAAACTCATCCAAACCGGAGGTTTCTTCCTTGTTTTGACCCCCACCATTACTTAGGTTCTCGTCAGCACTTATTCCATGGTTAGTCGTACCTTTTGCCTTCCCTTTCTTATGCCCACGCTTGCGCTTCATGTTCTATCTTCTAACCAAAGCCTACTCTGAAACAAATTAAAAAAACAAGTTGAATAAATCACCATACTACCCAGTACAATAATTTATACATTTCAGGGACATTAAAGGCTTGTAATACTAAGGACAAGAAAAGCACTTGCCAACGAGAAGAACAAGATTCAAAGGAAAACGTAAATTTTAGCTAAATGAAATGAAATTATGGAGTAAAAGAATTAAAAGTGGAACTAATTTAGATAATTGAGCAAAGCAATTACAAGGAAGAGGGGAATGGGTGTGGAGTACGGAAGCGAGAGAATGCCGCGATGAATGGTGGAATTGGCGGAGCGGGAGAGAGGAAAGGGAGGTGATTGGGAGTGGGAAGGGTCCCTTGAGCTTCAGTTGACGGAGGAAGAACACGACAACGCCATGCGAACACTGAATCGAATCCCTTACCTTCCGCTATCTTCTCAAATTCAAAACGCTTCGTTTCATTAGGATCTACTCCACCCCTTTTTCTCTCTCTTCCCCACACAGCACTCAACTACTAAGTAACTTTACTACATTTATACTCTAAATTAACAATTTAATCTTAAACTATATGACACGTTTAATACCAAATATTAAATTATATATATATATATATATTTGTAAATAATTAATATTACTTTTACTTATGCTATATTTTAATATCTATATTATAAAATTAAAATTTATAACAAATACTTTTTAATATATGAATTATATTATTATTGTTATTATTTTGTATTGAATAATTTAAATTATAATATAAAATCACTTCTTTTTATTAAAATTTGTAATTATAAAATATTTTTTAACTTTATATAATTTTTTAGGAAATAAACTATATTAATAATTATTTGAATAATTTCATATTTAAAAAATACATTTCATTAATACAATAATTGAATAAGTTAAATAGTAATTATTATTATTATTATTATTATTAATATTGGTACTATTTAATAATTTCCATCATATTAAACATAAACAATTTATCATTTAATTAATAAAAAATATGTTGAGATAGATGGAGATAGATTTGATATTAAAAAAATAGATTTATTCAATTTTTTTGGATTAAAATGAATTATATCAACACAAATCAATTAAAAATATTGGTGAGAAAAAGATGATTAGAGCAGGCAAATTAATTTGTTGAGAGAAAAATAAAGTAGGGTGAAGTGAGGGTTTTGAAGGAGAAATAAATAATTTGGCTGAGAATTGATAAGAATTTTTAGAGTTTTTCATATATATATATATTATTCATGTAGTATATATAAAGAAGGAGAAAATAAAAATATAATAAAATATCAAATATTAATTATATTTTAATTATAGTTATCTAAATTAAAATAATAATAGAATATTTTTTTATCATATTTTAAATAATAATAAAAAACTTAATATCTAATTTAAATACAAAATAATAAAATAATATTCAGTTAAAGTAATCGAAGAGAGAATATACAAAAATTCAAAGATTCAACAAAATCAAAATAATCCTAAGTTGACCTGAGGAAGATAGCTCATCTTATCATGTGATTGAAGATGAAGTAAAATGTCCAACCCACCAAAAATGGTAAATTTAAACTTATAACCAATTGATAGTTGATGCGATTCATGATAAACATCAAAAATTTTTGTTTCTTGTTATTTTGATACACTATGAAGGTTAGGTTTGTATACATATTTTATCTTTCTTTTTTGTATTGAATTGTATGTATGGAACGTTTCACAAAAGTAATTTTTTAAAAGCAAGTTAAAAAAGAAAAAAAGTGTTGAGTAAGGATTAGAAAAATGAGAAAGTTGCATGAAGTAGGGTGTGATGATGATGGGAAGCAGGAGGTGAAAAACAGGCCATGAACGTGACAGAGGCCATAAAATATTGGGAGTGCAGTGTGCAGCACAGCCTGCCCTTCACGTTCACCAATATAACCAATTATAGTCTCTTGTTTGGACTATGTACAAATTCTTTCTTCATTATTTTTGTTGCAAAAGTCAAGGTTGCTCTTGTTTGCTTAAGATGGAGACACATTATATATATATATATATATATATATATATATATATATATATATATATATGCTTCAATCTGTTTTTTCAACATTTTCTCTAGTGCGCTTTCTTGTCACGGGGCCATCTTCTTTTGTCAAAAACATGTCTTACATGCAAAATGGCCAACAGTTTTCTTTTCTTGAACCTACCCTTTTGCTGTTATGCTTTCAAACAGTGCATGGAGTTTCATTCTTTTTCAAATAACTCACAATTTGTACACTTATCATTTGGATTACTTCAAGTGCAAGTACTGAGAGAAGTTGAGGAATAAGGAGCCCACAATTTACCCCTTCATCCGTGTCAACAGAGCAATAATTATGGATGGTAGTTCATACAATGTCGTCTAAAACCAATTGATTGTCACAAGTAAAGTGAAAGTGATGTTTGCATCTACTTCCTCCTATTCTCCTCAATTTCATCTCTTTCTTACTTTTTTTTTTTCTTTTGGGGTTGCTAAGATAGTTACAGATAAGCTTTCATATTCCTCAGACAAGGTGATTGTCTCGTTGACAAAACATGTTTACTCAATGCTTTTTTCTTTTAATCATTCTTCTGTTAATTATTGCTTCATTCATTTCAGTAATTACTTTGGAGATAAATGATTGACAGAAATGGGGTTCTTGTGCACTTGATTTAACATAAAACTTGACAGATCATGAAATGTATTGATACTAACAAAAGCCATGGTTTCGCTTGACAAGGTTATTTTTGGGGAAACATGAGAGGAATAAAAGTGGTCTACATCACCACTTTACTAGCTTTATTTCTTTTTCCCTATAAAATGAATTCTTTCTTCACTTGAATCATGAATGTTCTACCACTGCTTAGCTGTTGGATGTCAAACTTTCATTCTCCCGCTCCCTTTTCATATTTATTTTTTTATATAATAATCATTACTTCTATTTTGCTTGTGTTGTATTCATTTTATTTATTGGGTTTCTCATGTAATGTATGAGTTGGTATTTGCACGATATTGCAGCAGCCTTTTTCTCTTCTTTTTATATCTTTTAATCAGTGGAGATTTTATGAGATTATGCAAGATTCACAGTGCAATCTTGCTCATGATTACATTTGAATGGTTATGGTGGAATCAAAGAGAGACTTTAGGCTTTAATCCTCACACTAGCTCTCTTTCATTGGGTGTATTGCGGTTATTAATTTTAATCATGTATGTGTTTATCATAAAAATTGTTGTTTTCAAATGCATACAATTATTAGATTGATGTATTAAAGGAATGTTGTCATTTCTAACAGTAGTATGAAATTATTGCTTGCACTTGTCCCACTAAGACTCACTATTCATGTGACTTAAAGGGTTGGATTAACAACAAGAACCCAGATGAAATCCAGCCTTAAATATGACTACTTTTAGTTTGCTTATTCTCAGGCTCAGCCTCTCCGGACAACAAGGCCCATTCTTTTTTATTTCTTAAAGTTTGCTTCTTCTGACAAGGTATAGTATTCAATAAGTTAGGCATCAGGATCATCGACATGGGAACATAAATAGAAAAGTGTACCAATAGGATTATCATACACCTTTGTCTTTACATTTTCTATTGGGTATAAAGCTAACCCTGCTCACCATCATGTTTGTGTGAAGCATAATACCATAAACATCTCTGCTCTTGCCTCAAAAACATGACAGTTAAGAAATTGGATCAACACACTTCAAGGTGATCCCTCACCACAAACAAAAATTCAAAGGTAAGTTTATTCTCTTCTACTACTCCATCACACTTCAAGGATGGTCATTGTCCTAATCTTCTTCTTTCTGTCTCAATGCCATTTCTAAATGCCTTAAAATAACCTGTTCTGTTCAATTTTCTTAGGACCTGCTCTCTGAATTTATCATGTATTTTGAAACTAATAAATATTTCATGTGCTGAATTTCTTTTCATTATCATTATTACAAGATTCTATTAGGCCATGCATACATCTGCTTCCAGCATTTAATATAATTACCCTTGGCCAGCAATTACTTGAAGTATTCATCTTATCGTGCCTTTTAAGAATTCTCATGCTTACTGTTCTTAGTCCAGTGTCCACGACTTTCCTCAAATGCCTTTAAAATTGACTAGTTGTTAATTTCACACATATGGTTTTCATTTATCTCCACCATTTCTTGGTTTCAGCCATCTCATATCTGTAGATCCAAAATAATGCATTAACTCCTGATATTGTTGTTTTGACATTTAGTCTTAGCCGTAGACCCACCTGCTACCACTATGGGTTGTCCTATGCTTGGTAATGTTTGTATCTTCCCTTCGAGAATTTTAATTGTTGAATAGAATGTTTCCCAAGAGTAGCATATAAAATTTTACTGTGCATCTTCAAGAATTTCCGATTTCTACCATGAGCTTCCCTATTTAGTAGACTCCTGATGCATTCTATTTTCATTTGTTTCAGGATAGAATTTCTCCAGATTATCTTTATATATAGCCACGGCTTCAACTGACTTGGCTTCCATGACGCTGAAGGTTATTTGGAGGCAGTGATTTTTTTGTCTCATCTTTTTTCTCTTCAGAAGGACAAAACAAAGTTAACATATTGAGAAGGAAAAGTATTTAGTGTATAGACCTACTACCATGAGCGATTTGAACGCTGAAAGATCAAAGCCATGGAACATATATCCATCTTCAAACCCTGGTCCATCACAAACAGGAGTTGATGAAGATGGTCCATGGAAAAGCTTAGGGACATCTATGAGTGCTATTTCTTTTGGTTTTGTTGCCACAGCCATTTTGATTTCAATGTTTCTTATAATGGCCATATTTGAACATTTATTCAAACCCACCTCACAATTCTCCACGCAAGAATCTATGATGCCACGTTATCAGGAGCACCCAGTACCAACTGGAAAACAAGGAAACCCACAATCAGTAAGCCTCTTCATAGTTTTTAACCGTGCTTTTATTCTTATATATATTTGTATGATGCTCTTTCACTTGTTTAGCATCATTTTATGCATGGGAAAAAATATTGCCAGTTTTGATAAGTAACCCGTGCGATATTCCTTTTCACTGTCATGAGGGCTTAAAATTGAATGCATTCAACTTGATTTCAGAGATAAATTATGTCATTTGCAACTTCAAAATTTGAGCATTTTTGTTATAAAGTAAAGGAGAATGAGGTGCAGGCCACCCAGAAAACATGTTTGACCATAAAAAGTTGGTGATTAGTTCAATACAAAAAGTGACCTGACCATTATATTTTGGAAAGTTATGTTGGTTCAATCACACAAGGTGATTTTCCCTAGTTATGCGATTCATGTTTCAACATCTCTATATTGAAGGGTGCTATTAACAATAGCAGGCGTATATTTATTTGTGACAGGTTTCTCCATCTTATGCGTCTGATTTCTCAGTGCTGATGCCAGGGCAGCAATATCCTACCTTCATAGCTCAACCTGCTCCTCTCCCTTGTCAAAGGGAAGGGGTTTATTGGCCTCCTCATGAACATCATTTTGTATTTAATTAGCCCTTTTTTTTTTTCTAACCTTCAATATGTTATCAATGAACTTCTCTTCTCTCTGTATACAGATACTCAGAGACGACCAACTTGTGTCAATTTTATACATAAATATTGTATTCATATGTCCAAATGTGAAGCCTGCTTTTTTCCAAGTTTGATGTACTTCAACTTAGCAACTAAAGTAGCTTCATAAATGTTTTTTTTGTTTTTACTTACATTATTATTAAGTCGTTGTAGTTATACATATTGGTTTCTGATTTTCATAATTATATGTATGTTTTGTTTCTTATGATATACCAGACATACTAATTTTAAGTCATTGTTTGTTTCTCGAGGAATAAGTGCCTTGACATATTAGTGGTGACAAGAGTCAGACCAAACAACAATACCAAAACTAAAATAAAACTACAATGATAATACTCTTTAGTCAGCAAAGATTACTTACACAGTAAATGTTGTTCCATAAATTTGAGAAGCTTGTGAACATCAGTTAATAATTAGAACGGGGTAATAAGGGTGGTGTCTGATCAGTGATTGAAGTATAATGAGATTGATTGTTCCATTCATGGTACCTCTCATCATGAAAGGAGTGTGATGTCAAATGTGTAAAGGTGAAACTGCCACAACACAACAATAACCTTATCAGTTGTTGTAACCACCAATCAACTCCTCATGAGGAAACAAATTACTAAACTTTTCTTCTTTGCTAAAATCAATGTCAAGACCATTCAAATATCCATCTATATATTATACTATAAAATATAAGTTTCTCATAAATAAACAAAATTGCTTGAATAACTTTAAGTATTCTTTCGTCTTGTTAATTTTTTCATTTAAATAGTAAGCACATGAATCATGAATAATTACACTATTTGTAGAATTCTTTATTCTTGGTTTATTTTTTCACCTACTTTAAGTGATTGATGCTATTTAATCTTTTCCTTAACTCTTCCATCAAGTATTACTTTCCTTTTTCATAATTTTAATTTCATGATAGAATAATTCGAACAAACAAAACTATCTATTAATAATGGTTTTAGTCTAGAACATTCTCAAATACTTCAGAGATATACCAGCCATATTCCGGTCTGTATCCATCATTTTTCGCCATCTACAAGCCATAAAGCATTGAAAAGAGCTCAACTTCAATGCTATTAGATACGTTGCAAGTACATGTAAATCCTGAGATCCAGTTGCCTAATTGATTCCCAAAATTGTCACCAAAGTCAGCCAAAATCAATATTAAATTTGATTCCGGCCACATGGGACACTGCCATCAATCCCAGTTGCTGCAGAGGTTGATACCAAACCTCCTTGATATCATCATGAAGGGTTTGTCTCCTATTAATAAGCGCTCCCATAAGCTCCAAGTTTCTGCTGGAAAACTGTCACATTCCTTAGTTTACATCTACCATTTTTCGAAGCAGCAGCAACACATTTTCTCATATACTGTGAACATATTAACGCAAAATTCTAAACGATATCTTATCTAGTTTTCTGGTAATAACTTATGTTCAAAATCTTGCTAAACGAGGTTTTAGGAGATTATGTCAATGGCATGTTTAACTATTATTTGTTTTGCTGTCATAAACATAGAAACAAACAGCGAAGAATGAAAGTAACGCAAGAAGTAATAATATAGAAACTTGATCCTAAAAGAATATTTGTCAGTCACCGGATGATAGATACAGAAAAGTTTATTACGAGTCCCACTAATGAGAATGAACGATTAAGAAAGATGACATAATTTCTTAGCATATTAAATCGATATATAATACTGTTTACGCCAAAGTTTCAAAGGGTGATCCTATCCAAACACAATTAAGTAATTGGCCAGTGGAATTGATTTCTAAATTTAATTTTCAACAAAGTCATGGTGTTTGAACTGTAAAAGTCTACATTACAAGTGGACTCAAATAGGGAAAGCCTCCCTGCAAGAAAGCCTTCTCTATCTCTGCAAGAAAGCCTCCCTGATTAGCATAGCAAAAACGAAGCAATTTTTCTTGTTCATAACTAGTAGCATCCTCTCCCTTCTTATTTCCCAACCTACCACACCTTAAAAATGAACACTTGCAGAACAGAGTTTGCGAATGGCAAGGCCTAAAAAGAAGGAATGAGCTACAGGTCATCCAACATGTCTTCATCTGGTAATACCATGGTCAACAAAGAATACTTCACTCGGAGAGAAATTCTGCCCTTATCAACGACAAGCTTTGCTCCAGAGACAACCCAATAGCCCGGAGACTCTTCTGGTCCTCTGGTCATCTCAGTTGTGTCAACAAATTTGAGAAGCTTGGGAGCTTGGACAGGAACAGGAGGGCCTCCTGGATAGACAGCAGAATTTATATTAACATCTGCTGGCCGCGGAGGAGGCTTCTGAAATGTTGCTGTGAAGTGTTGGCTAATTAAAGTGGATATCAGTCCTGACTTGGCTCCCAACTTGGGTGATCCCTCCCACTGATACTTCACTGCTTTAGCTCCTAGCACAGTTGAGAATCGAAGTCTTAGGAAGAGTATATTTTTTATGCCATAATTCTCAACTTGCAATTGTGCTCCGGTTACAATTGAAAGATCCTCCTCAGATTCCACAGGAGCAGTGCACACATGAGAGAAATTCTTCCATTGAACCTTCTCATAGAATCTTCTATCGTAAGACTTCCGCTGAAAGTTATCATTCGGATCATCTTCAAGCTGGAAGATTTTTGGAAGTGATGAAAGGTGTTGCAAATGGATGGCTAACCGATTGCTTTTCTTACCTTCAAGATACAGTCGGAGACCAGTCACTGGCCTCTTACCTACGTCAACCTGTTATAACATGACAAGTATTCCTGGCTTCAGCACAGAGGTTATAAATTACTAAAATGCGTAGGCACGTGTTCAGAAGCATTAAATATATCCTATTGAATGTTTCTAATTACTATATTTCTTTTTCAATAAAAACTTTCTGTGCTCTTAACATTTGCCCATGAGCACTAATTAGAAAACCCCACTCCTATACTATAATTGTGAGCTACGGATTCTTTCAGAAAATTACGAGGGTGATATAGTGCAGTAAACTCACACAAGTTCCACCCAAAAACAAACGAAATAGAGAATCAACGTCCACAGACTTTAGAATGTCAGTTAAAAATTGCTGATTGTTAACAATAAAGTATAGTGAGAATTATAGTTTATACCACATGAAGAAAAACAGATGCATCTTTTGTTTGTAAGTCTAGGTTCCACCACTACACGGTAACAAAAATAAATCCTAAAAGCTTCTTCAAACAAAATTTCCTCCGACATATTTTTCTTTCTTGGTGTTGAGTGACTATACAAGTGTGAGCAATTTTTTTCTCTAGACAACAACCCCCCTGAATCAAAAGTGCAATTAGCTTCCATTCGTTTAGATGGGATTGCATTACAATCGCACCTCATCATATGAGGTCCAGATTTGACATCTATCCCAGCTGGCCCAATATACTGTTGATGTTACCTTACGTTTTGGTGAGGCATATGAGGACCCCATCTCAACTTCAATTCAAGTCAAACAGTTGGGAAAGGTTCAAGCCTATGTAGAGGAATTTGAGTTCGCCGTAACTCAGGGAACTTTCACTCACACTGTACAACAAGGTGGTGAAATGTGTTTTTTTTTATACATGGACAGGCCCGTTCATCACTTTGAGACCCCTAAATGTAATGTTGTTTTCAGCTTATAATGGAAATTCAATATCTGATTATTGAGTATGATGACTTAATTGAGAATCTGATACAGTTACCTCCAGCTCCATGGATCCATTTAATCTACATCTTTGCCGGTGCGCAATAATTCAACAAGCACCAGTTCCTATGCTTCCCCAGTAGTTATAGTAAAAAAACAAAGATCATTCATGGCACTGTGTCGCATATAGAAGGCTAAACCAGCAGAGTATCAAATACAGGTTTCCTATTCCTCTTATTGAGGATTTGATGGATGAATTAGGGGGCTCAATTATGTATGATAAACTGAAGTAAATATTGCTTTGCTACTTTCAAGGTGGAATATCTTGGTCAATTCACTTTAATTCATAACTAGTGAGGCTGTGTCCACTGACCCCTCTAAAATTCACGCACTAGCATGATGGACACAACCTTCAAATATCAAGCAGCTTCAAGGGGTTTGGGTTAGCTGGATATTGTAGATGCTATGTCAGAGACTGGCAAAACCATTGACTGATTTTGTTACGAAAAGATAGTTTTCAATTGTCAAAAAAAATCAGCTGCGCGTTTCAGGCTTTAAAAACCACCTTAATCTCAGCTCCTATGCTAGCTCTCCCTAATTTTTCTACGCCTTTTGTTGTGTAGACATATGCTTCAATTTCAGGCATTAGTGTTGTGTTGATCAAGATAAACACCCAATTGCTTACATTAGCAAGTCTTTAGGCTGTAAACAACAAGCCATGTCCATTTATGTGAGGGAACTTGTTAGAGACCAAACACAGTCCTATCAGAACTCGTAGTCATTGTGTATGCTGTTCCAAAGTGGGAAGCTTATTTGTCTAAACTAATGGGATTTGTTTTGGAATTCACTATTAATTTACGAGGGGGCTGATAATGTGGCTGCAGATGCCTTATCTAGAAGGGCAGGTGCAGAGTTGCTTCCATTGATGCTGAACAATGCTAAAGAGGATTTATTGAAAATAATATGTCAAAACTGCCAACTAATAATTAATGAGCTTCAACAAAATCCCACCGAGCACCCAAAGTATACATGGCATAGGGGAGAATCGAGAAGGAAGGGAATGTTAGTCATTGGATAAAATACTCAACTCAAATCATTGATTCTGAAATGGTTGAATGATTCACTGCTTGGAGGACATTCTGGTCGCAATGTTACAGTTTCTACGGTCAAATCTATATTCTTTTGGAAGTTCATATGGCCAAAGATATACAACATTACGTGAGGAACAGTGATACTTGTCAACGTTGAAAGCCTAATTTAGCTGTTTCTCTGGGTCTATTACAACTTTTACCTAACCCTAAAACATTGTGGGATGAATTTTATATGCATTTCATAGAGAGGTTACCTCATTCTCATGGAAAGCGAGTTATTTTTGTGGTGGTGGATATTAGTAAATATGCTCCCAAGTATTTATAGATCATGTCTTCAAATTACATAAGATTGCCTAGTTCTATTATTAGTGATAGAACCCCAATTTTCATTAGTACAGTTTTGGAGTGAGTTGTTTCAGCTTGAAGGGGTTTCTTCAAATAAATCTATTTCACATTACCCTCAATATGAGTGTCAGAATGAAAGTGTTAATAAATGTTTAGAAACTTATCTCCGTTGCAAGTGTTCGGACAAACCTTCTTCTTGGTCCAAATAGCTTGCTTTGGCTGAATGGTGGCATAACATAATTTGCAGTCCTCTATACAGACTAATCCTTGTGTGGTGGTCAACAACAAACACCTCCCATTCACCTTCCCCATCTTCCACGGGGAAGCTATTATTTTCAATTCAATATCATCTTCTTCGTTCTCAAAATTGGATGTCTCACAAGCTGATAAGCATCGCAGTGACAGAATTTGTCATATTGATGATTTTGTCCACAGCTGCAACCTCACATGAAGTTATCGGTTTGTCAACAGTCATTCCATAAGTTGCTTTGTAAGTTTTATGATCCTTTCCGTGTAATTGGTTGCATAGGGGCAGCAGCTTATAAACTGGAATTTCCCTTTAATTTAGGCATACACAATGTGTTTCAGTTGAAACTGTGCAGAGACCCTCAATCTTGTGCCATAAATCTCCAAAAACCATATCCACTTGCTCCTTCTAAAGGTGAAACAGTAGTTATTGTGGATAGGAAAATGGTTAAAAGGAGTATTGGTCCAACTAAGGTGTTGGTTAAGTGGAAGAATTTACCAACGGAACGTGCCACTTGGGAATTCTATTATGATCTGCTCAAACAGTTTCCTAATTTTCACCCGAGGACAAGGCTGCACTTGAAGGGGAGGCTATTGTTACAGCAATTAAAATGCTGTAACATTTTGTTATTTTTCATTTTTTTTCATCAGCTTTATTTTCGATTTCATGGGTTATTGTTGTTTTTGGTTGCTGGTGTGGCACTAGGAAGTGGAGAGATTTGTTATAAGCTCTTTTCCAGAGACTATTTGGTTTGGTTTGGCCTAGTGGGTTCAACGGAAAAAAAATCAGACAAAATAGCATCTCTAAAATTTATTTCTGTTTTCTCTTTCTTTCCATTCGCAGTGGATACCATTCTTAATTCTGGTTTACCTGCTTCTAGTTGTAGACAGAGTTTATCTCCCTGAATCCAAATTCCATGAAACAAACCAAAAGAGGCACAACCAATCAATACCTAATATCCAGGACCAAAGAACAAAGTTTCACCTGTGTGATGTTAACGTAAAGCTTGGGGCCCATGAAGCTAAACTGTAAAGATGCAGAACTCCGTTGCTTTCGTTGTGGACCAAGTGGAAGATCACTGAATACAGGTGCCCACTGCCTTGGCAGCTGGAACTCCAAGAATTGGTGGAGCTCTTGAATTGGTGGTTTGTCTGCAAGATTCAATGCAGAATGATAAAGCATTTTGACTTGGTAAATAATGGACTCAACCAAAAATGAAGAAAGACAAAAAAATAAAATCGGTTCGATGAGAATTTAATTTAAGAAGACAAAAATGTAAACCTTGGGCAGTGTAAGGATGCATATGAATAACTAGTATCTAATCACTAATCTACTAATAAGGGTATGCTTTCTTATGTTTGATTACTTGGCATTGCAAAGCGATCCTTAATCGTTATTGAGCCCTAGTGGGAGCATTTATGCACACTTCCAACGTCAGCACACAAATTTCTCCAACTGAATATCATTGTTTGGGAAGGTGGACTTTTTAAAGTATGTTAAGACAGTAGGTTAATTCAAAGCTAACAGAATTAAAATATAGAATGAAATAAAACATCAACAAGGAGTTGAAAGCTTCTATTCTATTCGGTTGACAAATTATTTTTCCTTCCCAGCCAAAAGAATAAAATGATCGATTCAAAAAATCATGAGCATGTTACAAGAGTCAGTTACATACAAACTTCCATCACAATATGTCCTTTATTTCATAAACACAACCACTTGTACTTGCAACATCTATTAGAAGAACAAAAGTCTGCTTATGGTCTTGTTTCCAATCAGAATAACAGAGGACGGTTTGTTAACTATAAAACTTGTCAAAATCCCATACATAGACCACTGGCAACGGATTGTGTTAATTTTAAGTCATTATTCAGACAAGGAAATAATGCACTTAATGGCTCAAGTACAAGGTGAAATGAGTGAGTCATTGCATCGTTTCCTGAATGTAATGTTAAATGAGCATGGGTCTTGTTTTCTTTTTTCATACTGAACCAAAAGATGAGTTAGGAGTGCTTGATTAGGCTTGTTACTTGGAATATACACAAGTTGATAAGTCTTTGGAAGTAGTGGTCATCATGATTCGAAGGAGAATGGGTTCTTGAAAGACTAAGAAACTGGACTCTAAACAGTGTAAATTTTGGTGTGTAGAGAAATCTACTAGAAAGAATAGTGGGTATTATTGCCTACAAGAATTGGAAAAAAAATGTGGTGGATGTAAACAAAATAAGGTAGAAGATCTTATTTTTAAAATTAATGGATACATGAGAGACTCTTAGTATCTTCTGTGCTTATGCACCCTAAGTAGATTTCAGAGCACTTGTGAAAGAGAAGTTTTAGGAAGATTTAGATGGGTTGGTTCAGGGTTTTCCACAAGAAAAGATTCTTGTGTCGGTAGTAAGGTAAGGCAATTTACAGAAGCTATGACGGTTTTGATTTTAGAGAGCTAAATAAGGACGAGTTATTCTTGATTCACAATGACACACGATTTCAAGATTATAAGCATTTGTTTAAGAAGCAGAAGGAACATCTAGTCACCGATAGGAGTGGACATTCAAGGTCTCAAATTGATTTCTTTATGTTAAGGAACTCAAATAAAAGCTTTCAAGGAATGGAAGATGATTTCAAGAGTGTCTTTCTACACAACATAAGGTCTTGAATCTTGATATTCATTTTAGGAGATATAAACAATAAACAAATAAGTTACAAATGTAAAAGTCAAGTGGTGGTGGCTCAAAGGTGATAAACATTTTTTACTTTTAATTTTAAGAAGAAATTACCAGAGGGTGATAACTCGGAATCATAAGCCAGTGCTAACCTATGTGTAAGATGGCTAGGAAGGTTCAGTCTTAATTTGGACATGTACAAAGAAGGTCAATGGAGTCACAAGTGCCAAGGGTAGATCACATGGTTTCCAGCCCTATGATAAGGGGTAAAGGGGGTAGAGAAAGATCAAAGAGGACATTGGAGGAAATTACCTAATGGAATCTCATGGTGAATAATATCCCAAAGAGGTTGAGTTTTAAATGAACCCAATGACTTCATGTAATTTACATAACTCGCCTGGTGGAATAAAACAAACTATTGTTGTTATCGCATCCTATTAAAGTTATTAAATCAGAATGCATTTTCATTCTCCTGCATCCGATTAGAATTGCAGTCCTTATTGTGACTCTGTGATGCCTTTGCATACCATTTTGTCCAACAAAAAAAAACTCCTGGATCCATTTTAGGCCATGACATAAATCTGAAAGATGCAGAGAACATGTGCTTTGTGAAAATGCTGAAATTTATCATCCCACAGAATATGCCTTATCTTTAAATTAATTGCTTTTCCATTTTATTCAACAAATCAAATATTACAACTTATCAAGAATAATGTCATCATGGAATTTTTGTTCTCAATAGAAACAACATAAAATTTCTTTTGCCAATAAGGTATTTTTGTTCTCTATAGAATATTTGATAATTGAATAAAGGTAGCAGTTAAATTATACATTTAAATCAATAGAAGCACTGAATATATTTATCATTATGTTATTTTGAATATCTCTAAACACAAACATAAAAGGGCAGCCAGGACACAAAGCTTGGAGTCTGGGGAGGCTTAATAATATTTTATGATATTAGCTTAGAATATTTTAGAATATCATAGATGATCTATTAGGATTTATTCTTCCGTTATATTTTTTATGATTTGTTTCCTTATTTCATTAGAATTTTTTTAGTTATAGATATATCTAATTAGAATAAAATTTATTAAAATATGATTTATGGACATAGCATTTATAATATATATATATATATATATATATATATATATATAAAATATCTTATAATTGTTTGTATTTATTGTAATCATCTTAAACAAAATAGAATATATTGGAAATCCCACATCAATTAAAATATGGTCAAATTATACTATCCAAGTAAATGTAAACATCACATTATAAGTCTGATTTTGTGAAATTTAGTTAGACATAAAGTCCACTTTCTAAGATAGTATCAAAGTCTATCGTAGCGAAATTTATTGCCTATCATGTCACCACTACCAGACCACCATAAATATCTAGTCTTGTGCTAAAGATGTCTATTCATCGGCATAAGAGAGTATGATGCAAATCTCACATCAATTATATATAGCTAAATTATAGTATCCAAGCGGGTGTAAACCTCATCTTACAAACTGGTTTTGTGAGATTGAGATAAATTTAAAATTCACTTCCTAAGAGAATTTATGTAATACTTAAAATTCACATCCTAAGAGAATTTATGATGTAATTTATATTCACAGTTTTCAGCATCTCTTGCATCTATTTTTCTCTCTTTCAACATCGGCTATTTCCAGGATTAGAATTAATCCATACCTCCATCTTAAAAATGACATCATAGAAAATCATTTTGCTGCTCAAAGAAAAAGACAAGGCTGGAAATGTGAAGTGTCAGCTGGTCCGAAGGAATAAAGATGATTCTGCTTTTAACAGATTGAATATTTTTTTTCTCTAAAGTAAAGCATTACAAAAATTCTGTCCTCCCTTTCCTTAAAACAAACCAATAACAATGTAAGCATTTGAACTCTTTAATCTTTGTTAGGAAAAAGATAAGTTGACAATGGTCTCCATCTGACCTTTGTTAAGGTCAGGGGTGGCCTTCACAAGTTTATTATTTTGCTATCACAGACAAAACATAAACTATATATCCCCACGTTAAACTTTTGCACCTAATAGAATTGGCTAGTCCAAAACATAATGGACAACTGTTACAATCAAAACGAAAGGAAGTGCTGTTTAGATAGAACAGATGCAAATAAAAACGTCAATTTTGCTCACATCGTAAATAAAGGTTTATGGCATGGCTCAAGAATCCACTCCCTGGCACTCCATTCAATAGAGATGTAATTGGAATGAACGACATTGAGATCACATCAGGCTCATGCTGAACAGTTTGTAACCACTCATTGTGGGATAGATTTCTGTCATCACTCCCACCCCTCCTCTTGCAAATACTTACAATATCCTGCAATAAAAAAGAATAAGTACAATTGGTATTGGGAATATAGATATTAAAAATATTGTCAAAGTTAATATTCTAAGCACACCTCCTTATGTGAATAAGAACTTGATGGACTAATATTAGCAAACGTTAGCCTTTGGTCCCTGATTCCAAACTGAAGAGATGCAAAATTGATTAGATACTTTCAAGTTTCAATCCAAATGAAAATTTACAAAAATGAATATTGTAATAGAACAGGATCAGAACATAGTAAGACAACAAAATGCTTAATGACAGAAAATATTTTTGGGTCTGTATCTATGCAAGACAGGATCAGAGATGCAGATTCACTAACCCTCCAACTTAGTATTAAAGAGATCTCTGGACTCTCCCCTAACTTCTTCTCTCAATTAATCAGTCACTGCACAAACTAACCTCCCATCACTCCTTTTATCTCTACATACACATTCCCCATTGCTCATCTCCCTTTTCTCATTATTCAAGACAATAATTACAATTTATGAACCATGCAGTCAAAAAGTACTTTCAGTATTGACACTTGCACAAATTTATACACACTCGTCCCAGACACCCAAAAAAGTTATTTAGTACTATCTATTGTCCGCTGCAACTTTTTTTAACTGCTCAAATTGTAGCATACCTCATAGTTCATGCAAATATCCTTTCCCTTTGCTCTAACAATATTCAATCAAAATATACATGGGACAGTGAGCCTTGGAACCGAGAGCAAATGCATGAAATATCAAAGAAAAATACAGTGCAATACTCAATCAAATCTCAGAATTATCGAATCTTAAGAAACAAATCAAACCATATTGTGATGTTTTCATAAAATAGCAAATAAACATAGCAAGTCCCTTAGCTCAAAATCATTCACAAACCTTGTCATTTGGGAAAACTTGATCAGAAGCAATGGTATAGTGGCCGTTGGCATCTAGAAACCTCCTATCTGCAATCTCTTTCAATTTTTTCTGAACATCAGCAGGTTGAAGGGTTGATGAGTGTTGCTGCTTCAAATATATTACATCTTTTCCCCCAATTTTCATACCAACAATTATATGGGTGCCAAAGGTATCAATAAACCTGAGCATTGTGAATAGGAACAGTTGGCCAGAGTCTCAAACAAAAAATATAGTAAAAAGAAAAACGAGTTAACTAATAGAACAAAATAATTTTTAAGACAGTCAACTAAAGTTGTTTGTCAACACGATTAAGCCAATACAAACAAAATTTGAAAATTTGTATTAAATGAACAAAGATTTTAGATCCAAATTAGTCCTAATTTGATTAGAAGTTTAGTTGTTAGAACCATTTATTAAAGTTTTATACTATAAATTTAAATGCAAATAAACAACAAAAACCAGAGAACAAATATCCAAAATAAGTTTTTATCACATAAAATTGGTTTATACTATGCAAACATCAACAGTAAACTGCCTGTAGTTTTTGTTATAACTGTTATTTGTAAGCAGCCCCACGTCAAATTTTTCCATAAAAAGGACACTGATCAGCGAGAAAAGCAAAATTAAAATTATGTAATCTTGTCAACCTAATGAAATTGAATATCATTAAAAGAATATTCAGATATGCAACTGCATAATGTCATAAATGTATTTTTACAAATAACCTCATTCATGCACTCATTCCCAGAATTTTCTAGCACATGTGCTTATCATATAGGGGTGAAAATAGAAATCGCTAATATATAATCCTTGGGGCATAAATAAAACAACAGTAATATATTGGAGAACTTCCAGTTATTCATTTATATTAAAGGTCATTTCTATCTTTTTGCTATAAGGAATTAGCTTAAGGCCCATAGAACCTCAATCATTAAGAAACTAGAGCTCAGAAGGTATCCATAGTTCCAAGAACTGACGAAAAGGTCAAAACTAGAATTTAAAGGGAGATGATATTTCATTTGACAAGTACGTTAGAAATAATTTCACCAGTTGGTCAAGATTACATTAACAAGACTCAATTCACCTTGCTAAAGCAGGTGGATCCCATGATGATGGTACAGCTTTTTTAACGTGATCACAGAGGACCATTTGAGACTTCTCTAATGCAACAGTATATAGTGTAATTAACACCCCATCGAAAGCAAGGGACTTTGTAAGGGCTGCATCTCTCTGCCAACTCCCAGAAAATTCAAACATTGTATTGAAAAGCCCTGATGGAATTTTGCCAGTCAAAGATAACTCCTGATTGAATTGCTCCGACATCTGAAAACATTTAAAAGAAGTAAGCAGCCAGAGAACAGGAGATGATGCATGCGTCGCTTAAAACATAAATTGCTAATGAAAAGAAGAATCATTACCACTGAAAAAAAAAATTATAAACAAAAGAAATATTTTGTTCTGTCCCTTCAAAAGCATTCAGAAACGTAATTACTCAAAAATCAAAGGCCTTTAGAAACCTACTATCATATTCATAACTCGAAGATGATTTGGCTACTTAGTGATACATATAACACACTAAGTGGTTAGGGCATGCCATATGCTTTTGCAATAGCTTAAAGGGTTATTTACAGATGAGCTACTAAGGAACTACCAACAGCAATCAAACAGCCAGATCCTACAAGTTGAGCCAACCCTTCATTGGCATTAAACAGAGGGAGTTATTATTATAGCCAAGCAACCAGGACACATCATATACTGAAAACGAATTTCATCACGCATCATGGTTTCAAACACATAACCGTAATGTTTTGACAGTGATAACAAACACCCTCCTATATTTCAGTACATTCAAAACTGAATTTCCATGATAGTTGATAGTATGTCAATGCATCTATGCTTTCCATCTATTATCTAATAAAGACAAATGTGCAATGCAATAGGAACATCGTAAGCAAAACATTAAAATGAAAGGAAATAGGTAAAATGATGCACAACAATACTCGTAATTTATTTCTAAGTAACAGTCAAAATTGTCATTAAACAATACATAATTTCAGAATTCAATTCACCTCCAGCAGTAAAACAGGAAAGTTTACCTGTTGGAAAGACAGAACATCGGACCTGAACCGAGTGCGTTCCCCTTTATCACATTTAATTGATTTGGAAACATTTGGTATTGAAACTCCACCAGGTAGCACCACCTCTCGTACATCATTTTCATCTATCTCGATTAAACGTGAATTTATGGAATCTCCTTTACAATATTTAAGCCTTATATCTGTGGATATATCATAACCACGACCGATGGACCCAATTGCAATCTCAGCAGCTACATTAGCAGGAACTTTAAGTGCCATATCTCAGAGTATCATTTCTCTTCACTGAAATGAAACCAAATCGCACGATTCAGCATTCTTAATCAGCTATTAAGGTCATTTTAACTCAGAAATTAGAAGCTAAGTTAACACATACAAAATAAATCAATTCACCTTCTAACACACAAATCATGCATACAAACGCAAACTATAAATGATTTCTCGAACAAGCAAATTGAAATTTAAAAAAAAAATCTTCAAAAGAAAATTTTCAGGACAGAACCATGCAAAACTAGTAAAGCATTTGATCCTTTATGTTGGGCCAAAAAGAAAATTTAAAAGTAATAATATTTTTTTGCTGCAATGATTCCCGGTGAACTCTGCACAGAGCCCCACAAGTGAAAAAGCTTGGCTGCAATTTAGGAATTTGATGCCCCACCCACCCCAGAGCTCAGCATGTACTTAGAAGAATCGCATTCACAGTCAAAACTTGTGATTTAGCAAAATTTGGTGCTTAAGCCATACATAATTACAGCGCAAAATGAGCTCCTACAGTTTCTTTCTAGCCCTGAAAATGGAGGCCGCTGCCGAATCGCTAATCAGCGATCAGGCTAAGCAGTGCGTGGTTTGTAGCTGGATTTCAAAACCCTAGAGTAAAAATTGGATTTTTGGGATGGTGGATTAGATGGGGAGAGAGAAATAAAAGCGGAGGAGAGAGGGTTGAGTGGAAACTTGAAGAATAGTGGACTAACATTTTAAATAATTAATTTAAAAGTATTGTTCTCTGTTGAATTGAGTGAGAGAGAGAGAGAGAAAAAGCAATAATAGCATTGAAGATTGTAGTTCAGAAGATGGGCATTATCTCAAAACATTCATTCTACTTTCTCACTCACCACTTTCTACAAAATCATACTTCCACTTTTCCTTCCAAATTATTATCTTTAGTACATGTTTCTCTTGTTAAACGTTTGATCAATAATTTATTTTCTTAGTCTACAACATTTTTTAAATAATTTTATGTTGGTATTATTCAAATGATTTGGTGTGACCAACAAGGCTTTTGATAGAGTATATAATCTTTTAAACATATTGAGGGTGAAACATTGAGGGTGAAAGATAAGTACTTTGTATGGGAAGATAAATCTTTATGACCTCAGTTAATTACTTGCAATTATGAAGTAAAGCTTTTGACTGTTTTGATGACAAATCTAGCTGGATGATCTGATTGATTAATGAATCAATTAAATATTATACTGCATAGATGATGTGATTGATATTAGTCTCTCTCTGTCTCTGAATTATATTGAGAAAAGCATGAAGGGGGGTTATTGGAGGATTAGCAGTGACAGTGAGCAGGAAGCAAGATCCATGGATGATTGTGAGACCCCAAAGGCAGCAACACTGGGTAGGAGTGCTTCACTTTCATCTTCCTCTCCTTCAGCAGCATTTAGAATGAAAAGGGTATTCTCAGTCTCAATGAGAAGATCATGGTCGGTTTCAGAGAGATACTGCAGGATGCCAAATGAAGAAGATGAGATGGAGGGAACAAGATCTGAGAGGCAGGAGGGGGGAGTGAAGAAGAAGATCCTGAAAGCATGCAAGCGCTTTCTTCGATTCTCGTCCTCGTCCTCCTAGTCTTCTTTTCTTCTCTGTCATTTCTTTCTTTCTTACCAAAGTCTTGTAAGAATAATTGCAATCATGTATTGATTTGAGTGAAGCTGAATGAATCATTCATTTGGATCCGTGAAATGTGCTGCTAACAATCAATCATTCATTCATTCATTCGTTACTGTTAACTCCCAATCACTCAATCACGTTAATGCACCCTTTCTTCCATTTGTTTTTCAAATATTTTAATTTTTTTAGTTAACTCATCATTAATATATTTACTACTTCTCCATTTTTATCTAGGTGTCAAAGGACCGACTTCAAAATCTGACAAATAAACTTAAAATAAATATGTGGATTTAAATTAAATTAGTTTATTTTGATTTTGATTTAATATTATGGTCTTTATAAATTTAGGTGAATTTATGAATTGATTTATTTTATATAATAATATTTATTATTTAAATAAAAATAATATTATATTTATTAAAAAATATATATATTATAAATTAATTTAATAAAAAATTTATTTATTTTAAAAATAAATATTATAATAATTTTTAATAATTATTTATTATAATATTTAATGATTAAAATTAATTATTATATTAAATCAATAAATTATAATAATAATAAAAATTAATTTTTATTTAAATATTAAATTATTTATTATTTTATAATATATATATTAAATTATTATATTTTAAATAAAAATTATTAATATAATATAAATTTCATAAATTTTTTTATTATTATATGAGAATTTTAATATTACTATTTTTCATTAGAATAAAATTCACATGTTAAATTATAGGATGAAATAAAAATTATGATTTGTTTTAAAATATAAATTAAATATATCATTAATTATTTTATTTTATCTGATTGATCAAATCAGACTAGATCCAGATGCCTACTATAATTATTCTAATTTTTATAATTATGTTATTTATATATATAAAAAAAGATATCTAATGTATAATATCTTTTATATTCATAACTATAAATTTAATCAGATGATAAAATAAATTAAGTTCACCAACTAACAATCCTCTTAAAAATGGTAAAATAAATAAGTAATTTTAATTATTATTATTTTTGTCCATTTTATTTAATCATTAATCTAACAAAGATAAAATAGACTAATCCACTCATCTATTTAAAAAAATCATCTATTAAAAATAAAATAAAAAATAATTATAATAAAAAATACTATATTTTTATTATTTTATTAAAATATACAAATATATCATAATATTATAATTTAAATTATAAATATTAATTAATTAAATTTAAATTATTAATTATAATTAAATATTTTATCACATATATAATAATTTTTTAATTTATTTAATAAAAATATTAATTAATAAAAATTTAAAAAGTTTTTATATAATTAAAAAATTTAAAGAAAATATTTATAAGTTGATTAACTTATACTTTGACCCGACGTACTTAAATTTATAATTTATCTTGATTATAATAAATAAGTTCATCTCAATTTTTATGGAGTAAAATAAATTCATCTCATCTTAATTTTAATTTTGACTAAAAATGGAACGGATTAAAACAGGATTAAATGATCCATATTATACCCTCAAACTCAAAAACCAAGAAGTAAATAATTTAAAATATAAATATAGAAGTAATTGCATGAAATCAAACTCATAAATGTACTACATTGATATTAATAAACAATTTAAAAAAATCTACGTAACATATTGATGAGTATCTTTGGCCGTAATTGATTGACCTAGATAATTATTATTTAAAGAAAAAAAAATTATGTGATGAGTTTAACGAGTGAATTGGTTGAAAAAGAATGGAAAATAGGGAAGAAAAAGAAGAAGAAAGTAGGTATAAAAAGGCGCGGGAATATTGGAAAATCGTGTGTTGTAAGAGTGAAAGGAGAGATTTTTGGAAGGGGATTGGATTGGAGAAATATAGAAATAGGAATTAATCCAATAATATCTACCGATTGGATAAATTGGTTGAATTGTCTGATGCAATCAACCCAGCATGGGAGAGGATTCGCCGAAAAATAAAGTAAAATTCCTCTGCAGCTACGCCGGCAAGGTCCTCCCACGACCCTCCGATGGCCTCCTCAGGTATGTCGGGGGCGAGACTCGGGTGGTTTCAGTCCCTCGCGACGTCACATTCTCCGGTAACTCTCCATTCCATAAATTTAATTCAATGTAATGTGTGGTATGTGGTTAACAAGACACGTGGATTGATTTCAGAGCTGATGAAGAAGGTGAGCGGGATGGTGGAGGGGGAGGTGGTGCTAAAGTACCAGCTGCTCCCGGAAGATCTGGACGCGTTGGTGTCAGTTAGGACGCAGGAAGATGTGAAGCACATGATCCAGGAGCTGGATCGTCACCACACCGGAATGCTCCGTGCATTCCTCTTCCCCACTTCAAAGACGCCTTTGCTTGCGTCGGAACCCTATCTCTTGGAGCAACGCTACATCGACGCCGTAAATGGGATCATCCGAACAAGCCCTAAGGCAGCCAAGGGCTCTGCATGTTCATCCCCAAAATCATCGTCACCGGATGCAGGGGATCTGTACTCGCCTAGGTACTCCCCTAGTTTTGGGAATTTCAAATCGAATGCGAATGCCATGCAGAGAGTGCAAAGCTCTCCCAGCCTCACCAGCATTGGTGGCTTCGATCAGCAAGGTCATTATCACCAGCATCCCCATCTCCCATTTCACAACTATCCATCTTCCTCAACGTTAACTTCTAGACCGCCCCACGATCCTCAACTGGGAAGGCTTGGTGGAAGGGGTGCCTCCTTTAACTATCACTACTCAAACACCAGACAACCCCACAGAGGAGGAGGAGGAGGCTACGCCTACCATGATGACTCTGCGACCTATGTGAATGGCCATGTTCCCATTCAAAGTATGCCCAGAAGTCCTAGAAGAAAATCTGTATGGGACTAGCCCCCTTCCCTGTCTCTGTACATGTAAATAAATACCTAATTCTTTCAGGGAGGCTACTTTTGTAAAGGGACACACCATATCAATCAAAACCACTCACTGCTACATTCTCATTCACTTTCCTTCCTTCCAAACTAATTACGAAATTTTTTTATTTTATTTTTGTATAAAAGTTCTAACTTTTTTATTCATCGTAAATTCTATTTTGATCTTTCTTTGACACCTGTCAACAAGTTTAATGACCATTTTTTTGTTAATAGTTTATAACTTGTCGCGAGTGTGAATAAGCTCGAAGAACCTCAAATCCAGCTATGCATACACTGGAAGCGAAAAGCTAAAAAGAAAAAAAAAAGTATAATAAATTATAAGCACCCGTGGAGTAGCTGAGTCAGCATTGGAAAACCTAACAACTTTTTTTCACTTCAAAGATGATGGGCGCAGGCGGAACCGGAATCCTGGGGTGAGAAAATGGTTCCAACAAAAAGCAACATTATTTAATTCAAAACCCATTTTTTCGCTCAGTATTTTAAATTCTGGTAGGATGTTGCTTCAACAACATCTTTGGTATTATGCAAGTACAAATGACTACACAAATTAATAAATCTTATTGTTTGACCAAAATTTCTGTTACAAGCTCACAATTTTAAACAATATATGACCTGCTAATAAATGACAACATTTACATGGATAACTAACCGTAACGTAGGGCATGTCCTGCCAATTTCGAACCAGTGTCTTTCTGTTTATCAATTTCGTATCAGTTAGTTTCTGTTCATCAATAGTTTACTGGGCATTAATTCCTACAAAGATCGTTTCCATTCAGATGAGAAACCAGTATACTGGACATTATTAATTTCTACAAAAATCGATTCAGATGAGAAACCAGTAACATCGTTCTTGAGAGATGGAACTGGCGCAAAATTTATGTACTTTTTACTAGATTTTTGTAGAGTGGTTTGCATAGCCCAGGGTATGAAAATACATTCGTTAACATTTTAACCTTTTGTGCTCTGCTTAAAGGAAGTCTAAGCGCACTGGAAGAATCCTTTTCCCAGAGAATCCGTTACACGTTTCCTAAGCTTATTGGAATGGTTTTAGCCTACAAATTCCACCCATCATACCAGAGTATTACTCAAGACAAAATTCCAGGGTACAATGAGCACCTACAAAACCCGTGTCTAATTTTTAGAGGAAACGCGCACCCACTCTCACTTCACAAAAATCATTAAGAATTTGGAACTGAAAAAACATATAATGAGGGTAAAAATACTAACAATAATCTCTACTGGTAACTAACTCATTTAGAGTCGGTGAAATCTGCATCGATGACATCACCATCAGGTCCTTTGCCTGAAGATTCTGAGGGGCCAGAGTCGGCACCAGGTGGTGGAGTAGGGCCTCCTGCCCCGGCAGCTCCTGGCTGGTTGTAAAGGGACTGACCAAGCTGCATAACTTCCTGATTGAGGGCAGCCATGGCATCCTTAATAACTTGGGTCGAACCCCCAGAAATTGCCTCTTTAAGCTCCCCTAGTTTTGCTTCAACCTTCTCTTTCACAGGACCAGGAACCTTCTCTCCCAGCTCTTTCAATTGTTTCTCTGTCTGGTATACCACAGAATCTGCCTGATTCTTAGTGTCAATAGCATCCCTCTTCTCCTTGTCTTCCTTTGAAAATTTCTCGGCTTCCTTCACCATTCTCTCCACCTGTATATCATTCCGGATATAGTCGTAAGCATTCCTAACACAAATGCTCCTCCATAACCATAAAATTGACATTTCTTTCGTATAATCATCACAAAAGAAGCAACTGGCAATAAAAAAAGAAAACAATATACACAGTTCATACAAGTAATTGACTGTCAACAATAGTGAATACCTCATCCGAAGGTAAGGTGCTAGCACCAGTAATGGTAATATCTTGCTTCTTCCCCGTGCCTTTGTCAATAGCAGTGACCGAGAGAATGCCATTGGCATCAATGTCAAATTTCACCTCAATTTGGGGAACTCCACGGGGTGCAGGAGGGATACCGTCCAGGCGGAAGCTACCAAGTGATTTATTGTCCCTAACAAATTCTCTCTCACCCTGAAGGACATTGATCTCTACACTGGTCTGTCCATCAGCAGCGGTGGAGAAAACCTCGGACTTTGAGGTAGGAAGCGTAGTGTTTCTGGGGATAATTTTGGTCATTACACCACCTAGAGTTTCCAGACCCAAAGATAATGGAGTGACATCCAACAGCACAATGTCGCTGACATCTCCAGCCAGGACACCAGCCTAAAAGCATAAGTTACAAAAAAATTAATCAAAAATAATAGAAGACTATCCAGGGAAAAAAAAGTACTAAAGACTCTCCAAGCATAGAAAGACATTCTCTGTCCCCGTCCCTGCCCCTTCAAATCAACCACTTCTCCATTGATAAAAGCTAAACCCCACCTGAACTGCAGCTCCAAGGGCAACAACTTCATCTGGATTGACAGTGACATTTGGGTCCTTGCCAGTCAACTTCTTTACTAGTTCCTGAACAGCAGGAATACGTGTTGATCCACCCACAAGGATAACCTCATCAAGATCCTTAAATGAGAGTTTTGCATCCCTCAATGAATTTTCAACTGGTGTCCTGAGCCTGAAACACAAACCATATAAGTAACACAATAGTTGATTAGTTTGTTCCGCTCAAGTGAAAGCAGCAAAATCTTATGTTTGCCATAAATTCAAATTCAATGCACTTCAAACTTATCGATACCTGTCAAGAAGATCCGAGCACAGCTCCTCAAATTTGGCCCTTGTGATGGTTGTCTCGATATGTTTGGGACCATCGGCTGTGGCAGTAATGAATGGTAAACTGGAACATTGAAATAAAATCTCAGTGCTTTGCTTAATAGCACGGACCGTCATAAAATGCAATGAAAATAAATAAATAAATACAGTAATGGATTTAGTAGATTTCCCAAACGAGAAACGTAAATACCTAATGTTAGTTTGAGTCAATGATGAGAGCTCCATTTTGGCTTTCTCGGCGGTCTCAGTGAGACGCTGAAGAGCTTGTTTGTCTTTCAAAAGGTCTATGCCTTCATCTTTCTTGAAATTGGAAGCCAACCAGTCAACAATTCTCTGCAGTCAATGTAAGGTACAACAGAAAAGAGTTAGCCAAATGAGAACCTAATCAATTTCCTGCAGTACTCACGGCAAGAAAGAAGGGCAACCTTATCAAAGTCATCACCCCCCAGGTGTGTATCCCCAGAAGTGGACAACACCTCAAACACTCCATCGCCAACCTCAAGCACCGAGACATCAAACGTACCACCTCCAAGGTCAAAGACCAAGATAGTTTCATTGTTTTTCCTTTCAAAGCCATAGGCCAAGGATGCAGCAGTTGGTTCGTTGATAATTCTAAGAACCTCCAGACCAGCAATCCTACCGGCATCTTTGGTAGCAGTTCTTTGTGAGTCATTGAAATAAGCAGGCACAGTAACAACAGCCTTGGTCACTTTATCGTTCAAAAACTTGGAAGCATCATCCACAAGCTTCCTCAACACCTACACATGGCAACAGTGGCTGTCAATAACATAGGAACAAAGCATGTAACATGGTGAATGTAAGAAAATAGAGAGAGAAGAAAAAGAGAGGTGACCTGGGCGGAAATTTCCTCAGCAGCGAACTGTTTACCAATGGCAGGACAGTCGAGTTTGACGTTGCCGTTGTCGTCTCTGATGACTCTGTAAGAGACCTGCTTGGACTCTTCGTCGACCTCAGACATCTTCCTGCCAATGAACCTCTTGACGGAGAAGAAGGTGTTCTCCGGGTTGACGACGGCCTGACGCTTGGCGATTTGGCCGACGAGTCTATCGCCGTTCTTGGTGTAGGCAACGACGGAGGGGGTGGTTCTCTGGCCCTCGGCGTTGGTGATGATGGTGGGCTTGCCGCCCTCCATGGCGGCGACGGCGGAGTTGGTTGTTCCCAAGTCGATACCAACGACTTTCTCATTGACGACACGGAGAGGAAGGACCCTGCGGGGTTTGCTCTTAACCTTGATGAAGGCCTTGGTGTTTAGCCTCTGACCTAAGAATAAGGTTCGGGAACCGGCGAAGGAGGGGGTTCCGAGGCCGTGTATTTGAGCGCTTGAGCAAGCCATGTGGAAAGAGGATGGATAGAGTGCAACCCTAATTGTGGTTGTAGGGCGGAAGAGGAGAGAGTTCGAGAATTGAGTTGAGAGGGGTTAAAGAAGAATAAGAAGGAGGGTTTTGGTAGAGGATGAGGGTTATGTTATGTCGTCTGTGCTGCCACGTGTCTTTATTCTAGAACCATCTCCTCCATTTCATTTTTAAATACTACTTACTAGCAACTACTACACACTGCTACTTAGTTAGTACTTTCCTGATATAATACTTTGCTAAACATCTTCATTTATCACATTTTCTTTTTCAGACTAAATTAAAAATTTTACCTAGACCTTTATTTTTATTTTGTTCATATTCAAGTATTTACGTTTAACTTATTACAAAATCATGCTTTAAAGCATAATTTTAATTTTTAGAAAAATAAACATGACTTTGATCGTACGTTTAAGGAAAAATAATGAAATATTTCAAACACGCCTTTGACAAAAAATATTTCAGATGAAATGAAAGTGATTAGTTGAGTGTGTTCTTCTTTGTTAGGTAAACCGGTCGAACTTGATGAAAAAGGACAAATTATGGGATCAGAAGTTGAGGGAGAAATTTTAAATTATCTACCATATTCTGAGGTTTTCAGACGGAAGAGAAATCTGGATAATTCAGGACTCTTACGCGTGGACCAACAAGGTGCAAATGTATTGCATTATATTTTTAGTATTAAGGTAAGATTTGAATTTGTGTGCATAAGATGAATCTGTTAGAGTTTTGATATGATTGGAGAAAATAGAGTAGAATGGATGAGAAAATGATTCCAACACATAGTATAGTCTTATCTAAGCTGACACTATCATGTGCTAATAAGTTGTAACAGAGAGTAACCAGCGGCATATGTATGACATAAATATACATGAAAACGTCTCCTCAACAAGAACAGAAAGTAACTCCTTTTGACAATAAATTCCAGAAGAGAAAGAAAATTTTTCATGTTATATATTATATAATATGATAAAATATAATTCTAGGAACTCTTTGTGTGGAGTTTTTCTCGGATGCACCGAATAATTTACAGCCTGCTAGTAATTGAGGAGAACTTAGGTGGGTAAAATTGCTGCTAAGTATGCAAAGCCATAAATAAGTTCTGTTTACGCGCATGCTCTGGAATTAGCAGATTGATCACATCAGGGGGTATACCAGAAACTTCTGCATAAATCAACAACAAACAGAACATTAAAGAAAATGCAAGCTATCATTAAGACATGTCTATTGTTGGCTTTAAATTAAGCTCATTCAAAGAAACATTACTCGTAGGTTGTGTTGAGGTATGAGGGAGTTAATTAAACTCACCCTGTGATTTAAAATTAAACAGTGGAGGAAGTGGTCGACCATTTGGAAGACGGGTGTTTGGGTCCCTCAATTCATCAAAAAATGGATGAATGCAAGCCTCCAACTGCAGTGCCATAATATCATAAGCGTCAACTGATTTACAGTGGATTTGATAAATCCAAGATGAGAAAAGTAAATTATAAAAAATGGAGATATTCAATTACCGCAGTGCATCTCAAATTGGGAGAGTACTGAAAGAACCTACAGACAAGATCCACTGCTTCTGGGGGTAAACGTTTCTGAAAGACCTATCAAATTAGGATAATATCACACAGTGAATCTCTCATTCAACCAATAATCTTTTAAAACAATGTATGGTTAGACGTTCACACATGTTTTACTAATTCCTATGCATATGCTCCAATCGAATAGTTTCACACGAACACACGCATTAGAGGGACTAACATATAACATTGATTCAACCATTGGGAAACTGCAACCATGTTTGAAAAAAGTAACCTATAAGAATTTTAACTTTTGACAAAGTACTGTTCTACTCTCCTGGTATCTCTGGCCAAGGAACTAGGAAATACCAACAATTATCTACCTACCTTAATGATTAATCTAGTAGTACTGCACTAATTCAGTCCTATGCATTATCCAGTGCGGCAGACAAATCAAACTCAAAAACCTGACTCCTTGATCTATATTAAACTTTTTCTAATGCCAAAATAACTTAGAACCACAGCAAATTATATCAACCTGTAACATGCACAATTAAACTACAACCAGGAAGTGGAACAAATAAATAGATCAAATCAAGAGAAAATGTAGTGAGGATTAAGGTGTAGAAAAATAAGTACTAGTTTCTACTGCTTTTGAGAGAAAAACACAGAAAGATCTGACTCATTAAAAGAATAGATATTGAAATCCTTGCACAGAGAAGACTACTTCACCCTGTGAAAATACAAATGTCAAATCGATTCTACCTCTCATTTATATGAAACACTTGGTTACCATTTTTCCCTGCGAAACATCTCACTTATAAGGAATAATCTACATTCAAAACACTGGATGATAATATGGAATGCATCACCCTGCTAGAAATTAATTCTGGCAACTCAATTAGTCAACTATGTTGCTATCTATTGCTTAGAATCACTAAAGGAAGAGTATGCAAATGCCATCAAATGGAGCTCATGCACACAAGTCTCATTTACGAAAGGCATAGTCTCAGTAGAGGTTCAATAATTACTAAAATGTAGCTCTTCTACGCATTTGGAAATTTAACCTAAATCCTTAATAACTATAAACATTCATAGTAAGTTACAGAATGTAAGTAAGAAGAGAGAATGAACCTTGTGCCATGGATGAGGTTTTATCTGTGGAAACTTAAATTCAGTATAATTAGGGTTCATGCACTTTATCTCCTCCCTAGTTGGAGTTCCCAAAACCTGAAATAAAAACAAATTAGATTTTAATTGTTCATGACTATTGGGAGAAAATAGTGAACTATAAAATTTATGTTAGAACAATGAAAGAACTTGAGAACTTTAGATTGCAAAATGTACAAGGAAATTTTACTTTATCTTCGCTCTATCCCTTTCAAACCAAGACAATAAGAGCAAGCATAGCAGAAAAACTTTACGTTAAGACTGGAAATCATTGATCTACAGAAAATAAATACACCATTTCTGGTAGACCCAACTGAATTTATTGTGCATATAACATCTAAAATAATATTCACAATCTAGGATAGCCAAATCCAAACTAATTGAAAAACATACAGTAGATCCTTACCTTGATGATTTCAACTAGCTGATCAACTCCACTCTCTCCAGGAAACAGGGGCTGCAAATCAACTTGAACTTCAGGGAAAACACAAGAAAAATAAAAACAAATGATGAACTGAGAAAAAATTGTCACATTTTTTTCAAGCACCACATTACCTGTCCAAGAAGTAATTCGGCCATTACACAACCAGTTGACCATATGTCTATGGCAGTTGTATATTCGGTGGCCCCAAATATAAGTTCCGGAGCACGGTAGTATCTTGAACAGATGTAAGAAACATTTGGTTCTCCTTTTACCTGACAAATTAGAAGAACATGGATGAAACACATGGACAAAAAATAATAGATTCCATCAACCAACAGTAGACTTAAATCAATATCTTACCAACACTTTTGCACTACCAAAATCGCATAGTTTCAGCTGATGAGTATGCGGGTTCACCTGACATGAGTAGCAAACATTTGAGACAAACAAATAGTGACAGATGGCATACAGGTATATTTGCTACATATTCTATCATCTTTCAGTTAGGCTAATCCCTTGTCGTATATAAAACCTTCACATATCTTTCAGATTAGATAAGATTATATTCCAAAAGATGGAGATATAAATTATTTTAACAAAAAGTGAAAGTTTGACAATCAAAATAATCTGAACTCCTAATTTTAACCCCAAAGACAGTGAAACGAGACTACCAGCACGCATAAAGATTTAACACAAAGTGTTGGTAAAATAAAGCCATTGTTGTTAGGCAGCTTGTGGTCAAGCTCTTAGGAAGTTGGACCATAACATTCTACCTGGATTTCTATGATCAAGTGGTTAGGACATGTTATTAGTAATATGAAGCTACTATTGGCCCTCCACCCAGCAACTTAATCTTTTAAAAGAGTTAGTCTTTGACACAGACAATTAAAGTGATAGTATATATTAAAACCAGCATCCATAAAACCATCAACTTCACCACAAATTTAATGGAAAAGTTTCAGACATCATATAGAGATTAAAACAGACCACAGTTGACAGGATTCTTGGAGAGCAATTCTCCTTTATTTGCAGATGCAGAGACATGGGAGGATGTGAGAGCAAGCAGTCGGGCATACATTTCAAGAAAAATAAAATTAAAAAATTGAACATAATAAGAAGTGAGGATAACCACTTCCAGTAATTATTTGCTTGAGAACATAAAATACTAATTGCAAGAGGCATGTGTAAACATGTGTGGAGAAGAGATGTAGAAGCCCTAGTTGGGAGAGTAGATTAGGTGAAAGGCAACTCAATCATTAATTTGTTAGGAAAAGGGAGATTGAGAAAAGCTATTGGTCAAACAGTTGAAAAGGATTTAGAGCTCAATGTTTTGTCTGTAGATAAGATTTATGGTAGAGCATTATGACATCATTTGGTTCATGCAGCCATCCCTACCCTTGGTTGTTGTTGAACAAAAAATTTTAATTCCATCTCAATAAAGTTTCCTACTTTGCTTTTACCTAGTGTTGAAAATTTTCAACATCATAATTAGCATCTAAATAAATAATATCATATAATAAATATGTGCATTACGAGACATAGACTACAATATATAAGTTCCACAAAACAAACAAATCAATAACTCAGAATTATCTTACAAGTAGGTTCTGAGGTTTGATATCACGATGACATATACCAATGCAGTTATGTATATAAGCAAGAGCCCTGCAAATCTGCAGCCAAAACAAGACAAAAGAAGAAATAAAGATATCAATGGACAAGAAAATAATAGGGATTTGGAATGTGTAAATCAGACAATCCCTTACTTTCGTTTTGCAAGTCTATTGCTCGTACACAAAAAACAATATCCACTATTATTTTTTTTCCCTTTTTCCCAATTCCTTTGAAAAAGAAATCCAGATGTCAAAATGGAACTCAAATTCTTCATACCAGACAAAGCTAAAGCCGGGGAACTTAAAATGAAAATTTAAGAAAAAATCCAAAGCAGGGATTACGGGGGACGAGTTACCATTTCATGGGCTAACAAAATGCTAGTATAAACATTCTAATACATGTAGGTTATTTATAAATGTAAATACTCTTGGAATTGCTTCATGCTATTATTTATATGAATTTCCAGTTTTTCATTTCCAGATCTAGCTGAGAAGCAAGAAATTGCATACCTGGTAGGTATAAAGCTTTACATATATCAAAGGCATTCGCTGGTTAATCCTGCTATAGCTTCTTGCGATGCGATTCACAGTTTCGGGAACATATTCAAGGACAAGATTCAAGTAAACTTCTTCTTTGTCAGTTGTTGAGAAGAAACAATGCCTTAGCGCAACAATATTTGGATGATCCAGCATTTGCATAATTTGTAACTCTCTATTCTTGTAGCGCTTGTCCTGGAGAACCTTCTTGATGGCCACAATCTCTCCTGTTTCTCTACACTTGGCCTGACAAAAGCATTAACGAAATGAAAAAGGTGTCAGTATGACAAACGTCAACGGCGTGGTGCTTACAAAAGATATTAAAAGCAAACTAAGTTGTTCGGTCTCACCTGAAAAACAACACCAAAAGAGCCTGTTCCCACCACATGTTCTGCAATATAGCTAACATTCTGAGAACCCAAACAAAAGAACTTGTGTCAGGAGTTGTTAGTTGTTAAAATTTCAACTATGATTCCATAGCCACAAGAATTCTCTGATACCATATGACCCTTACCTGCTTAGATTGGCCATTTCGGCCACCAATGCTGGTTCTTATCACGTGCCCTGTCTCAGCACCCACACCATCAATGATGTCAGGCTCACTATCCTGAAAAATATAACCAGGGGCAACTCAAATTGACTGAAACAGAAACAATAGAATGCAAGAAAAAAGATGCAAATTTTGGGAGACAGGGTTTTCTAAAATTTGGCTCTCTATTGAGCACGTGTGGAAGAGTTTGTTCCCTCAACTCAGCACTGGAACAAAGAAGAAAGGGAAGAGAATTTGGAAGAGGTTTTAGAAGGGGTTTCTAAAAGGGACGAAAGAGGGGTTTGGAGCACACAGTATTGATTTGATTAGATTTGATCTGATTTGGAGTAGGAAGCAGAGGAAATGGAGAGAAAGGAAATAATGAAGGAGTACAAAATAGGAAAAAGGATGAAGTGTGAGATATTTATGGAATCAAAAAGAAGAGAAGAGAAAGGTGAGTACTGTACTGACTCTATCGTCTTCGTGGTCTCTCAATCTCATCTCGAGCATCTCTCTGCCGAGCCAATCGACAGAGCTGGAAGAACCCCTGAAGGCACCATTAACAGACCTGGAACTGCCCACCCCACCACTTCCGAGGCTTGCGGAGGCCATCGATCACGATCAGCAACCAACAATCTTGCCCCTTTTGTGTGTTTCTTCGTCTGAGCCTGCAACTGTTTCAGAAATTGAACAAATTGATCAGATCTAAGCGGAAGCGGAAGAGCGAAGAGAGATCCATGGATGGTACTATTGTTGTTGCTCCGGTGAAGAAAGGAAAAAGGAAAAGAAGAAAGAAGGTGGGTGTGGAGAGGAGAGCTGAGAGTGACCTTGTTGAAGTGGAAGTGTGAGTTTGTGGTGAGAATGAAAGCGGTGAATCTCACTTTCAACCATTCTCATCTCTTCTTCTTCACTTCCATTTCCATCAATTCCAACAATTCTTCTTCTCATTTATTCCATTCCACCTTTTCCATCATTATATTTATAATAATAAATTATTCCATCTTCTTCTCTTTCCTTAAATCCACTGCACCCTCTTCCATAATTATACTTTTTTGTAATTTTAAAATATACTATTTTATCTTTAACGTGACATTCAAAATGCAACAAATAAACCCATTTTTCAAATAATCATCTTAAAAGTCACATGGACAGAATGGAAAGTTTTTTGTCATTTTTAGTTCTTTTCTGAAAAACAAATACAGTTCTTATTTATACAAAAAAAAAAAAAATTCTTCAACTTCAATCTATATGTCAGGAAGAAAATTAGATACATTATGTTCTGTGTTATTTAATTTTCTTAACTGAAACACAAGTTTCGTTTCAATAAATCTCAGACCTGTGTTGGTTACTGATGCAAATTTTCAATTTTTATTACAAAACAACGAAAGTAACACATCAATTCTTACATTTTTAAACTATTGCCTCTGTCTACTCCAAAAAACAACATCAACAACACACACTTTTCTGAAACCAAAACACAACAACAATATATTCTCCCCTGAAATCAATAAATATATTTTGTAGACAGGAGCACATAACAGTAATCACACACACTTATTTTTCCCTATGTTTTAAAAACATGACCGAATGATCAGAACTCGATAATTGGTTTAGAATTCGATCTATTATTTTTATATAATTTAATTTTAATTAAAATAAAATAAAATCAAAAAAATAATCTATTATTTTTAAATAATTTAATCATAATAAAATAATATCGAAAAAATTAATTAAATTTTTCGCTCGAACCAATTTTAATAAACCAAGATTAAATTTTTTAATATATTTTCTTGATGAAAACATACTATATTTTTTTAATATTAATTATATTAACTTTAAATAATAATTGTATATCTTATATTATTATAATTTTTATAATAATTTATATAATCATAAAAATATTTTTTATTATTTTATTTTTTAAAAATATTATTTTATTAAATTTAATTAAAATGATATTTTTATTGCGGTTCAGGGAAAGTTCTGATTTAAAAACATTTATTCTAGCAAGTCAAAATATCTATGAAGGTTATCAAGCTTTTGTGGTCTATATTTGCAGGAATTTCCATGTGTTTAGTAATTTATGTCTTTTTATATTAAAACTAATTGTATAATAAATAGAATACTTATTTTTGTTTGTTTGAAATAGGAAGAGTTAAATCCGGTGTTACTTGGTATGTAACTTTTTTCCCTAATAAATTTTTATTAAGATTTAAAAATAACGTTCAAGGAGAGTTTCACATGTATAAATATGGGGAAATTTGTGTTTTATCTGAATTATGTAAATATATTAATTAAATGATAAAAACTTGGACTTTTAAAATAAGAAAAATTTAAAAGTAGAAAGAGAATTTACTAGATTTTGAAGCAGAAATTAATATATATTTAAAATTTTAACTTTTTTAATTTTATAATTTCTATTTATTTTGATCCATATCAGTAATATAGTATATTGTGATGGGACGCGCAGGAAGCGCCACGTGTTGGGTCATGTAATGCTAACCTAATCGTTAGTTCTTGTCAGTGTGGGCCCCGCTGTCATCTGAGAAATTTTTTATTTTATTTTGATTAATAGTTTTAATTAATTATAATAATAATATTAATAATACGTTGAGAGCTTACGACGTGAAACACCGAAACGTAAAACCAAGGACTCTTATTTTCAATGTTTAGTATCATTCTCTACTTGAAATCATTCATTAAGTTATATAACAATGTTCATCATCGCATTGTTAATCCTATTCTAATCTTCCTTCATCAACTCCTATATCTCATTTGATTCATTAATTGATGGAATCAATGGCATTTTGTTGACTAAGTCACAATATAATTTCAGACTTTTACTTGAATACGAAATTAACAATAGAATCATTTCGAAAGTGGTGAATTAAAATAATATTTTACATATAAATATACAAATAAATGATTGAAGGTGCATTTGTTTAGACTTTTCTAACGAAATAATCATTTCAAAAAACCACCTTTTTCTAAGATGAAAAAGAAAAGAGAAGGTATGGAGTTGAAAAATGTACAGTAGTGGTAGACACAGGGAAAGAGCATAGAGGGTGAAAGAAGGTTGTAGGGGTGAAGTGAAATGATTAGTGGTATAGGACTGTATGCCACACTTCAGGCATAGTCTTCCCATTTGCCGGCGGCATGCTTCATGTGCATTAGGCTGAACCTCTTTAAAAGGGGTTTCAAAAGTCACTCACTTCCTCCTCCTCCTCCTCCTCTTGGATCATCATCATCTCCCAACTACATTCAAAACTGTAGGCCACCACTGATGGTTGGATATCGCTGTGGTCCAACTATAAAATAACAAAGATGCTCTGAAGTTTAGGTCAAAGTAGGCTGCATCATCCATATGATACTAATGGCTAAATTTGCACTTTAATTAGGTGATTCATTAGACAATTCAGCACAAACACAAAGTTCTGATGTTATATGCTCTAGTGGTATACACGAGGCATGAGATGATGAGATGTACACATTCCTCAGTAAACTAATTCTCGAACTTCAACGTATCACCAATCCATGTATACATATGAAGCTTTTACAATGATGTGAAAAGTTGGTATGGTATGCAAAGTTTGAATGTGATGAGAGGAAGCATTGAAAGTACAAAAGTGGGTGTAAGTATCCCTGAGAGAGAAAGAGAGAGAAAGAAAGGGAGTAGGGCCATGCATGTGCGCGCATGAATACCAAAACGGACCTTTAAGCCTCGCTGTACAGTTCATCCCAAGACTAATTGAATGAAAGAGAAATCCAATGGGACTGCTTTTGCTGGGGCAAAATTTTCAATGATAGGTAACCAATTTTACTTCATTTGTAGTAGTTGCGGTTAAGTAAGATGTAGAAACATCCAACTAGGGTCGGGAAGGGTGCAAAAAGGTGTGGTGAGGGGAGAAGGATGAATGCCAGGAAAGAGGATGGTTATATAAATGTCTATCTTCAAAACCTTTTCAGTGCCCAAACCTGGAGCAACTCTAGCAGTCTCCACAGCACCATATTAATATTATTCTGGCTTTCCTTATTTGAATCATGTAGGAAAAGAAAATACGAATTGATAGGAACTTAAATACAAAAATGTCCTATTAGAACGATTTAAATGGAAAAGGCTAATCCTGTTTAAATTAAAAAATAATAATAACTATCTCCCAATTTTACTACGTCAAGAATACGAGATAGATCTTCATCCAAATTTGCAGGGAAAGTAGTACAACAGCTGGGTTGGACGTTGGAATATAATTTAGAACTTGCGCTGAAGGAAGCAATTCACATAATTGGCAATATAATATAATCAAGAACCAATAATGTAAACGTTATGCTGAGAAGTTCAACACCATACTGTACAATGATATTTTAGATGCAAATCAATATCCACACACTAATAACTCCCGCGAGACCCTTATTTATCCTTAGTAACACACCATCTATGGTATTTATGTGTCTGAGCTCTACAAGAAACTCCATCGTCAACAAATACCCAAGACACGAACCTGAAACGTCATCCATGGAGTGTTGCTTCAAAGTAGTGAGCAAAGATGGTCCAAAAACTTTCCAGGATCATTTCAAGCGCCCAATTGTATTTGGCGGACTGCTAATTGATTTAGGAACTAAGGACACAGGTACACATTACCTCGAATAGGGATTGTATTTATAGGAACTAAGGAAAAAGATACACAATACCCTGGATTTATATTTACACTAAATCCACTCAAAGATTAACTGTGTATAAACCCAGACTATGCTCATCTAGGTTCACTTGCTAAGGTTGGCAAATCTATCCATAATTCTTCAAACAAGCAACGCGTAACTCGGACATCAGGAATTGTTTTCATTTCCCTTTTACTAGGAGCCATCTTCAATGATGTTATGTCTGAATATTTTTAACCAAATCAAATGCATCATGGTACTTTCCTCTCTTGTATTGTAAAAGAATTTTTTTAACCACACAAACTCATTTACTTGTAAGAATCTGTCAACCAAAAAGAGACAGAATCCAGCAGCTAGCAATGGATGCTCCAATTCTGTAAGTCAGCAAGCTTACCACTGCAAGGGAAAATCATCAACCTTGACACAAGTAAATACAAGAGAATTTTCTTCAATTAACATGAGCGCTTGAACAAAACAAATATTACATGTTGGGTTAGTAAACAACATATGCAAATCGTTCCACTATTTACAACTGCCAGGGAAGGTCCCAAAGCAAAGGGCAATAATATTAAAGAAATATTAAGAAAAAGGAAACGAATACACCAAAGCTCATGAAGCTACATCATGAATCCACATATTAAAGAAAGTCAGACCAGAAATATGCCACCTATGTTCATTTTAAAAGCACATAAAACCAACCACGTAAAAAGGTAAAACAAATTACCGTAACCCTGTTACCAAAGACTCCTTGCTATCCAACACATGCAGAAATACGGGTGGCATGGGGATGCCATGGCCACCCCCAAAATTTTAATTTCTTTTTAACATTTTATATATAAAAATATTTTAAAAAACAAATAAATTGGTCTCCCTTTGTTTTCACTTCTTCCTCCCTCCGCCTCTGATCCAATGATATGGGGTAGGGTCATTGTGCACAGCCTTACCTCATGCATATATGCAAAAAGGCTGTTTTTGGATTCAACCCATGACCAATTGGTGACCAAGACACAACTTAGACATTGTGCCAAGGGTCAACCTCAATATAAATAATTAAATATTATAGAGAAAATTGTTTGTGATAGTAAACATCACAGAAAATAAATGATGACTAGTTCTACAACAATATGAACTCACAAATAGTATTCTATAATGCCAGATCAAGAGAAATTTCAAAACCTCATAAAGAATACCAATTAGGTGACTCCTAAGACTGGCTTATCAGCAAGCATATACACTATGCAAATACAGCCTGATAAAAGGGAATGTCTTACCAATCAAAATACTCTAGGTACCAGAACTTGCTTTTTGAACCCAAACTTGTTTCTGCAATTTAGAAAACAGATCTTAATCAAATATTGAACCAGAAAAGTGTATGCTGTGCATCCCCATGGAGAGATCAAATTTAGGTACCTCATTGGAACCATAAGCAGAGGTACTAGATCTTCTAGGATGCTTCCCTTCACTTGAAACTGAATAGCCATCAACATCCTTTACCCCATGTGTTGGTCCACGGCGACCAAAATGCTTATTGAAGCCTTAACAGGAATAATAAGTAAATTTCTGAATGAAAGCATAAAAAATTTTTTAGGATTTTGTTTTCAAGCCAGAAACCAACCATTTTCTGAAGAATGACCGGTGCGGACACCTCCAAGAGATTTTGCATCCCCACTTCTTGTATATGGCATGTCATGTTTCAAATCTACATGATTTCCTGATTCATATACACGTGAAAAGTTCACCTTGTTAAGATCTACACAGCTATATTATGTGCATCATAGAAACCCCCCAAATAACTAGAGTCTATGAAAAAAGGACGAGGTGCATCGCAGGTTACAAATCATAGAAACAGGAGTATCTAGAGGGAAAAATAAGTAACTGCTGATATGGAAGGTGTGGTACTGGGAGGGCAAGAGTAGGGATGTGGGTGTAAACAGGTATTAAGGGAATGAGTAGAGGGAAGTGAAGGCTGGAATTAGTTGGAACCTTATGAAAGGCTAGGCCTCTAGAATCGCCAAGCAATTTTTTCCTTTCTGTTCCTGCATTTCCACATTTTTCCGTTGTTATTAAGATATCCGGGTTCTGATATCATCTTGATTGACGTCTGAACTCATTTCAGTTCAATAAAAAGCACTGTTCATGATCAATCAGTGTATCACCGTGTCAACTGTGAGTAAAGCTAATCAAAGAATTTTTCAATTTCCCCCCTTTTTACAACATAAAATATAATTAGCAATTTCCACGCACAAAATCATAACGATAGAATAAAACATGTACCTTCCAAAGGATCTACTAGTGAGGAAGCAGCAATTGAGAAAGACTCATCAGCTCCATTGGAACGATTTGTCCATACACCACGATCAGGTCTATCTTTATGTCTAATATGTCTCTCCTGCCTCTCGCTAGGTAAATGTGAATCATGCACACTAATCTTATTCTCTGGTGTTCCATTCATGCCCTTCAGAATTAGTTGCACATGTATGGGTCGAGGAGATTGTTTTTCTTTTTCTAGATTAGATGTCTGGATTTGCTGCTCAGATAGTGCCCTGGAAGACTGGCTTTGACGCATCTCCTTTTTCGAGAGTATACTTCTGATAATCCTTCCACTACCTTCATGCCTCTGATTTTGCTTCAAAACTGTTGCACCAACAATTGTTTTGGCTGAAGGTGTTACATTTTGATGCTGTGACATGCTATCTAAGTCAGATACCTGCACAATAAAAACAAAAAAGGGAAATAGACTCTCAGCAGAACAGTAATTATAAACATGATCCTAAAGACAAAACTACCAATGATACTGGCAATGAACTGAAATGCAATCCACATCCAAATTGATATCAATCTATTGATTCATCATGCAACAATAACGCAGCATATTACATTAAACAAATCCTGGGAATGGGCCACTTTAGTGTGTGGTATCATTATACCTATTAAATCAATGCCATCATTATACCTTCACTTCCTTCCAAATGCTTCTCTAAAGCACATTGATCTTCACATTCATTCTTACGGTTGTAATGTCATATTGATAACCAATATCATATTATCTTTTGACCTCTCTGGTTGTTGTTCCACTCACCAGTAGGATGATTTAAGTATCACCCTCACCAGAAAATTTGCATATCGATTGAGAATAAAATCAATCAAAATTGAAACTCATCTTAATTACAGCAAAAATTTCACAAAATTAATTGATGCCAACTATATGACATCAACAACGAATCAACAACATTGAAAACACCAACATAAGGAAACAAAATGTTCAAGAAAAAGGGACATAAGAGGGTGGAGTGACTCTAAGAAAGTGGTAAATGATCAATCTATTAACAATGATTAGCAACAATGCAATTAGCATAAGTCACGGCTGAGCATTGGTACATGTCAACCATCAGAAATGCAACTATTTCTTACAAACCATGTAACTAGTCAACTAAACTAAGGTCACAAACTAATCTTTATCAAAACATGTATACAAATCATAAGCTTACAGTAATTATTTCTCTTTCCTTTCCTTTAAGAAGCAGTACTTTTTTCTTCCCAGTATCATTATTTCTAGAAGCTCCTGATAAAATGAACAAAAGAATAAGGAGTATAAAGCAAACCAAAAGTATATAATTAAATGTTCCCTCCAAATCATAAAATAAAACCCAAAGAATATAAAAAATAATAAATGAAGTTTTGAACAAAAACATCAACTTTACCATTCTCATCAAGATTTTGTTTTCCATCTGAAGAGGCCATGTTTGAAGCTTTATTTGAAATCTGCTGATCACCTTGCCTAGGAACCAAAGTATAAATTGGTTTCTCTTTCATAGCAGAACTTTTCCCTGGGTCCCTGGCAACATACTGGCCATCATGCAAGCAAGAGTTATAAATGTTAAACACATGATTAAGAGCTAAATGTTCAAGCCAGATAAGAATCAAATACTATGCTATTTTCTGGTATTCTAAAAGTTGATGAAAAAACATTGACTAATAATCAATGTTCTGAAAGCCAAACCAATCATTGCACTAGTCAGGCCATCTCCAGTGGTGGTTCTTAAATGTGTTAGCTAAGAACTTATTCTAATATTTATCTTCCATTAGAGAAGGTGAGTTGGAGGCCTTGCTTCTACAAGAACCCATAAGAATTGGTTCTTAATCACACAGTAACGACAAACGTGGAACCACATAGGTGAATTAAAATCCAAATTAGGTTCTTCTATTGGAGCAAAAAAAAAAAAAAAAGATGAAGTTCATAAAACTTATGTCATTGATGGACCCACAAAATTGCATTAAAAACCTAAAACGATTTCTATTATTGGAGATACTCTAACTGTAGTTCAAGGGTTAATGGTCCAACTGTCATTTAATATTTTTTTAAATTTTAGTATATCTTTAACAATGTTTTACCAAAATATGATGTCCAGAAAATGAGCAAAGGTAATGTTAGGATAACAACAACAACAACAACAACAATATTAATAATAACATAAAAACATAGTTTTATCTGCTGGCCTGAAAAACTAAAATGTATTTTACATCTCAGCATTTGGCTGGATTCTAATTGTGATCCACAGTGTTGATACTAATAAAAAAAACAACAGTAAGGATTGAAGAAAACGTGAGGTTTCTGTGAATGCTTCAAAGTTATTATGTAAAAGGAAACTTTGTTTGATGTGTAGTCCTATATAGTGCATCATTGTCTCAGTGATCTTGTCTCATGTACACAACCCAAGATTGCTACCTTCCATTCATTCTTTAGTTGGATAGTTGTGGATTTTACGGCATCTCTCTTAATTTTTCCCTTCATGTGTCTTGATATATGAACAGCTGAATGACATTGTCATGTATATGCAAGAATTAACATGCGTGAGGCATCCACTCAGTGGAAGTAAAGTCCAAATTTGGTTTGATTATGCTCCCCGACACTAATGGAACTTGGAAGGATGTTGTCATGTAGTGGAAATAAACCCCCCAATCAGGTACTCTACTAATTAAATTACTGGTAATTATAAAAGAGGCAATGAAAATCCTGTGAGTCTGCTGAACCGGATAATCAGCTGAATCACTGATTCAAGACAGGTGTTAACAGTACTGTTTCATTTATAAAGTGATTTTGAGATTATTCTTATCAGGTTACCAAACTGGTTCCAATTTTGATAACAGCACTAATAATTAAGAATATTTAACCTTCCTCTTCAATAAATGCATAATACCATTGTAGCAGAAACCCTCTTTTTTCCATAACCTCGTCTTGATGTGCCTGAACTAGGACTCCCATTTGATGAAGTACCAGCTCTTCTACTCACTTTTCCATTTGATAATGACCTCTACACACACATGATGTATATTAGATAAGCAAGATACCAGCAAAGTGCTAATAGATAAAAAAGAATAAGGATTTTTGTGAGGGACTTGCTCTCATCTCCTAAACATGCATGAATGGACAAACAGATATTGCTCAGAAACGCTGACATAATGGCGATGCACAATCAAATAAGCTTTGAAATTTCAAAAGTTGATCATAAGCAAAAAACATACCCGAGGTCCCTTCGCAGCTCTTTTCTGGCGCACAAAGTCCATAAGCGGTGTAATTATAGGAATGTCTTTTGCAGCACCTGTTAAAGCATGTCAACCCAGTAAGTAACAAATCAGGTGGGGGGAATAGTAGGTCACAAAACATTCAAACTTAGAATTTCCTGCATATTTTCTAGCATTAGTTGACTAACCAGATCGTTCGGCTTCTCTCTTCTCCAATTGTATCTCAGCGCTGGGAAGATTCTCCACAGGCTTGGTAAGTAGTTCAAGAAACTCCAGATACTCAGAATCTAGATGTTCAACATGCAAATGATTATATTTATCAAAAGGAAAAGACTCTATACATTCATATAATTCCTATTGAGATAAATATATACACCATAATTTACTTAAACCTTGGTCTTGGTCCAAGTGGTACCTTTATAAATGGTTCCATCACGACCATCCTTTTTAGACCACTGTCTTGGAACACGTTGGGAAGGGGCATATTCAACAATGACTTTGAACTGAGATCCTAGGAAGTAACAACAGTGAACCAGAGAACCAGAATCAGTATTTCTTATCCAATTCTCATTGTTTCTTGTACAAAATATATAAAATGCATCAAATATACTTGAGAAACAAAATCTTGAAATTCCAAATAGTCAAAATATGGATGGCTTGCCATGAAAAATCCACATGGAAACAAGCCTATTTACTTATGTATTAAATATTGGGCTACACATTGACAATAAAACCTCCAACCAGAACAGAATAGTGGCATTAGCCGCATTCGAATAATGATGAAAATAACAACAATGTGTTCTAATATCGATGACAACAACAACGAAAATGTATCAATGACAACAACAACAACAACAACAAAAATGTATTAATGACAACAACGACAACAACAATGACGACAACAACAATGTCTTCTAATATTGATGACAACAACCACAATGATAACGGCTATAGCAAGATCTTAAGTATGTCTAATAAACCATTTCACATCATTTCATTAATTACCCTTTTCATTCACAAAGACGTGTCCATTAAAGAACTCCGCAAACAGTATAACGTCATCTGGCCTCTTGAAGTCAATGTAGGCTCTAGAATATGATATATGCTTCTGGCTGAAAAATCCATTTAAAAAATAAAAGGTAAAGTCAAAAGGAATGTCCTTAACATATTATAAAAACAAATGTAAATTGTCAACATCTGACGCCTAATTCGCATTACAGACGTTCGGTTATAATAATAATAATAACCAGCTACATAATATTCCCAATGCAAAAAGCAAAGTTAAAACATAATTTATGTTATTGCACCAATTATATAGAGTCTAATAGGCAAACCATAGCCTAGGCACGATCACTTAACAAATGTAATTAAAAAAAAAAAAAAAAAACAGGCAATGAACTATATATATGAAGAAAAAACAAAGCAGAGAGCGAATGGAGGGTTGGAATTAATGTTACCTGATTTTGCCCGGACGGAAAGATAGCCAGTTGTAACGGCCAGCGAAGGTGGCATCAATTTGGGCCAAAAGAGCGGCCTCAGAAAGGGAGGGCGGTAAGCGCCGCAGCACCACCTTCGTCCGATCCAACGCACCCTTCATGCCAAAAACCCTAGCCTCACTACACACACTTACAGTTACAGTTCCCACTTCTCTATATCAATTAATCAATCAACGAGTGCGTCAACGACAATCTCGGTGGGATCACATCTTCTCCACTGTTCTTGATTAATCCAGCGAGAACGTATGCCCTAATTCCGAAGAAAACCCCCAAATTGCCATGCACTCAATAAAAAGCAACAGAAAGAAAGAAGAAGGGTTTGCGTTGTGTGCGTTTAGAAGGAAATTGCGAGTTTGAGTTGCGTTGCGTCGCGAGTGAAATTAATTTAAAAGCATATACGGTTGCGTTTTGCGTTTCGTACTTCTGACTTCAATTCGGTGCCCTCTTCAAAGCTTAAAAGAATAATGCCTCCTGCATTTTCTTATAATATCATTTTAATATTAAATTCAAACATAATTATCTTTTTTTAATTATATCATTCACTAAACTAAAGTTTAAAGTATTTTTATCGTTATTTTTAGTTACTTCCATTTTTTCTGTTAAAAAATAAAAATAAAACGAGTTACTAGCAATTTCGTTCAGATACATGTTTTATTCATATCTCATATTTTTTTAACCGTCATTTTCTCTCTCTTTTTTTAAATGGTATTTTAAAATGTAATTTAAACACAAGTTTAAAAAGTTATTATCTAAAATCACCAACATTTAAAATTATTTATCGTTTTTAATATGTCATTTTATCTTTTTTTCAATTGAATTTAGAATTAAAAAAATTATATTGTATCATGGTATAAATTTTTCATCCTAATATTTATATATTGTAAAATTTAATTATTTAAAATCTTACACTACACTATAAATATTTATCTATTTTTATATATTTAAAATTTACATGCGTGCATTTTAATTACAATATATGTTATATATTTAAATTATTTATTATATTTGTTACTTATTTACTTATTGTATAAAATAAGCATTTGAATTGCCCCATTAAAAAATATATATCAAATTCATAATTATTATTCATTTTAATAAAACCTTTTGAATATTTCCTCAATAAATTAAAGTTATAAATTAATTCAAGACCTATTCACTAGTAAAAAAATAGGTTAAACAAATATTAAATTTTAAGAAATCATGATTAAGATTAATCGTGATTCTAAACTCATTTTTTTATTTTGATTTTATATTTGATGGAATTAAGAATTTAGAGATGATATTTAATAAATATTTTTCAATGTATATATTATCATCATTATGGTGAACAGCTGAATTAAGTTCTTTATTGAATAAGATTGTGTTTCAATCAATAATTAAAAAAAAATAGTTACACATAAATTAATTGATAAAAAAACATTAAGTTTAGGTATTAAACATTAAATGCGAGTTTGAATAAACAATTTAATTAATATCTCATTCTATAAGTATTTATTATTCAATACCTTATGTCATAAGTCCCTGAAATTCAACAAATTACTTTCGTGTACTTATGCAATTTTGAAGCTTTCGTATGAATTATTACTAATACACGTTTATAAAAAATGCTATCTTATTTTTAAAACAAAATGAAAAAAAAAAACTAAACTAAATGCACATAGTATATATTGCAAGGTTTAACCATTTAAATTAAAAAAATGATAAAATTCAGTTTCACACACAAAATAATAAATTAAATTATGTGTGTGAGAAATTTATATATATATATATATATATATATATATATATATATATATATATTATTAAGAAAAGAGAAAACGTAATAAAATTTGTATATTGTTTAATTTCTAATAAGTAAGAATACAGCTTTTTAGTGGGAAAATGGAAAGGAATTATCACAACTTCTCAAAACGCAAAATATATTAATTTTTCATTTAATGACCTTATGGAAAGTAACACATTTTTAACATAGTATTTGAAAAAATTTGTGATCAAAATTATTTTAATAAAATTTTTAAAAGTATTTTAAATTTTACAAATGGATAAAAAGTATTTCATTAGTAAAAAAATAATAAAATACAACTTATTTTAATAATGATTATATAAGAATTATCTTTAAAAAATTATAATGTTATTTTTTAAATTATTATGGTTGTATGATATATATATATATATATATAATATGATTATTTTTTTATTGTTATATGTAATATATAGCGGTAATTATATAAAATAAAATTTTAACTTTTTATTAATTTTTTTATAATTGTCACTGTATATCATGTATAAAGACGAATATAAAAGAATTGTCTTTTATGTTTTCTTATATTTCTCATTTGTGACTAAATTTCTCATTTTTTTTGTTGCTTTTATTTTCTCCTTCTCTTTTAAATTTTTTCATAAATGAGTTGTTATCGTATATAGCTAAAGTTATGTGATAAGTTTACATTTTTTTTTTTTTTACTTTCCTCATTCAATCGTCTCTTCCTCTTTCTTTTGTGAAGCATTCTTTTACATTACAAAATTCTTTTACATGTAAGAGAAATATGAGGTGAAAGACGAATACAAGATAAAAGACAAGTACAAGGCGAAAAACAAGGATGAGGTGGAGAACAAGTACAAGGTAGATAACAAGTTATAAAATGTTAAGTTGAAAATGTATTATGTTTAAGAGAAGGATGAAATCTTTTCAATTTGTTAAGAAGCAAGGTGCGAAGTGTTGGGTCTTTGGATAGGGGATTCACAGCACATCAATAAGATATGAGTCTAACCCACATAAGGATTGATATCACTCCCAACAAAAAAACCTTAAGACATTAGATTATGGGTCATACTATGAGTATAATCTACATAAGGGATTAACACCATATTAGATTATGGGTCATACTTCCTTATATGTTGTTCAACTTTCTCATTCTTACTCAATGTGAGACTTAACTCACACTTTGATTACCCAACACGAAAATGTACTACATGTAAGAGAATAGTAAAATCTTTTTGAATTTGTTGTGACAGAGTAAAATGTACTACGACAAAACAATATTTGTAACAAATAACATGCAACAATGATTATATTTATAATTATTGTTATATTGTTAATTTACAACGATGAATAAAAATCATTGTCAATTTTACAACTTTGAACGATAGTTGTTACATTTTTTTTAAGCGTGGTAAGATCATTTATTTACAATGATGTTTTTATTACCTAAATAAGATAATTTTAAATTTGACTTAAAAAATAAAATTTGAAATTCTTAATTTGTTTTCTTTCTAAAGTTTATATATATATATATATATATATATATATATATATATATAATTTTTTTCTTAACTTCGATATTGAATGAGATAATTTTTATTCATCTCAATTCAAAAAAGTATGGTGTAACCTCGATTTACTTAACATTATCTAGTTCAAATAAACCTATTATGTTTTGATCATACTTTTTAGTTTGACCTAATCTATTTCAACTCATTATAACATGATCTAACATAACTTTTTTTCTAATACTTTATGATTATATTTGACTCAATTACCCAAATCAGGTCTTACCTACCCCGATCTAACTTATCTTAGCTAGATTCATTTTGATTTATCCCGATTCATCTTGATATGACATTTTCTAATCAGACATGTATTGTTTTTGTTTAATCCAACCTATTCATCTTCGTCTATCCTATTGGATCATAACTTAACTTAATACAACCAATTTAACTCATTTCAATATAGGCTGACACGATTTAACTTTTATCAACATGTTAACCTGTCATAACTTGACTTAATATTCATGATTTAATATAATTTATCTAACACAAATTTTTACTTTATTAGTCATTACGTCTTATCTAGATTTTATTTAATTTATCATTATCTAGATCAATTCAATTTAATCCACGTGAATAAGAGTCAAGGATTCAATTACGTGAATAAGAATGAAATAGTTTGACCTAATTTAAAAAACTTAACCATAATAATTTATATATTTGATAGGAATTAAATTTTTATCTAAATAAGAAATTTAAAATTAAATAAATTTGAATTTATTTATCTAAATAAATCATTTTTAAATTAAATTATTTCAAATATTAAATATTTAAAAAATTTAAATTTTTAAAATGAAATTAATTTAAATTAAATATATTTTACTTTTTAAAAAAATACAAAAATATTTTATATAAACACGATATTATTAGTTTCAAACACCATTGTATAAAATCTTTAAAGAAATGTAAAGTTATTTTTTTTCTTAAAAATAAATTTCAAATTTTCTGTTAATAGATATTTCTTAAATCCATCACTCAATTAATAACAATAAAAAAAGGTTCAGTTAGATTACGTTTTTATATTATATTAAATTAATTGGGTAACAAGTTTTTTTTTAATTAAAATTGTTTTAATATCTTAAAAATACATATTTAATGAATAGAATGATTAATCAATTAATTTTTTATTATTATTATTTAATTTGAGTTGGTTTCAGATGTTGTATACACAATATTAAAAATTATATCATGAGAAAATTTTGTAAATATATTTAAAAAAGAATAATTTATATTTTAAACAATGTGACATTCACGTGTCTAGGAAAGGATCCTGTGATTGAATCATATTTTAAAAACATTCTCAGCAAAGAAAATAAAATAAATTAAAACTTAAAATCATTTAATAAATATTTAAAGTATTAGTTAATGATCTTAATGAAGTATTAAATAAAAAACAATTTTCTACTGCTTTTAAAATGGAAAATCCAACTTGATTAGACTTAATATTACAGTTTTTAATAGTTTTATTTTAAAACGAGTTCATAAATTTTTTTAGTTAAAAATTATAAAAAATAATTATTAATGTTACTATATAAAAACTTAAAATATATTTTAAAATTTTTAATTATATTAATTTAATTATTTTTTATTTAAAATATAATAATTTAATATATAAATTATAAAAAAATCATTTAATTTTAAAATAAAAATTTAAAAAGTTATTTTTTATTATATTTTTTTTATAATTTATTGATTTAAAATTTATAATTCTTAATTATAAAATTAATGGATGTTAAATTTTATTTTTAAAATAAATAAATTATTTATCAAATTAATTTATAATGTATATTTAAAAAAAATAATTATATTTTTTATTTTAAAAAAATTATTTTATAAAACAAATCAATCTTATAAATTAGTCAAACCTAAAATCATATGATTTATATGAATTAAACTATAAATATGTTTAATTCAATTTAAAATAAATTATTTTTAATCCATTTTAACTGGGTCTAAATTCATCATGTTAATTCTATCTTAAATTTTTTATAAATTTTTCTATAAAATATTAACTATTACATTTATTGAATATAATTATTAAAATTAATAATTAAAATATAAATTAATGGAATGCTGGACATTTTTTTTATCTGCACAAAGTATTCTACACTGTTTTTAATTATTGTATTTTATAGGTATTATAATGTGTTGATTAAATGTAGTAAATAGAATAAGAATATATGAGGAAATAAATTGAATTTATGGTCCACAAATTAAATTTAAAATAAAATAGGTTGGAAGTTGTAAAATGAAATATAAGGAAGAATGTGTAGGTTAAGTTGTAAAACGAAGTTAGTAAGAGTAGGAGTAGGAGGCGGTGATTGAATGGAGGCACGTGACACGTTTTTTTTTTTTTTTTTTTTAAGGATTCAGAAGGGTGCATGCAGAAACCAAACAAACAACGAATAAAAGAAAAAAATAAAGAGAAAAGTGAAATATAAAAAAAAATAAAAATATATATAGAGAGAGATGGAGATATGAATGAGAGGGCATTATTATTGTTGGGTTCCGTTCCGTTACGTTCCGTCTCTTCTCTCTCTGTCTGGTTGGCTTCGCTGGTTTGGGTTGGGTGTAGGGATTTGCTGTGTGGTGTGCTCTGCGAGACTCTCACTCTCTCACTCTGCTTTTCGTTAATTCGGTAACTCTTTTTATCTCTCACTCTTTTGTTCTTTCTTTCTCTGTTCTTCATCTCTATGAAGGTATGGATGTGTGTGTGGAGGAGATTAACTAGGTTTGATTTCGTGTTTGGCGTTTGGTTGCAGCAGAAAGTGAGTGATGGGAGAGAGGATCCATGGCGGTGGAAATGGGAATGGGAATGGATGCTATTTCCATTTCCCTCCTCCCCCATCTCCTGTACGCTCCTCTTCCTCCTCTATTCCTCCAGATCGCGAAAGGTACTTCCTTTTTGATTCTTCACTTCTTCATTCTCACCTTACTATCTCTCTACTCAACTCCTTCCTCCTAATCTAATCCTTTGTAGATATTTCGCTGAACTACTCGCTGAGAGGCAAAAACTTGTACCTTTTGTGCAAATTCTTCCCCAATGTACCAAGCTCTTGACTCAAGGTATGTGCTATCCCTGTCTGTTCCTATTTCAATTCCTCATTCTCACACCTTTTCATTTTTCATCTCATGCTCCTCTTTCCTATCAATTCTCTATGTAAATTCTATTTCCTTTATGCATACATACCATTAATTTCATTGATCCGTAACTCAACACAGCCGTTCACTCCACCTCCTTTACTTTAATTTTTTCAGCATCTGAGTTATTTCTCTCAATTTCTAATGTCTATTGTTTTGTGCAGAAATAAGACGCATGTCTGGCTTTAATCATGGTTTTATCGATCATGAAAGACTTGAGCCAGATAGTCCATTCAGGCCCTTGGGTCAACATCCAAATACCAGACCAATGGATTTGGAGGGGTGGCCTCATTTGCCAATAGAGGTAAAGCAACTTCGAACCTTCCTCTATTTTTTATTTTTTCATTCATTATCATTTGCATTTTTTATTTTTCATTCAAATTTTGTCATTGCATTTTGAGGAATTTATATGCATAAAGATGCAGGTCTTCGAAAGATAATTTTTCCTTCATTGGGATGCTCTAGTTTTTAGTTTTTTTTTTTTTCGACAATATTTCATCTCCAAAATTGTCCAGTTTGATGGCAGTTTGGAGCATTACATGCAAAGAATTAGGAATTCACCATTTGACTTCTTTAGAATCCTCAATCTTAGTTTTTGCCTCCCAACCTTGCCTTCTAATTGTTATTTATTTCCGTAATGCTCTAGATTTTAACCTGTTAAAGAGACAAACATTATATTTAGACCAGTCCGATTGCTTGTCCATCAGCTCTGCAACTCTATTAGGATGAATTCTTGGTTGCTGTTTGTTGCCAGACTTTGGCTCCCTGGAATTTTAAAATCATAGATGCTTTAGCATTTGCAATGGAAAATGAAAATGCTCATAAATGGGCATTATATGTCAAAAATTCTTTTAAACTGCGAGGAAACTTAGTGGCAAGGAGTTTGGGTTGTTATAACAATTTGTGGTTACAAGAGTAGAGTTCTAAACAATACCAAATTCTTCGCGCAGGACAAAGGAAATCTTCAAAGGATGGGATCGTTTCAAGCACCACCAATGGGTTGGCCTGGGACACAAGGAGTTCCATCTACCCCTGTAGTGAAGAGAGTTATCAGGCTTGATGTCCCTGTAGACAAATATCCAAATGTAAGTCAAAATCTTGTTATTACACTCAAGTTTATATCAGGTTTTATTTTCAATGTAATAGCTTTTAGACTCAAATCTCAGCAGTATAATTTTGTTGGCCGAATTCTGGGACCGCGCGGGAACTCATTGAAAAGAGTGGAAGCCATGACTGAATGTAGGGTTTATATCAGAGGCTGTGGCTCGGTGAAGGATTCTATTAAGGTAAAGTTGGTATGTGTAAGTTATCTTTCTATTTCCCCCACAGGCATGCACAGACTGATTTGATGAACATAAAACATTATTCTTCGTAACATTTCCTAAATAAATTCAACTCGCGCTTGTCCAACTCCAGTGTAGCTAGCTTCACCTCGGCACTTTGTATTTAACTTCTTCCCCAAACGTATGCAATTTCTAATAATATTTTTTGGGTTTTCTCATGATTATGTCGTCTCTTATGATGTGTGTATCATTTTCCCCATATTTTCTTTATAGGAAGAAAAGCTTAAAGATAAACCCGGATATGAGCACCTTAAAGAACCATTACATGTGTTGGTGGAGGCAGAGTTTCCGGAAGATATAATCAATGCTCGCTTGGATCATGCAGTGGCAATACTAGAAAATCTTTTGAAGCCTGTGGTATGGATATATTATTGTAGTTATTGCATTAATTGTGTTCCACTTTCTTGGTATCTTGCTAATCTTTATTGATCTTCCAGGATGAATCCCTTGATCACTATAAGAAGCAACAGTTGAGGGAGTTGGCTATGCTCAATGGTACTTTGAGAGAGGAAAGTCCAAGCATGAGCCCAAGCATGAGCCCAAGCATGTCACCTTTCAACAGTACTGGAATGAAACGAGCCAAGACAGGAAGGTGACCCACCAGGAAATGTTAACGGTGGATCATACATTTTCTCAAGCTAAGTTATTAGAATCTGATTTCTTAGACTTTGTGATGGTCTTTTCACTGATATTACTCACCAGAAACACCCTTGGGCTGAATCTCCTCAGGAAGAAGCTTGCTGGGATTGGGATGATAGATGGTTTACGCCAAATTTAATTTGACGTATTCTTTGGCGTATTAACCGCTACAACTTTTGAATGCCGTTTTGTTTAGTTATAGTGTTAACTAATTTGCAGCTGCTACTTAGTAGCGTACTCTTAGTTCAATACCTTCTAAATTTTTAGTTATTTTGCATTTATCAAATTATTAAATTACAGACATGCATACAAGAGAGTGATGCAAGCATTTCTCTATAAATGCATGGTATTGACTCAAACTAAATAAGCAAATGGAGAGTGTCTTTCATTAGTGACATATTTTTGTCATTACTGTTCAATGATCGTCGATTCAGTTATTAGTGAGTTTGCTAACAGATTTTTGTTAGTTTTATGATCTGGAATTTGAATGGTAATTATGAATGCAATCTATTGAAGTGATTCGACCCTACTATTCTTCTTCTCAATTAATACCAAGTGAAGCTGTGTTGTATTTGTCAATTGAAATGTGATTAGAATTGTAATAGTTTATAATCTATTATAAGTGTTGTGTACAAAACATACTATCCTTTTGGAGGGCTGAAATTCATACGTCCCATTTTATTCACCAATTTGCAGGAGCAGTTAATTAGTCAGAACTAGACGAATAGAATACTATTATTTGAAACGAGTATGGATGCTGTAATATCATTCTTTTTGTATTTGTAGATTCAGCATTATTCCGGCTGCTCATTGTGCAGGAAGAAAAGTTTAGAAAAATAACATACTAGATGATTTATATACAAGGGATTTCTTCTCACCTTTTGGAATAATAAATATCCGGTATAGATACTTACATATCTGTAAGTGGCGAGATAATATAATGTTAAGTAGTCATTGGAATTGATGATTCTTACCTTTTACATAACCGTCTTTCATAAGATTTTTAATCTTGATCATATATTTGAATTGATGATTTTTGCCTTTCACAATAAACATAATTATTTATTAAGTGTAAGAATCAATTTTCATCTTCATTAGAAACCATTAAATTAATCTATGCACGGGCATGTGTTTTGTTTCTAAACTCTCTCTTTTGTAAGAAATACTTTACTCCTTATATGTAGAACTAAGTTTTTTTAAGAATATAAAAAAATGTGAAATGTCCCATGTTTTATGTCAAATTCAAATATATATATAAAAAAAAGGTGTTTGCCGTCTTACGGATGCATTGAAGATCTTTCTATAATAAACCTATTTAACTATTGACCAAATAGAAAAAGAGAAGAAAAAATAATTGAAAAATGGTCATCTACAACAAAATCCTCTCATCATCCACACCATATAACATGTCAAGACTATAATATAATATCATACATATCAACAAATTTCAGGTGTGACAACACACGGTCCAATCTCTCTCCAAATTAGCATTCTCTTCATCCTATGAAAAAATTTCAGTGAATAGCATTACAAACAATCAACTATGATTCTTCACTCCAAAATAGTCCTAACTCCATCACAAGTCCAACATCATATCCGTCTTCGGCAAGAAGCAATTTTTTTTGAAGGCGAGGCAAATGCTAACTAGTGCTATACGGACACTTGCTAAGAATCTAAAAGTTAAGCACTGTATTATTAATTGTTGCGCACTTCACCATATATTTTCAACCTTTTATTTTTAACAAGTGTCGTTGCACTTGCTAGCATAACTCATTTCAAAACAAATAAACTCGCATAAGCCTGCAAACAGAAGATTTAAGAGTATTATGACATAATTCCCACATACGTGACCTTAAAAAAATATCACTTCCCTTCAAAATATAAATCCCTAAAAAAATTCAGGTGACAATGCCCGAATCCACCTAGTAGGGTGTTGAGAGGATAGATGTACGCAAGATTACCGTACAAGTAAATAGATTATTTCCAAGATTTGAACCTAAGATGTCACAAAGTCAAATTACGATTGAGCTAGGACTCAACCCTAAAACCCTCATAGTAATAATCCAACAAATAAATGGTGAAGAAGGCATCACAAGATTATTTATAAACAACCAATTATATCTTACTTTTACTTATTACATTAATGAAAAAGGGAATAATACCCTTTTGGACCCTTCTGTTTTTCATTCAATTTGATCCCTTCTTTTCTTTTACCAAATCAATCCTAATGTTTACAAATGTTAATCTTTTCCTTAATGTCACTTTCTATCCAATTCCGTTACAAATGTGCACACATGCCTGTTTTGCAATGGTGCTTGTGTGAGCTTAACAATTCCAATTCGGACTTAGGAGGACGAACTACAGAATTTATGGTGGTAAGAGGACACCACTTTGCGGTGTGAATAGAGCAGTTCCGGAGATGGGAAGGTTACGAGGAGAGTCACAAGGCACGGTTGTTTCAAATAGCAGTTTGGTAGTTTCAATTAGGATCCTTATCTATATTTTAAAACGGATAAATTTTTTTTGCTTAACCTGACTCTAAGTTAGGTCAATGGATTAACAGATCATTTTTGACCTAATTAAAATAATTCTAATTTTTTTTTATTTTGTTTGAAAAATATATCATTCATTTGTTTATTCAAAATTAACTAATAAAATCAAATATATAAAATCGTAAAAATGAATTATTATAATTATGTAGTCTTGAAGAGTTATAATTGTTCATACATCAAAGGTCATACATATCCGATCAAAAATATTAGATAACACATTTTATAATTTTTTCTTTCAATTAAATACATGTTAAAATTATGTAATTGAAGTGTTTATAGTAATTTGTTTAAAATCATGATTTAAAACTTTATTTAAATCTCAAATTCCCTCATACTCAACATACCTAAATTAAAGATCATGCTTCACAAATGCATTTCGATAAATTTTAGAGTCAAATTTTCATTACTTCAACAAGCTAGTCTTATTATCCAACATAACTCCTTCATCATGATATTTTAGAAATACACTACATTTAAGAACATATCATCTTAAATTATTGGTCCTTAAAAGTAAATGTGACGGCAACAATGGTGAGAAAGAAGATAATCAAAACATATGAAAATTATGTTTAGAGTTTATTATTCTTTCTCAATTATATATATATATATATATATATATATATATAATCAAATTAATTTATTATACTTATATTTTCTAATAAAATAATATTACTTTCATTTTATTGATAAAATAACAATTATTTTATAAAATGAGTCAGCCATATTATGGGCTAGCTTGGCCTAATAAGCCCATTTAGGCATGGTCTAAATAGGTCGGACCAAAATTGGTTTGATTCTATTTAGGCCATAAATTTTTTGGCCTAGCCTGACCTATTTTTCGGACTGACCTATCGGACTAAACCTATTTTGACACCCCTAGTTTCAATAGTTTTGAGAGTAACATAAAGCAACTAATTCCATGGCTTACATGCTTCCACCACTAAATTTCTGATTCTTGCTCTATTTGTTCCCTTCTTAGTCTTGCAACTACAACTTCCTACAGAGGATCGATCTGATTTGGTAGTGCACACATCAATGTTGGGAGTTAGTTTAAATTCACATAAATGTTTTCCAACATTTATTCTTCTTGTGTTGCATTGGAGGAAATGACGTTGTGAAAACGAAAGATGTATGCACAATGATTCAAATAAAGATTCCACGTATAGTTTGACAACCATGTGCCAAGGAGAGCTCTGATAGAGGTGTTGTGCTATGGCCTTGTGCTGTGTGTGTTGTCTATGTCTATGACAGGAACTTGGATATTATTAGATGTCTAGGTCCCAGATTGAGATGAGATATGTTCAGTGGAATATTTAAGTGGCTTGGTTTCCCCCTCTTTCTAACAATTAAATTTTAAGGGAGAGTTCTCCAAGTGCTTGTGTGTTTATTAGTCTATCAGACAGGATTAACAGTTCAACACCTTGAATCTGTGTGCATGATAGGATAATTCAAGGTGGTGTCTGCGTACATGAGGTTAGGTGAGGTAGATACAAAACATAATAAAAAGGTCACGTACAAAGGGAATGTAGTAGAACGCAACCAGGTACAAATACATACCACAAGCCAAATAATCAGTCCATTCAATTGGGAGTTCAACAATACATGTGCACACTGGGAATGGCATCGGATGGAGAGAAATGTTTTGGCACATGTTAAACATAAAGAACTATTTAGTACAAACGAGCATAATCTGTTACTACCCAATTGCAAATTATGGGTTCTAGTGAGGTTATACGGTTTTATGCTTTCAAAATACAATAACAAGCTTTTGTGGTGTGATTCTCTTAACATTCTATCAACTGGTATCAGATTTCTTCCAACATATATCTCGGTTGCAAATGAGCAAATGCAGGTGACGTTGGAGACTCGTCAAAGGGCTTATGCACAACAGGCCCAATTTGGTGCATAGGTTGAAGAGCATCGTTGAATGTTATGATGCAATTTGCAAGGTATGGTGGGACTTGAGTCCCGCATTGGAAGTATGAGTTTTGGTGTGGGGTTTATAAGGCCTTGATCTCTCCAACTACAACACCTAGCTTTTGTGGAGTGACTCTACCAAGGTTTTTTTTATCAAGGGTCAAATTGAATGAAGACTTAAGCATAAATGGCAAAATGAGTAGTTTTTCCTATAAGTGGCAAATAAGAGGTTAAAATGAAGTATAATTATGTTAAGGGAAGTGACTAATAGGAAATGTTTAATAGGAAATTGTTGTAGGGATATATTGATAGTATTAATGTTACACTTTCAAATATAAATTTTTTTCACTTTGGGATGCTTATATTTTATAGACAACAAATCAATTTTCTAATAATCCTTTGAATTATTAAGAATAGAAGAAAATTAAATATATTTATTTCACCATTTAATATTTTATATTATATATTAGATAGATGTTCAAGACCACACAACAAAAAGGACAAAACTTAAGTACCTTAATTACTTTTGATATTGTTCTTAAATCAAATTCAAAGTTCCACCTCAGACTCAATAAGTAGCTCACATATTAGAGGTTGGTAAAACTTCAATGTTGATAAGTGTACGTAAAACACAAAAAAGCATCTAGGGTATTGCACCTAAGTTTTGTTAAGAAGGTTTGAGTTTCTCCAATTCAATCAAGTTATTAAGATATGAGTTTCGCCCAGGTAACTGACGTAATGTGGGTTTGGTTACCATATAAAAACTCCAATTTCGATAGGAGTATAACACTAAAAGCCCACAAGGGATTACACCTGAGTTTAAACTCTATACTGAAAGGTATATGGACACTAGCAGCAGGAGCATTAAATTACTCAGCGAGAACAAGGCTTCGCAACCACGTTAATCAGAGGCGTAACAGTAATGGTTGACAGATTTCAATAATTTACTTGGGTCATTAAACATTAAAGGAGAAACCCCAGGTTCATTCTGATTCCCCCACCACGTGCCCACCACATAAAAAATCCAAGGTGTTAGTTAACTCTCTCAAAGCTCTCCTCTTATGATCATGAAGAACTAAAATAAGAGAATTTAGGATTTGCTTGAAATAAAGTTTGGGTGAGTGAAACAAGGAGAAGAAGAGGATAAATTATGATGCAATACCAAGCTTGAAGATGTTTAATTGCAAAGGTCAGTCCCTTAGGCCAAGCTCAAGCTCTAACTCATCATCCTCTTCAAACAATTTCAAAAGACGAGCGTATTGTTCTTCTCTTTTCTTCTTCCGCCAAAGCTTAAAAAGTCCAAAAGAAAACAAGGAAAAGAGCACAAGGGCAATTAATGCAATGGCAATTATAGTACTAGTACTAGTGCTTTTGGGGGCATGGGCATGATGTTCTGTCTTCGTAGAATCTTTAGAAGCAGGTGAATCGTTGGAAAAACCTACAAAACAGCCAAAAATTAGCAAAATCAAACATTTTATGGTGGAAAAGAAGGCAATGAGGTGAAAGCAAATTAGAGTTGGTAACTCAATTGATGAGAAACAGTCACACACATGCAGGCATTGAAACCGTTTACATAATGCAAAATTTCCACCTAAGCTGGGAAAAAAATAAAGAATTGTGTGGTCGTGTACCATCCAAAAGACTAATCATCGATTAAAATATCAAGAGATGAAGAAATTGAATGAAGATGAAAAGGGAAAGAAATAAATTAGGTTAAGAATGAGAGGCAACCAACCAAGAATGAAGTGCGAAGAGAGAGCGAGAAGGATGAAACTCAGCGATCGGCTTCTCGGAATTGAATTCATCTCTCTGCAATGCGATTCGATTTGAAATGGTTTGACGTCAATCGATGCTGAAGTTTGAATCTTGTTGGATCGACCCTTCCCCTTCTTTCCAATTCATTTCAAATAAAAAATATAAAAAAAATCTGCATAAAAGGTTTCTTGTCATTGTATGGTGTTTTCTTTTCTAATTAAATAATAAGTGTGTTAAACGTAATATCTATCCCAATAAAATATATATATATATATATATATATATATATATATATATATATATATTTTCTTCTGTTATAATTCCAACGAAAAATAAAATTATTACAATTTTAAAAAAATAATTATTATAATTTATATATTTAAAATAAATAAAGAAAATAAAATAAAACTTAAAATAATATTTAAAAATAAATAAATTATAAGAGCTTTATTCTCATGAAGTTTGATCATTCGAATTGGCGTGACACAGTCAAAGCATATAAATTTAAAGTATGTGACAAAAGAACTTTATTTTATAAAAAAAATAATTTTTTTAATATAAAAGAACTTGTATAATTTATAATTCAATGAAATACTATTTAAAAATTGATAAAAAATTTAAAATTGATTAAAATGATTTATTTTTTATATAATTCATTTTATAATTTTTTTAACTAAATGATTTATTCAAAATTAAAATTAAAATTAAAAATTAGAAAAAATATTTAAATATAATATTTTATATTTAACAGTTGTTAATAACTGATAAATAAATATAAATATGATGAAAATTTTACGGTACTTTTATTCTTATTAGAACATGATAAGATATTTTTATTTAAATTTTAACTATAAAATTATTTAATTTATTTATGAATATGAATGAAAAATTGAATTAGATAATTTATTTATGAATATAAAATAAATTTGAATCAAATAATCCTATTAAAAACATGTAAGCTTCTCTATTTCATAATTTTTATTATAAAATGTTTCATAATTTTGTATTAAAAGGCATTTAACAAATTTATATAAATAAAAACAGTAAAAACTAATAAATCAAACAGAAAAATTTAACTTACATCTTAATGCAAAGTAAAAGCATTTTATGGGTAATAAGAGGCTCCACGGATTAATCAACGTCCAAAAAAAAAAGAATGATAATGATGAAACAATTATTATTAATTAAAATAAACAATTTATAATTTTTTATTTTAGAACACATGTCGTTACTTTAAAGGTTTTAATAAAGTTATAATTTTTGAATTATAAAAATACCCCAAATTTGTTAATTATTACCAATTATGTGTGTAGTTGTAGAAAAATTACATCTTTTGAGGTAAGCGGTTATTATAGTAATAAAAAACATAAAATAAATACAAATTGAAAAAATACAAAATTTTGATATAAAATATAAGTAAAAATATAATACAAAAAATAAGAATTTAATTATTTTATTTTAACTTTTAAAATCATTTTTAAAACAATTTTAAACTTATTCAATAAATTTAAAAAATTGTTTAATAACATTAATTTAAAAATTATTTCATATAAAAACAAAAATAAAAAACAATTAAAATTAGTGATATGAAAATAATAATCAAGATATAATTTCATTAATAAAATAAAAACTTTTTATTAATTTGACCTAATAACCAATATTAAATATCTAACTAAATGTCTTCATGTCCATAAACATCAGTTTCATTGGTACACCAACAATTGAAAAAAAAACGATTGAAAAAATTAAGGAAAATCAATATAGAATAACTCAAATAATAAAAAGGTTTGAAAACTTAATAATAGAATTCGTAAAATATCCAATCAAAGACGGCATTGTAAAAGATCTGTACAAATTTATTAGAATTTACTCTTAAAATTTGTAGTATAGTTCCTAAAATAATACATTATACCTGTACCTCTATAGTGTTTAATAATCATCATATTCGAATATTGTTCTATAATTTATTCCCAGAAAACAGCGAATCGTGAACTTAATGAATTTCATTCGCACACATTCACGTCTTCATCAATAAATAAATTTTTATACTGGTCTTGCTGTAGACATCAAAATGAATGTATACCAAAATCAAGCATTTATAAGTTTCAACGTTGGAAAAATCACAAAAACAGCTAAGAACTCACCATAACATAAATAGGATAGAAACCAACTATTACCAAAAGATGCGACAAAATCATAGGCCTTAGACTAGGGTCTAATTTTCACTTAAAGCATTTGGCATCCAAAAGAGATTCTCCCTCAAATGGTTCATAATCCTCAATCATCTGATTGACCCGCTCTTTCTGATTTTCATCATAGATATCAACCTTTGTCCACTCGTACAGCTCCATATCATAGCATTCATCAATCACAAATTGCGGAATCTCTTGCCCGCGGAAAAGCCACAACCCCTTCACCTTAAATGGTGCCTGTGATCCAATCACAAGCATCTTTCCAAAAGCATACTTGCGAGCCAGATCCATCCTCTGAAGAAATCCACCAACCTTGTTTAGCGTCACAAAGGAAACAGTGTTCTCATCATTGTATTTGTAATCACAGAACCAGAGAGAATATCCCTCTGGATCATACATGTCCCAGAATCCTGCATGGTAACAAAGGATTTAAATTGATAAGATATCTACCGTCTCATATCAACTGATTTTGACGTCTTTGGTAAATAATAATTATTCATGGTGAATAAATCAACGAGTTTTCGAAAACACGTGAGTTGTCATCTCCCAACAGTGACAACAAAATAAAATGCAGAAACCACAAGCAATGCCATCATAATACCTTTGATTGCAACCTCTCGGAAGTTGGTCTTAGTGTTTGAGTAGAGTCTTTTCCACTCATCCAATATCATCGTGCTTGGAGGAAGAAGATCAAGAGGATTTTTGGGCTTGGGCTTGGGTGCCTCCTCTTCCGCTTCTTTAAGCTTTTCTGGCTCCGGCTTAGCCACTTTCTTCGGCTCATCCTTAGGTTTGGGCTTAGACTCCTTGGGCTGGGAAGGCTTCTTCGCAGATGGAATAGGTGGAATAGTTTCTATTTGCTTAACCTGACCTAATGTCTTTCGGAAATTAGGCTGGTTGACCAAGGTCCAGAAGTATCTCTCAACATGAGGGAACTCCGAAGTGAAGCTCTTGACTAAGATCTGGGTGAAACCTAAGTACAAGTTGCATGTTGTTATGATGTCAGCAAGGGTAACGGAATGCCCAACAAGGTAAGTGTTAGAGGCAAGGTGAGTGTTCAAGGCCTGGAATGCTTTCTTCAACGAAGAGTTTGCAGCCTCCTCGATCTTCATGCAGACACACATTAGGTGAGTTGATAAATTTTGAGGAAAATGGAAGGTTGAGAAAGGAGTTACAATTACAAAAAAAAAAGGATAATTATTGTAGTAAAAGGATGTTGGCAGAGAGCTTACAGGTTGATGGTATGGCATATATCCAAGTCTTGGTAGGTACAATTTCAGAACATTGTTATCGATCTCGAAAGATGAAAAATCAATCCACTGTTCAATGCGGGCCTGCAACGAGAGATGAAAGTATATATAAAACATAAAATAGGAAACAGAAAGCAATGGTGGAAAAAGAGGATAAACCACATGGATGCGAGTGAGGAGTTACGTTATCAATGGGAGTAGAGAGGTACAATACGTTGTCACCCTTGAGTCGAGCAACTACAGGAAAAATAACAAAAAAAGAGGTCGATTTGCATTGAATTAGAAAAACAATAGACATAAAAAAGAACGAAATTGCAAACAGACATACCATAACGAGCAATAGCATTGCTTTCAAAGATTGGACCATCAGGGGTTTCCAACACAGGAACCTAGGAGGACAAAGATGAAAATGAGGAAAATTAATTGATGGAAGGGATGAGATATGAATAAACACATATATGCATACATTCACACGCACCTTTCCAATAGGATTCATCTTGAGGAACTCAGGAGTTCTATTGGAGACAAGCATCTCGAAATTAGGGGCCAATTCCAGTTGGACGCCAGCGTACTCTGCCGCGATGAGAGACTTGATAGCATTCTTGTTATTTGGGGGTGAGTGGAGGATCTACAGAGGAAGCATTTTCAGATTTGGCGAAATGGTTAATAGGGAAAATGGAAAGTAGAAAGTAGAGAGAAACTTACCAGAGCCATTTCTTATCTTCGAGCAAACAAGTTAGTACGCGCTTCCCTGCTCTGCTGCTACGCTCCTCCCACTACAGATGAACAACAAAGCAGCAACAGGAAGAGGAGTTAGGTTTTTTACGCCAGCCGAAACCCTAAAAGATCTCAACCCGACCCGACCCGACCCGATTACTCCAAATCCAATTAGCCCAGCCAGCCCAGCCCAATTACAAAGCATCAAATCAAATTAAATTCGTAACCTTATTATTGCTTGCCAGCAATATCGCCTATCCTTTTCCTAAAATTAAATTAAAAAAAGAAGAAGAAGAAGAGAAAATAGTAGTTAAAAAGTTTTGTTTATATAATTTTTTTCTGTAAAGATTTAATTTTTAGAGATATTTATGAAATTTAATAATGCTTTGTTTATTTGATTTTTTTTTTAAAGTAGTATGAATAAAATAACTGAGAAAAGGAAAGAAAAAACTGGTTCCGTGTTGTGTTGTGTTGTGTTGTGTTGAAGAGAGAGAAGAAGAAGAAGCAAAGGAATTGGTGGTGGTATGGGTCGTAGAGCAGAGGAAGAGTACGATTATCTGTTCAAGGTTGTTCTGATCGGCGATTCGGGAGTTGGAAAATCGAATCTTTTGTCCCGATTCACTCGGAACGAGTTCTGTTTGGAGTCCAAGTCGACGATTGGAGTGGAATTCGCTACTCGTACTCTTGAGGTCTCTCTTTCTCATCCATTTTGTTAGCATGCATTAATCTGTTGTTCTTAATTTTCCGATGAAACGGCAGGTGGAGGGGAGGACGGTGAAAGCTCAGATATGGGACACGGCTGGACAGGAACGGTACAGAGCAATCACGAGTGCGTACTACAGGGGTGCACTGGGAGCTCTTCTCGTATATGATGTCACGAAACCAACCACCTTCGAAAATGTTAGCCGATGGCTGAAGGAGCTCAGGGACCATGCCGATGCCAACATCGTGATCATGTTGATTGGGAACAAGACAGATCTGAAGCATCTGAGAGGTGTTGCCACCGAGGATGCCCAGGGTTATGCTGAGAAGGAAGGCCTTTCTTTCATCGAAACCTCTGCTCTCGAAGCCACCAATGTTGAGAAGGCTTTCCACACAATTCTTGCCGAGATATACCGCATTATCAGTAAGAAATCTCTCTCTTCCACTCACCCTGCATCTGCCAATATCAAAGAAGGCAAGACCATCTCTGTTCAGGAATCCCAACCCAATACACACAACTCTTGCTGTACTTCTTCATCTTGAATCCTTACTTTCTCTTCTTTCCAAAAACATTCTTTTTAATTTTATTTTCCCATGTTATCTGGATCTTTACTCATTTCTTATGCTTCTGTGTGCTCATCAATCATGGATTACTAGTACTTTTCATGGCTGCTTCCCTTGTTCCTCACCTTACTTGATCCTAACTAAATTCACCCCCTTTCTTTCTGTTATTAGTTTAGTTGATGCTGCATTGCTATGGAGGCGTCAACTTAAAACTATAAGTTAGCAAGTTCAACATTTAGATGTGATTTTTTTTGTTTTTTTTTTCCTGGTTGGGTCTTCACTTTTTCAAGATTGAGAAAATATGACTGATGTTTTTATTTCACTAACTAGCTCCACAACTCCCTCATTTACTGAACACATTGCTACGGTTTTGTGGCTACCGACTTTGTTGTCAAATCTAAATCATCTTCATCCATCATGGTGCAAAGCCACTGAAATCATTGACTCCCCACCATTGAAACCAGTTGCGCCACTGCCTCCATTCTAGCCACCAAAAACGGCGGCGAGCCTTCATTGGCACCTAACAACAAACCATTGACAGAAACATTGTGTGCTACTGTGTGTAAACCTCTACTGTTTTGTTTTGCCTAGTTTTTCCTCACCGTCAATACCTCCACCAGATTCGGTCACCAAAATGCAAGCCTATATATATATATATATAACATTTTTTCTCGCTTGGGTTCGCACCATCAATAGAGAAAAGGTTGAAAATGTAGAAAAGAAGGATTTGAGTGTTTTTAAATTCTATTTAATGTAAATAAATAAAAAGATAAATCAAACATATCCGTAGATTCTATCTTCAGTTGCTATCTCCGTTACCCATGTCTCTTGTTATGCTACATCCCAAATCATGATGCCTTCATGGTAATGAAGGTATGTTTTCTTCTTCCTAATTTTGGAATTTTTCTTCAACTATTGTCATGTTCCTCCCAAGTCGTAGCTTGGGAATGACTTCGATCTATATTTGAATAAGTAAATGGTTTTCATCGCCTTTACAACACTTTGGTATACTAATTTTGATTATATGAAATATGAATTGAGGGAAGCAAAAAGGGAAATTAGAATATAATAATTTGGAATTGTGTTTCTGCGAAGTTTCCTTCTCATTTCAGCAAAAGGTGTCAGAAGGAGTTGAAGTCCGAATTGCAACATGAAAATTTTGAAAAAAAAAAAAAAAAAACAGAAATATTATAACCATACTAATGTCACTTGTTAAAATAGGCTAAGCCGTGAGGATCACGAATTGTCCTAAACCAGGAAAGACCACTTTAGGTGTTTGTATCCGGGGAATAGAATCTTGTGAATTTGAAGAATTGAAATATGAGGTTACTTACAATTGCCTCAGTTTAAAATGACTTGTTTTTATAAGAATCGGAACGGTGACTAATTACGAACCAGAGTTTTTGAGAACGAATTTTATAGGTATAATAAATATAACGATCAATAGTTATTTTAAGCATGTATATATACGCCCAATTCATACCACTACCAATTTAACTAACGACCTAAATTCAACGTCAAATCTTCCTCGCGGATTTAGTGTTGGAAAAAATAACACAAGTAAAAAAAAAAAAAACATTCATTTGCATCACTAAAATAGTGCGTGCTTGTAATTTTACCTTTTAAATTAACTTAGACCTTTTAAATTAACTTAGACGTCTTATTAAAAGCAAAAAAAAAACTAAACTGTCATGCTTATAACTTCTTGGTGATTTATCTACAGTATAAAAACACTATTGATGATTTCTTTGAAAAATAATATAAATAACTTTTCTGCCATTCTAAAACACTTTTTTTTTTAATTCAATTTAGAATGATACTAGTGACTTCACTTTGAAACCCAATTTCCGTACTGATAAAAGTAACTCCAGTTAGTCTACTCGTTAATATTTAACACATCAAAAATCATGAAAATCGTATGAGATCCTAACTAAAAAAATTTGATAAAAAAAATCAAGATTTATTTTATATAAATTTTTATATAATATATATATATATATATATTTAATTTTATTTAAAAATACGTCAATTTTATATAATAATTATTTTATTATATTTTCATCTTATTTTAATAATTATCTATCTTATTTCTTTAATATATTTTATATTTTATAATTTTTCTTATAACTTATGACAATAATCTCTAATATTATTTCTTTAATAAAAAATATATAATTACTAATAAATTTATTATATTATAAAAACATTATTTTATTAAATTTGATTAAATTCGTATTAAACTTTTAACCCTTACCGATTGAGTAACTCATCCAATTTTAAAAACATTTAACCCATTGGTTTATGATAGTAGGAATCTACGATAACTTTTCCAACTGCAGGAATTAACTACCACCACCCCTCTGTAATGTATCAAAAGTTTTAGTGCACACATATATATATATATATATATATATATATATGCCTTTTCATAATGTGAAGGCGCTCAGGGTTTTTAATGTTCCCTGCACTCATGTATCATGTTTATCTCACGCATACCATTTACTTAGAGTTTCATTGTCTTGTGCTTTATGGAATATGTATACGCAAAATGAGTGGTCAATGCCTCAAGTATAAGATGCATGTGGGAATTGCCTCCCTTTCATTCTAAACATGGCAAGTCATCGGGACAGGAGGTTCAGAACAGTATTATCCAAGGACTAAACATATGTCACATTTTAACAGTTACTACTGGAACATCCATGTCAGAACAGTTTCAAGAAAGAGTCTCCCTATTTTCATATATCGGTTACAACGGAACGTAGAACCTAACCACAGCAGTTGCTGTTCTGTGGGATTGGTTGCCCCTTCATTTGAACAGTTTCTGCAGACTTACCAACAGTTGTTTGGCTTCCCATCCTGCACATAAGTTCAAATCAAAGTTCAAAACATCTCAAAGTTGTCTAGGTTGGAACTCATACTATCACATGCAGTAAGTAATAGAATCACATGATCATAATAACACATCGCTGCAGAAAATTTAGCTCAAGATGAACATTCTATCTATATTTCTTTTTTATTAGAAGACATTATTCCTTAGATAGTGTTTTATTATTATTTTAAAGACAATTCATCAGTCATGTATAAACAAAATAATGATCGATAGCTTACAACCTAGGCTTGTGGCAATAACAATGTCATACCAAATAAAAGAATATGGCACAATTGTCATGACCTACTGTTAATGTTTCACTTTTAGACATGGTGAAAAACTCAAAATGGAAACAGAAAATTCATGACATAGATTATATTTATGGTTAAATAATGATTCTAAATGAGAGATGGGAAACTAGAGATATTAGATACTTCTTCTTAATCTCTGCTGCCATAGTTAAGAATGCCTGCTCCACATTGATAGAGTCTTTAGCACTTGTCTCAAGGAAAGGGATACCAAGCTCATCCGCAAATGCCTGTGATTCATGGCCATACAATACATGTTAGACAAAATATGATTATCCAACTCTTTATTTTCCCTTTAACATGCAGAGTAACTGATATTTCATAATCTACCGTTCAGGCAAATGCTTCTTTAACTAAACAATTCTATATTAAACAATATGATGACATTGGACAACTAACATTAAATGCAGAAGTGACCGATCCAAAGTTATTATTATACATTACATATTCAGCCAATGTTAAAATTAACAATAAATGCATTTTAGGATCTTTTTAACACTTTGCTAAATTTTGATTTATATAAGAGAAACTGAGTTCCAAGCAATAGGTAATTCTATCAAGATAGTGCATTTCCTCTTTAATTGAAGATAAAGCAAGGAATGTAAAGAGTAAAAATATAATGGTTGCAATGCCTCTTCATTTGGTCCTAGAATGTAAGGGAAAAGAATTCAAGTTCCCTTCCTTTCCAACTCTTGAGATAAATATTAGAAGATATGACGTTTAGAATTGTTCTTACTTCTTTTGTCTCCCAACCCCAAAGACCAGTATCCAGAATGAAACTGATGATTTTTGGTTTCATTACCTCCCAAAGCGCTGAAACTTCTGTACTGTGTACTACTAGTCCCTTTTAGGACTGGGGCGCAAAATACATTAATTAGTAATAACTACTAAGACACACAAAACACAACATAAACACCGTACTCCTAAAAGAAGTAGGAATCTTTATAAGAATATACAGGTGAAACAACACTGAACTCCAAAAGAAGAAAGAGCAGAATTACTGGATGAACCCAAAATATGAAAAGGAAAAAAGTGACATTGTTGTAATTTTACCTTGGCAGTTTGTGAGTCTACAACCTTGTTGTCAACTAGATCACATTTATTCCCCACAAGAAGCTTGCATACACTATCATTTGCATATCTATCAATCTCATTCAACCACTGCTTCACATTGTTAAAGCTTTCCATCTCAGTGACATCATAGACAATCTGTTACAATCACAAAACTTAGAAATCCAGAAGTTTGCTCAAGAAAATTGTAAGTGTCAGGGCAGGTATATGGTTTTCACCGCAGAAGATGATAGGATGAAGTTGACTTACAATTATTCCATGTGCTCCTCTATAATAACTGCTTGTTATAGTCCTGAATCGCTCCTGTCCAGCTGTATCCCACTAAAGGAAACAGTGAGTATAAATTGTTAGAGAAAAGAAGATGATGCCCCGAATGGCATCATACTCTGGTGACAAGCAACATGAGAATATGAAATTCACAGCAGAGGTCTACTTAAAATGACATCTTGAAGATATATTCAAGCTTGGCAAGTGGCCAAACATGACTGAACAACGTTACAACCTATGTATGGTGAAGATGAATTCTACCAAAATGTTTGCATGAAATGATGAAGATAAGAAAGGAAATAGGAGAGAGATGGCGGTAATTGTTGTTTCAGAATACCCTACATTGGGGATAAAATACGAATACAAAAATTAGGGCAAAATTGTAACATTGGAGTGGTTACAATACAAGACAATGATAATAGATAAGAATAGGTGCAGTAAATAGTTTAGTAGAAAACATAATGATAATAAAGAATGAGAAAACTCACAATCTGGAGCTTGACGGTTTTGCCTTGTAGGTCGACAGTTCTGATTTTCTGGAGAGAAAAGAATAAGTGTTGGGCCATAAATAAATAAAAAAAAAAAGATACAGCGAAGCGAAAGAAAAGAAGAAGAGTGATAATTACGAAATCAACTCCAATGGTGCTGATGTAGCTGTCGACGTAGGAGTCATCCTGAAAGGAAAGGAAAGAAAAGGAGGTGAAGAGACGAAGAAAGAGAAAGAGAAAGAGAGAGCGAAAGGGGAGCCAGTGAAGTGATGAGAGATTGACAGCGAATCGGAGAAGCAAGCATGATTTTCCAACGGAAGAGTCGCCGATAAGCAGAAGCTTGAACAGGTAATCGCTGAAATCAAATGAAACCCCAAATTAGAAAACAAAACACATGTTCCTCCAACAACTTTTTCCACCAAACAAAACACTTACTAATCGTTACTCATTACAGCGTTCAACGCTCAATCAACTCAACTTCAACTTCAACGAGAAAACTCTTCTTCTCCTTCCCCACCCAGCCGCACAATTAAACTCTTTCACTCACTCACTCACTCTCTTGCTTTAATATTTAAAAAAAAAATACCAAAGTTAAAGTTACTGTAAAAAAAAAACCATTTTTTTTTCCTAATAAAAAAACCTAAAAAGAAAATAAATTTGACGACATATTTACGTAAAACTGAATGGACAAGACAAAAAAATTATTTATTAATCTGAGCGAGTTCTGAGACATGAATGGACAGAGGGGAAAAGGAATGAATTAGGAAGGAAGGGGAGGGCAAAAGGGCCTCTGGAAGTTCTGAGAATCCTCCCTGTAGCTAGGAATGGTGAAGTGTCTCAACCTTCCCTCCTGTTTCTTCATGAAGGATTCACAGAGGAATGCGATGGAGAATTTGTCTTCGACATCTCTGTTCACATCATGCACAAACACATCGGTCTCTCCACTCTCCTTGTTCCTTCCCATCATCCCAGCTGTGTAGATGGCACTCATCCTCCCAGGAGCATCCTCGTAGTATCCAGTGGGTGCATCCACCATTATCAAATCCCATTTCGTCTCGTACACAACACTCGGCAAACCCTTCAAAGCAAGCTGGCAAACGGAGTATCTGGGGTCTCCCACTGCTGTGCACTCCACTCCTCTTCCAACCTCCATCAGATTCTCAGCCTCTTTCACCTTGCTATCGTACGTCACGTGGTACGACTCCAGCGTGGGAAACCTCCGCCTTATTTGCTCGATCCATGCCTCGTCTTCTTCCAGGAAGATCGTCCTTCCACCATGGTTCAGTGCACTCCACATCAGGCTGTCGTGCCCTAACCCAAACACCAGGAAGTTGCACGGCGATTTCTTCGCCAACACTTTTGCCGAAACCGATATCTCTTTCACGGTTTGTTGTGGGGTGATGGTAGAGGTTGAGTAGTGGATGAGTGCTTGGGATAAAGAAGGAGGTATCTTTTGGCAACTTAGGGAACAATCCGTTCCACCCTTCTCACTCTTTTGTGAATGCGATTCTTGTGAAGTACTAGCTGGGTTCGCCTCTTGTTCGGTGTTGAGTGTAGACAAGTTTGATCTTAGCACAAAGAGGAGGAAAAAGGCAACCAAGACCGCTAGAATGAGCAGCTTCGAGTTGAAGGGTTTATGAGCTTTAGGCCTCATCTTCCCTTGATTTGTCTATACAGATGAGAGGAATAAGTATGTTAAACAAATGGTGATAAAAAAAAATGAATGAGTGGTGTTGTGTAGGTATGGAATTGCAGGGGTGACGGATGGATGGATTATATTTGGTTTGAAGATAGAATAATTGGCATTTGATGCTTGGACGCCAAGGGAAGAGGCATGCATTGCCACTGGATGGATCCATGTTTGATGAAGACAACAGAGCTGCCAGACTTGTGAATCAAGCAAACTGTAACTAAGTGTACTATGGTTGTTGCATCTGCAGATTTGGTGGAGTTTCTTTTTATACCTATTTTTCTCCCCTTCCAGACAACATCTTAATCTTCAATTTGCTTTGGCGTGGTTGACAAACTACATCTTGCATCGTTACGGAGCACTTCATGTCTGCTGTATGAGCATCATATCAAATCATCATAAACAATCTAATCCCAAAGCCCAGCTTCTCATATTTTATATTCGACGTTAAATGGAGGGAGAACTCTTATCAATGTATTTTAAGGTTTTGCTTAACGACCAAAATATGATTTTATATATATAATTCAGAATGAAAATTTTATCTCAATTCTTCATCATTATTATTATTATTATTATTTATTTTTATATAATAATTAAAATGATTTACTGATATACTAAATTGGTAGATCCTATATAATAATATTAATCATGAAGTGTTCTTATGTTATAAAATTCTTCCAACTTCGAAATACTTCGTAATATAAAATAATAAGTCGTTTAATCTACATGAAACATGAACGAACCTGCATCTCACCTCTGAAAAAATGTTTATACAAGCCCTAACTTTAAAATTGATTGCAAAGATTAATCGTTCTAGTAAATAATCCTAGAAATTTTGGTTTCGCATGTTAGTTAATAGTAAATGTTCTGTTTTTGTATTATTTCACCTTAATACCCACCCATTGATGGGAAAACGATGTTTTTTACGTAAATGCTTTCTTCCAGCTTTGAAGATACATGTATCTTGAATAACCCATTAGCCTATGCATTAAATTAATAAGATGTAATTGGGAAAAATCAGTTTCAAATGTACAAAGTAATGCCACGGAAATGACTTCGAGATCGGGCAATGAAAAACTGGTGTTAATCAACCATAAACAATTATTATACAGCCAATAGCCATGGATTTCATTAGCTCTATTGACTACCCACCTACCTGAAACATGAAAGTTTGCTGGTTAGAACACTGTGCAAGACCTTCTATTGTAACTATAAACATCTGGAGTGAAGAATTAAGTTGAAGCCCTGCGAACACTTGTCATCTATCGGCATCAAGAATTGATGGACTTGCAAAACAAATATTTAGCTTGGCATTATGATAGTCACATGTGTTCAAGTGTTCTCATCCCATGTTAAATGCATCAAAACCCACTTGAAAGTCACTTTTGATTTCTCACTTAGTGAAATAGTGATTCAGTTAGGTCATCCTCGAGCTTTGCGGGCAGCAAGTTGGATTTGCCTTTCGTTTTCCTTCAGCATTTCTTCAAGATTATCCTCTGGAGTCAACAACGGTCCAGAATGGTGCATGCGGGCATTTTTGTTAGCAAAGCCCTGCAATCACAAACAAAAACAAGTAATTACATGACAGCTTCATATTCATCGAGTATAAAACACCAATTACCTTCTCCTGAAAGTGTCATACAGGTTCCAATATGATACTGATTGTGAATTTATATATTATACAAGGAGAAGATATCTCACAATATCCCTGGGTTCTTTAACATTAACCTCGTTGCATGGAAATCATTATACCAAGACAAGTAAGCAAACCAGTCTTAATACCCAGCAAACTAATCATTTCCCCATATTCTCATAAAGTACATGTAATGCTGGCTTCAAAATAATTGAGCAATTCCACATTTTACCTTGGTACGATCCTTCCCAATAGGGTGAAAGTTCTTCTATGAAAGTCCATCCAACGGTTGGTTGGACTCACCATCAGCCGCATGGCTATATCTCATGCCAAATTGATCTTCTGGCAACTGCAAATTCACACTTAAGTCACCACTCATATCAAGCAGTGAATCACCTCGAAGTGCAATTGAATTAGAAAATCTTGACAATTTTGCAATGCTACCTTGCCAACGGGAATTTTGTTTTCTCAACTCGGACTTTCTTGATATATAGCTATGCTCAGGGTATATGAGGACATCTTCCTCTTCCAAATTCATATTGCGTGATCCATAAACACTTGGATGCATTGACTGGCCAGAATGAGATAATACATTGAGTACTCTTGACTTTACAGGTTCACGAGTGAAGCCATAACCGCCATCATCCTCGGGATTGTACTTCTCAGTGACGCGCTTAGAATAAGACCGTCCCTGTCTCTGGGGCAAACAATTACAAGGAAAAAGGTGTATCAGGCAAACCAAAACAACTCAAATGAAAATAAGGTTCATTAACATAATGTTTATGATTCAGAGTACCGCCAAAGTTGCCTGAAACTCAGCATTCGCATTAGGTATTGGCACAGCTTTAGAGTCTCTAAAACTACTCCCAACTGATTCATGTCCATGTCCTTTATTTGGTGCTATTTGCTTGCTTCATAATAGACAAATGGGTGACAGGAGAAACACAGACAAATAAGGATCACTATTGAAACAAAACAAGCCAAAGCCACTAGTCTCAGATTCCGGAAATGAATATCACGTGATAAAAGAAAGGAAAGGAAAACGAAAAAGAAATACAGAATCTTTATATCATTGCTCGAGACATCAATACAGAAAACAAATTATCATTAAAGCACACACTAGAAAGGTGTGCAAAAAATGTGTTCTTGTTGTAAATAATGCAAAAATCATAAATGACAAAATCACATGAGAAATCTCCGATGTAAAAAATTCAGAAGAGAAGGAATACCTTCTAGCTTCCTCTTGGCGAATTTTAGCATCAAACTCCTTACTCGGTGGGTACTTTGGCAAAGATGATGGATCACAAGGAAGTGGCATTGTTGTAAAGAACTACACATGAAAAATGTCAGTGGCTAAGAAAAAAGAGTTGGGAAAAACAATCTTCTGAGGTCCCAGTCCAAAAAAGTCTAGGATTTTAAACACGTGCATTCTTTTCAAAGACAAATTGTTGTGTGAACTGCACTCATAAAAGAACTAATATTTACCTCATGTTGAAGCGCTGAAGATGCAGTTCCTCGATTGTTCGATTCTACCGCAAGAAGGACATCCAAGAGGCTCAGTGTAGATGAAGGAAGATCTTTGAATATCTGAGAAACAGCACGTTTGTAAGCATGTTGAGGTTTAAAAATTGTTGCGTGAGGTAGCTTTGACTTCATCCAGTATTCTTCAGAAGGAGATCCACAAAGTTTGAAGATTTTATGTAGTTGCTCTACCTAGAATGATAGATTACCAGATCTTAGTTGGCAATTAAACCATGGAAAGATGTGATAAAATAAACAATCTAGTATTACGAATGAGATCATCAGAAATGTTATGTCCTAACTTGTATTTTCATCAATAAATGATTGCAGATAACTCAAATGGCTATAAAACTAACATGTTGAAGCTGGGTTAGATATGTGATGATTTTTTTCATTTATTCTTCAAGTTTACATCACTACGTAAATCTATAACTCTCTCTCTTCCAATACAAATATCCATAGGTAACACAAGAAACCAATTAGTTTAAGACTTATATCATCGAGCTTGGATACTCGAGGTAGCACATGCAGTATGTCTAATAAAATGTTTGCTCATATCCAAGACAAAAGAGGAATACTACCTCTGTTCGTCCAGACATAATAGGCTTCCCAACAAACAACTGTGCAAGAATACATCCAGCACTCCACAGATCCACAGTAACTCCGTAATCTGTAGCTCCAAGTAAAAGTTCAGGTGGTCTGTACCACAAGGTTACCACCCGACTCGTTAAAGGCTGCCCTTGAGATGGCGGAAGCAAAGTTGCTAGCCCGAAATCACCAATCTTCAGTTTGCCATTACTGTCAAGCAGAAGATTTGAGCATTTTATGTCACGATGCATAACACCACGACTGTGACAATGCTCCAGACCACGAAGAAGCTGTTGCATGTAACACTTGATCTGTAATATGACAAAAAATATCCGCTCATTGTTGAAAGAAGAAGCAGAGGTCAATTAATGAGGAAAGAAAATAAGAGAAGACAACTGACACAAATCTTTTAAGCTGTGAATACAATTGGATGGAAATATTACATGGTGTTTTGGTAAAAGATTATTGTTGGTTTTGGCTTTGGCTTAGGTGTCCTGCACACCGGCTACCAAGTGCTCAAAGGATACTGGCCAAGGAATCAATAAATCAAAGGTTTTATTTGGAACCCATTGTGCGGGTGTGTATGGGTAACCTTAGATGATACACTTTACGATGAGTGTTTTCTACTTTTGATTCCTTAACCAATGACTAACTGATTAGCATTTTCCTTTGCTTTAAACAAATTTCTTGTCTATTTCAAATAATAAGTTAATTGGCTGCATGATATACAAACTAAGTGCAACATCCAAGGCAATTAGTCTGATCTTTACAGCTATAGAGCCACTAGGATTGTTGCAAGATGGTGAGATACGCAATTCATAAAACTTAGAGTGCCATTATTATCCTCGTGGCATACAAAAAATGCTAATAAGTTGCCACTAGGACTCCAGCAGATACAGTGCTTTGGACTCATCAAAATTCAACAACAAAAAAAATGGTGCTTTTGTTATAAACAGACATTTAGCAATCCATTCCGTATCTGGCTTCTATTAATTATACAAATGGTAGAGGAAAATAATTCGTTACGAAAATAATCTAGCTCACTATGCAAGTTTATATACAGAAAAATGACGTCAAGTGAATTTTCTATGCTTCCAAGACAAATTTACGGGTTGCAAATGAGAGAAAGGTTGTCATCTCTACTCTGATGAATAACTAGAAGGTAGGTTAAGGTATAGATACCTGTGCTTCGGTAAACCTGACGTCAGGTATTGCTGCAAGGCCTGCAAGATCATGGTCCATATATTCGAAGACAAGGTACAAGCTACCAGAGACCGTTGAAGTAATCATGCCCTCAAGCTTCATGACATTAGGATGATCAAGCCTACGCAGCACAATTATTTCCCTTGACATAAAACGAACACTTTCTGGATCCATATTAGCAAATCGGACCTTCTTCAATGCAACAATTTTATTTGTTTCAAGGTCACGAGCTTTATAAACACTGCTGTAAGTTCCTTGACCAATCTGAAACAATATAGGAAAGTTGTTTGGTATGTAATTTGAAGAAAAATATATGGTTGGTGATATTAAATGCGAATGGATAGAGAAAGGAATGAACAATAATATTACTTGCCTTATCCAACTTCTCAAAAGAATCAGCCCTGCGAGGAATCCAACCACTAATGGCTTCACCAGCAACTGCCGTGAGCCAAGAGGGCCAACCTGCAAGAACCTGTACTCCTCTTTCCCCTCTGGTCACACTATACACCCTACAAATCTTAGGTTGTTGTGCTTTTGTGGTTGATCCCACCCCATTCCCATTGGCATTCTTGTCCCCTTTAAGTTGTTGAAGTTGATTCAAATAAGTTGGGGTGACGGCATCTTCTTCAGTTGCATTTGAATTTGATTTATCATTTGCATTGGATACGAGGCTAGTAGTGTCTCCGAAATGGTTGGTGTTGGAGGACGCTTCGGCCTTCAAATCTTTGGAATGGCTTTGATTAGTGTATTCGACTGGGGATTTTGCTTTGGAGCATATACAACCCATAACACCCACCGGCAATTTCAAACCCAACAATTTGTGATTTGAAGTGCCTCCGCTCCTCTCCTTTCCTATTGATGCAATGGCAATGCTATTGCATTCATTCAATTGTGTTGTATTCTATTTCATTCTGTTCTATTCTATTAAATTAAATTGAACAAGAGATGGATATACAGACATATTGTATTTGCCCAACCCAGATCCCCCAATGAAATCAGGTGAAATGAAAAAAATAGAAATGGTAAAATGAAATGCGGATCTACAAAGGTGGTGAGAAACGTGTAATGTGGGTCAACAAACAGAATCACATTCACGATAATTCACATTAATTCACAATTGACACAGAGAAAGAAGAAACGGAAACAGGAACAGAGAGAGGGTAATGCAATTGGGTGGCTTAAGCAACAACGACATGCAAATTAGATATAACATATATCAGATGCAGTGTTGTTGTTTTGTTTGTTAGGCTCCTCCGCTAGGCTTTGGAAAACAAAACAAATCAAAACAAAACAAAAACATTGCATACACCAAATTCAAATTAAATCAAATTATATTCCATCGATCAGTATTCCCTTCTCTTCTCCACAAATTCCAATCGTCCATTCCAATCCAATCCGATTCCTCAAATACCCACCCACTCAACCTGTCACCTCTCAATATATTTCATTTTCCACTCTCTACAACACTATTTTTCACTCATTCCAAAATATACTGGTATATACTTTTTTTCAAAATATTAGACATAAGATCCAATCATTAAATTCTGTTCAAAATCATTTAATCATAAGTTATCGCATACCACATACGTGTGATCTTTCCTTAATTCTAGCATATTGGGAACCAAAATGATTGTTTTAAAAAAAGGAAAAATATTTGATGTCCTTCACCGCTTTGTTAGGCTATTTTGATTACAGTGAACCCTATCTAAAAACATTCATGCTTGTTTATTATGTCGAACATCCATATAGATTTGATTAAAGCAAATATTCGTGTGATAACAAATCATTGAAAAAAAGAATGAATAAAAATCTATAATTTATAGAATAAAAATAGTAACAAGTAATAATAAGTCATTGGAATAATGAAACTTAGGAAAACCAACAACACTGTAGTGTGTATATACACATGCCTTGTTTGAAAAAGATGAAAAGATGCGAAGAATAAAAATAGGAACAGTGGAAGAAAGAATGAGAGTAAAGTTTATAATTTGATGGCATAATGAAAATGAATACGGTGAAAAGAAAGGATGCTATAAAATTAGGGTGGAGTGTGAAAAGGATGTAAAAAAATGAATGATTAAAATAAAAATGAAGAGAGAGGTAATGACACGTAGGTAGGGAGAGGAGCGAAGCAAGTGGTTTTATCCACGAAGCGGAAGGTTCGGAGGACACAGCTGGAGACAGGCTGTCACCAACAAAGTCCCACTCACCAATTCCCCTCTCCTCTCTAACTCCCTTTCTTTCTCCTCTTCCCATCTCTCTCTCTATCCCTCTCCTTCTCCCCCAATTCACATTCACATCCATTACATTTAGGGTTAGCTGATCCCCTTCGTCCCCTCACCGCTTCCTCCTTCATCTTCACCGGATCAACCATCCCTTCCGCTGTAAGCTCTCTTTCTCTCTCTCTTCAATCTTTCATTCTTCTTATACATTGATTTTTCCGTTATTATTCTCGCATTTCCTCTCCCAAACCATCATCTTTTAGATTTCAATTTCGATTTCATCTTTCTCCCTTCCTCTGTTTCCTTCTTCAAATACCAAGCAAAACTAACTTTTTCCATGGCTCAACCCCTGCCTTTACTCGTTAATGTGGCTTCTCAATGTCAATACCTGCTCTCTGCACACCAACTCTCTTATTTTTCTTTACTACACTCACTCTTCATTTATTATTCCTATCCCTCTCAATCAAATTTATGTTGAGATGTTTCTACTTCTTACAAAAGACGAAGGCATGTATATCGTATCCACACACTTTTTTTGTTCTTTGTAATTGCAATCAAGACTTTGCACTGCTGTCAACTTCATTTTTCTGTTCTTCAGGACAAGTTCCCGGTTGCAAGTCTCTACTCTGCTCCCCTTCTTCCAAGGGCCTATAATTTGATGCCTTATGATTCATAATTTGTTTAATGTATTAATATTTGTTCTGTTATTATCATTATTTTTTAAATTGCATTTGTTGTTGCGCTTTTGTCTATTGATACTAATAGATGATAAATGTGGCCACAATTGCGGTCACACCCTTGACATTGCCTTCCAAACTCACGGTCTGCTATTGTTTTTTATAAACCCTGTTATCAATTTCGGAATGTACTATGTAATCTCACATAGATGTTTTCGTTAACCTGTGTAAATTATTTTTCCTTTTAATTTGCTTTTTCCATGGTCTTTGCTTTTGCACCCGGTCATTTGTTGCCATTTGTTGAACTCTGATGATTTAAATGATTTTTCCCATGAGTTTGGTTAGAATATCTCAAGTTCTGTACTGTGATCATTTTAAGCAAAGTTCTCTCACTTTTACATTCAAGTATTCAACTTTCAGTGTTACTTATTATTATTATTATTTTTTTTTCTCAGATTTAGGTGCTTGAATTGGATAATCAACCTTAAAGCTATACGTTCAGAGGTTGATGTTTTACCCATAATCTTGTATCTATAGTGAGCTTATGGAGGGATGCTGCTTGATTGATCTGGGATGTTGTGCAATTATCTGTCTTGAGTGATTATGCATATGTGGATCGAATTCAATCATCATATTCTTTTATTAATACTGGGAACTCGTTGATTTATACTTTAGTTCTGGAAAGAAGACACAACCACCAGAGGACTTCTTGTATCCATGCTGTCAGAGAGCATGCGTGGAATCTGTACATCGGGTAATGCCCCTGTCGAGATTTGCTGCCGAGGCATTCGGTCTGGTGACGATTTGTTTAGTAGCCATCTTAATTCTTCTTGGGTTGATGTGCATTGCTTACTCATTTTACTTCCGCTCTCACATTCATAGTCAAGGTTTGGTTCAGCTCAATTATTTTAGTGGTCCTTGGATCATCAGAATCACAATCATCCTATTTTCAATCTGGTGGGGTATTGGTGAAATTATTCGACTAACTTTGTTAAGGAGTACCTTTCAGTTAAAATGGCCGGACACTGTCTGCAAGTGTTATATTGTGTCAAATTTGGGGTTTGCAGAACCATCCCTGTTCCTCACACTTATATTTCTCCTTCGAGCACCTTTACAGGACTTGGAGACTGGAATTATGAGCAGAAAATGGAATGTGAAAACATCGGGATATATTCTTCTTTACTGCCTGCCAATGTTTGTTCTTCAGCTATTTGTTATTTTGGTTGGACCTCAGTTAGACAAGAATAAGGGTTCTGGAAAAAAGTTGCCTCACTATTTTTCTAGTGCAGCGGTTGCCTCTTCAATGGCCGGGGAGAATGATACGACCTTCTGTACTTACCCTTTACTAAGCACTATTATCCTCGGCCTTTATTCCATTATCCTGACTTCCTACCTTTTTTGGCTTGGTAGTCGGATTTTGAAATTAGTTATTAACAAGGGTCTGCAGAAGAGGGTTTACGCATTGTTATTCTCAGTTTCATGTTTCCTTCCATTAAGGGTACTTTTTCTTGGTTTATCTGTTTTATCTAAACCTGAGCATGTTATGTTTGAAGCCTTTGTTTTCTTGGCTTTTCTTGCACTAGCATGTTGCGCTGGCTTGTGCATGTACACACTTGTTTATCGTCCAGTTGCAGATTGCTTAGCGTTGGGAAATCTACAAGACTTTGAAGCTAGAAATCGAAACGATGATCATAACGATACTGTGTCTTTCATTGCTAACCAGAGTCATCTGCAAGGGAATGTTGAAGAAACTGTTCGGTCTAGTCCTGGTAGATTTTCTGATGCATCGACAAAGAGAGGATCAATTTCATTTCGGACATTAGAAAAGGGTGTTACATCAACCGGAACATTTGTTGAACTGAGCCTCTTCTCTCCCAGCCGCAGTGCAACCCCTCCAGGATCGCCTCCTCTCCTAGGTTGGCCAATGCGATCCCCAACGCAACTTATTGGACCATAGAGACAGGCTGGAAACTGAGTATGTTGTTGGGTCGATATCAATTTTGTGGAAAAGGGAAAACTGATTGTAAAGGATTTAGCATCAATAAGGCGTCTTTTTTATTTTTCGTTTTTTTTTTTTAATTTGTTATGTTTGCTAATTCTAGTTATAATGTTTTTGCCCTGGAATTTATTGTGAGTACTCTTTTAACGTTTCTGTACCATTCTCGACAACGTTTTACTTGTTTCTAATTTGTACTTGATATATTGGAATACTTTTGCGTGAGGTCATTGGGTTACGAGTTCATGTTTGATCTGAGATTACTTTGCTTTGTCCGATTACACGACCACGAGTAGTAAGTTTCGTTAGCCTATAATGTGGTAGCTACCTTTCACTGGATCTACCACATGAAAGAATGTCGTCAAATCATACCTTTCCAATTTGACATGTACTTAATTGGTTAGATTTAATTTTGATTAACTCTCATCTTAAACTTTAATCAATGAAGTTAATACTTTATACAACCGAGTGGGGAATATCACCAAAAGAAAAAGGTATGGCTGTGTAGGCTTGGGACAGCATCTTGCCACTTTGGTTTCAGAGGAAGGTCTCAAATACGGGAATGGCAGGAGACAAACCAAACAATGACGCTGGTTAAAGTCTCAACATTGCACACGCATCCACCTTGGCCTTCAACATTGGCAGGAGGCAAATCAATCAATTACAGTGTGCAATGCGTCTGGAATATGTTTGGATAAAGTTTGTACATATTTGATGAGTTATGTATGTGAATTGTTTTGCCTGATACATAGAACTAAGTGTGTTTAGAAACTAGGTGAATGATGGATGTATTGTTAGAAATTAAGAACGAAACCCTAAGGTTATGAGATAAACTATTCTTATGATAATGTTGTATATAATCCTAATTGGACAAGGATGATTGCGAACAAGAGTAAGGAAGGATAAAATTTTAATCTACGAGAATAGTACAATTCTTGGAAGAGGAGAGGAATGGGGAAAGTTGAAAGCAACCTAAGGCTTAGTATTCATTGAGAAGGAAACTATAGTGTAAAGAAGAATGGTTTAGTTAACTAGAGAGTTATGATGGAAAGAGGTTAACAATAAGAACAAAAGCTTAGGATGATAACAAAGTATAACAACTACGAGGAAGTTTGAAAAGTTGACGAGAGATGTTGATAATGCAAGAGCATGTAGCCGTATGTAAGATTAGGTGATAGGGACCAAATAAACTAAAATGAGTGGAAATGCATGGTGTTATTGCAAGTAACGTATATTTATCAAAAGGATTTCAGATTCTGAATATGGAGTAGAAGGTAAATGTAGAGAAGAAAGAATATTGCTTTACTCATTCTCAGCTTTCCATTCCCTCTCCCATTGTCTTTTGTTTCTTCATTGCATAAACTTCGCTATCTAAAGAGTCATATCATCAGCTAACGAGAGATAAATAAAATGTTTGTTGGCTATAAGAGTCAAACCTACCATAAAAAGTTTTTTTTTTTTTTTTTTTTTTTTTTTTTTTTTTAAAGATTCATGCATATCTTATTACTTATAGAGTAGATGTTGTTTCTACCCGATTAGAATTTTAAATATAGTATTTTTTTTTTCTAATTTTAGAATATTTATGCACATTAGAGGGTTAGGGTTGTATGTGGTTCGCACATGCTTGCATGTAGACTTTGTGGGAAAAAGATGAATCTTAACTAGTTTATGATTATTTTGGTATGTCTAATTTGTTAATTGGAGTTTTCTTTTAACAAGATTTGTTTTCCTAAAAAATTTAGGAATTTTGAGGGTTTTTTTACTTTAAAACACTGTGTTTGAGGTAAGGGAAATTAATAAATATTTAATTTATATAATACTCTATACTAGAAAATTTAGAATATAATAGTGACGTGATCACATTGTTTGACTTGCAAGGAGCCGATTATGAATTTGATTATTGATATTGTTGGTCGTTGAGTGTGTTTGAATGAGTTGAATTAGATTTATGATGTGGAAAAGATGTGAATGAAATATTATGGTAAAATAATTTTAACTATGTATAACATGTTTTAGAAAGAAATGATATAATAAAGTCCTAAAAGATAGTGTATGATGCTTACAAACTGGTTTGTAGTGTATTTTTACAAAATTGTTATCATATATATGTTAGAAAAGTAGTTTTAGATCAAGAGGGGGGTGAATTGATCTTTGATAGTTTTTCGCAAATCACATATTATCTAATTCGAAAATTAAGTTTACTAATCTATTCTTGAATCGCAAAGCAATCAATCAAAATAAGCGCAGCAACTGAATTTAAATGAGAGAAAGGTTAAGGAAGATATCACCGGTATTTTATACTGGTTCACCCAATACCAGGGCTACGTCCGAGTCTCCAACCAAATTCCAGCTGGGTTCCACTAGATTAAATGTTTTACAGATTCAACAATCTTACACCTAATCTAACACAAGAACCAAATTCCAGTTCCTGCACTTAACCTCTCCACCAAGAACCAAATTCCAGCTCTTGATAACCTCTACAACCAAATTCCAGTTGCAGAGAAACCAGTGCCCAAATTCCAGGCACTAAACCTTTCACCAAGAACCAAATTCCAGCTCTTGATAACCTCTACAACCAAATTCCAGTTGCAGAGAAACCAGTGCCCAAATTCCAGGCACCAAACCTTTCACCAAGAACCAAATTCCAGCTCTTGATAACCTCTACAACCAAATTCCGATTGCGAGAGAAACCAAGTGCCCAAATTCCAGGCACCAAACCTTTCACCAAGAACCAAATTCCAGTTCTTGATAACCTCCACAACCAACTTCCAGCTGCAGAGAAACTTGTGCCCAAATTCCAGGCACAATACAATACAAAAGAATGAAAAAGAATTTACAAAGAAGAAACTAGAAAGCTCAAACCAGTTTATCCAAATCTGCAGAGAGTTTCTTCTTCAAAAGAATGCAAGTTGCCTCAAGAAAGATTTTCAAAAGAACTTCTAAAAACTGTTGCGATTTGCGAATCTTTCTTGAAAAAGGATGCTAAAGGTTGCTTGAATGATTGCTTAGGATTTGTAAAAACTGATATTCAATATATGTTTAAAAAGTTCAAGCAAAACTGTTTTTAAAGAGTAATTTCAAAAACTGCTGCATTAATTAATCTGTTGAAAGTTTGTTTTAATCTGTTGAAATAGCCGTTTCAATCTGTTAAAAGTCCTTTCAATCCATTAATGCGTTCTTGTTTCTTTAACGAATTGTTTTAGTTGATACTTGCAACGGTTACATCAATTAAAACACTTTACAAAACTTTTCTAAGTTTGATTCAATCGATTGTTTCGTGTTTTAATCGATCGATATACTTGCAAAACTTTCTTATAAAACTTTTCAAGTTATTTTAACTGATAAAAAGAAGTTTTAATCGATTAAAACTCTGTACAAAATTTCTCCAAGTTGTTTTAATCGGTTGAAACACGTTTTAATCGATTGAAACTCTGTACAAAAATTTTAAAAGTTATTTTAATCGATTGAAATGCGTTTTAATCGATTGAAATAGATCTGATCGGTCATAATTCAATTCTGATCGATCATAACCGACTCTGATCGGTCATAACTTCATTCTGATCGATCATTCTGACCCTTTAAGTGATTTTAATCGATTGAAACTTGTTTTAATCGATTGAAAATGTTCTGATCGCTCATAATTCAAATCTGATCGGTCAAATTTGATTCTGACCGGTCATATTTGTATTCTGATCGGTCATAATGAGTTCTAAATGGTTTTAATCGATTAAAAGCAATTTGTATCGATTAAAATACTGTAAAAATACTTCTTTGAACATTCTAAGAGATTATAATCGGTTCTTTCAACACTATATCAGTTAAAAACATTATTAAGAAAGCTTTTGTTAAAATGCTTTGTTTTTAATTTCTTTAAAACGATTTTTGAGGCATTTTGCAAAATCATTTAAGAGAAGAAACTTCATGCAGCAGAAAAGATAAAGTGGTTTTACCTAAGCCTTCTGTAGACACACTAAATCTTCTAACTCTATTATCTGAGTGACTTGTTGACCGTTGCAATGTTGACTTTTGACTTCATCTTTGACTTCATCAAATCAATGAGATCTTTGCCAAAGTATTTCACTAAGATCTTCATCACTTTCAGTCTCCCCCTATTTGATGAAGACAAACACCATTTTGAAAAACAGACTCTGCAAGAGAAGTCACTTTGACAATACAGATTAGTGAGAAATTAAAAAATGTATTAATGTCCTTATTTCTCCCCCTAAAATGATGCTTCCTTAATGTGAGATTTATTTCTCTAAATTGATCCTAAAGTAAAGCAACTATTTCTCCCCCTTTTGACTTCATCAAAAATAGGGAACAGAAGAGAAATAATGAAATGCAAAGGTTTTCAACAGTTTGAGTTTTTTGAAAAAAAGAAATCAATACTTTACTCATGTAAAGATTAATTAAAGTTGATTCAAACTTATCTTCATTAACACGTTTGTAATGAATACAATTAACACGTGTAAAGATAAGGGAATCACGCTTTAATAGCATGTTACAGGAACAACCATTAACTAAAGCCTTTAATCTTTCTTTCCAGAATAAAAATCGATTAAAAACAGAACAAAATCGATTAAAATGTTTTTGGTAATGATTTTAATCGATTGAAAGTAGTGTTTATTCGATTAAAACATTTAAAAATTTGAAAACATGAAACTTTAGTGCAATTAATCGATTATTTCGACTTTTAGTCGATTAAAACAAGAATGAAAACTGTGGAATAAATTCTTTTAATCGATTTAAAGGATTTTGTATTGATTAAAACATTCAGATTTGAAAATTCTGACATATCTGATGCGAATTTCTTATATTGATTATCTTTTTTTTACTAATAGATCCAATAATATCAGAATTAAAATTCTCAGGGATCTATGAGCTAATTTTATCTATGTCAGTTTCATCCAAATTAAAACCTATATTATATCAGTCAAAGTTAAAGCAAAAGTGCCTGGTAT